CGTGGCTGACTTGTGTAACTTATAGGATCTGCAGAAATGCTGGTATGGCTTCCCCTGTTAGGTCATAAAAAACCCTGGAGCTTCCTCTTTGCTTTCTCTTTGTCTCTCCTGGCTCAGTCATGATGAGGAAGTTGGCTGCCATGTCCTGAGGATGTGGATTCAAACAGGCCTATGGAGAGAGCCACGTGGTGGGAAACTGAGTCAGCATGCCAAGAGGGACTTGCCAACCATATGAGTGAGCCAGCCCAGACTCTCCAGCCCCGGTTACACTTCCAGAAGACTGCAGCTTGGTTAACTCTGTAACTTGGTCAACACTGTAACCCAACTCAGCGGTTCCCAAATTCCTGACCCACCTGACACTGAGAAATAATAAATATTGTCTTAAGTTGCTACATGTTGGGCTATGCAGCAATACATAATTAATACTATTAGGTAGCATTGCCTTCTCATTTTATAGATGAGGAAATTAAGCAGAGAGCTCAGGTCACACCCTTGGCAATGATTTACCTCCGAAGTTTGGATCTTTATAAAGTTCATATAATGAATTAGAATCCCCCTTGTAACAGGAATGGAGGCATTCCCTCTAGTCAGAGAGAGGGAGGGAGAAATAGAGAGACTGACAAAGAGAAACTGGCAATTGGCTCACGGCACAGCAGGAGGGATTTGGGCTAGACTTCTGTAAATGAAGCCAGTGGACAGGGGGAGAATTCTGCTGTCACTGCAGGTCAGCTGTGATTAGCTTGGGGGCCACTGGTCTCTGACCCTCTCTGAGTGGGTGACACAGCCTTGGGGACTCTGGGGGTAGGAATCTGCTGCCCCTGAGGAGGCCCCTCTCTCGGGGCTCTTATCACTCTGTACGGTTGCTCTCTGCCCCCAGGCCCTGGATCCTCAAGGTCAGCATGGAGTCTTACTCATCTGTGCCCCGGGCTTAACACAAGGCCAGCCAGAGCAGGCTAGGGGAGGCGTATGCAGAAGGCCTGCTGGCCCAGGCTTGACCCTGCAGAGAATTTATTCATTCTTTTACTATGTCTCATGGAGACACAGCAAGGACAGGAATGAACCCTTTTCTGACGTCAGCAGCTCTCTACTGCATGGAAGACGCAAAAGAACTGTCCAGTGTGATCTAAGACCGAGACACACAGTGTTGTGGGAGCCCAGAGGAATGGGGAGCACCTCTGGGAGGAGGCTGGAAAATTTCTCAGAGGAAGGCATTTGCTCTGAACTGTGGATGAACTGTGCAAGGATGTAGTAGGAAGAGAGCACAGCCTGGCAAAGGTCTGGAGTAAAGGCCTGGTAAGGGTGATAGGGTGGGCTGCTGGGCCTCTGGAGTCATGGACGTGGAGATCTGGGTGGGGCAGGGAGGGGTGCAGGCAGCAGGTGCAATGTCAACTATATCTGCCACAAGAGGAATTCATGGCACTTAGGGTTGGGCTTGAGAAATTTCCTTGGAAACCCAGGAGTGGGCAAGGTACATAGGCTTGAATCAGTTCAGGACTGGGAATGAGAAGGGGAAGTCACCTGAGCATCTGGAGCTGTGCCAGGACCTCTGTCCTTTTGGGATGTGGTCTATGCCAAGGGCCGCGCTTTCTCCATGTTCCCCTGACTGGAGTTAACCAACACAGGCGTCCTAGAAATCCAATTCTATCCTTCACTATAGAACTGATCTGTTTTACCTGATTTACCCTTCCTCCTTCCCTTCTGGCAACCACGAATTTGGTCTTTTTTTTTTTTTTTATAGAGGCATGTTTTATTTACTTATTTATTTGTTTGTTTGTTTGTTTTTTTTGTTTGTTTATACAAGCACTGGGTACAGTCAGAAGCGCGGGAGGGTGAGAGAATTCACCAGAGCCAGAGCGGGGAGCAGAGCAGGCAGAAGGACCGAAGTACACTGCTGAGGGGAGCAGCGGGCGGCAGGAGAGGTCTGCGCGCATGTGGAGGGTGAGAGAATTCACCAGAGCCAGAGCGGGGAGCAGAGCAGGCAGAAGGACCGAAGTACACTGCTGAGGGGAGCAGCGGGCGGCAGGAGAGGTCTGCGCGCCATGTGGGACCCTCCTCCGGTGGCCAGGGAGCAGCCGGGGATCGAACCGGCGCTGCAAAGGCCGCGGGCAGCTTCGCAACCCAGTGCTCAACCGCTGCGCCACCGGGGAGGCCCACGAATTTGGTCTTATCCTTAAAATCTTTATTTTGAATGTATTTAGTTCATTCACTTATTTTGTTTCTTTATGTCCCACATATGAAATCTGATCGTATTTGTCTTTCTTTGTCTAAATTATTCCATTGAACATATTATTCTCCAGGTTCATCCACATTGTTGCAAATGGCAAGGTTTCATCTTGTTTATTGCCAAGTAGCATTCTATTGTGTGTCTATCCCACATCTTTTTTATCCAGTTATCTGTCATTGGACAATTGGTTATTGTGAATAATGTTGCAATGAACACGGGGGTGCATATATTTCTTCAAATTACTGTTTTTGTATTCTTTGGGTAAGTACCCAAAACCCATGATAATCTTCAAACTAGAATGAACCTTGGAAATTCCCCACTGCCTCCATTTCACATATGTGAAACTGAAGTTCACAGAAGTTTTGTTTGTCCTAAAGGAAAAAGCAGAAGGGGCTGAGCTAGAGACTTCAAGGGGTCTGCAGGAGGGGCTCCGTCCAGGCCCCACAGTCTCAGGCATCCTGCCAGCACAATGCATCACTGTCCTGGGAACAAAATTCCAACTCCCTGCTTTGGCCTGTCTCGCCTTCATGTGGCCAGGACTTTGCGGGCCTTCCTCTGAGCTCCTTTGGTGTACCCACCCCGGCTCTAGCCCGTCTAGAAGCCACTGCACTGCCGTTCCCCCTGTCAGGAATGCCCTTCCCTGTTCTTCATGTGGTTTGGTCCATTTTGATGTTATAACAAAATACCATGGGTTGGGTGACTTATGAACAACAGAAATTTAATTCTCATCATTGCGGAGGCTGGGAAGTCCAAGATCAAAGCACCAAAAGATCAAGATGCCCACAGATTTATGGTCTGATGAGGCGCTGCTTCTTGGCTCATAGATGGCTGCTTCTCACTGTTTCTTCACATGGCAGAAGAGGCCAGAGATCTCTGTGTGGCCGTTTTTATAAGAACACTACTAACCCAATTCAGACCTAACCCGTCTTACTGCCTCCCAAAATTCACATTGCCACATAGCCTCACTTGGGGATGAGGTCACAACATGTCATTTGGGAGGACACATTCAGTCCATAGTAGGCTCCTTCTTGTGGTTCAGTGAAATGTCACCTCCCCAGAAAGAACTTCCCCAATCACCTCTCTAAAGTTAACTTTCATCACTCTCATATCTCTCTGAAATTATTATTTTTGTTTTCTTCTTTTGTGTGTGTATCCCAACTAAAATATAAGCTGCAGAAGAACAAGGAGGGGCCTAATCTGTTTCTCCATTAATCCGGGGCCTCAGACAGTGCCCGGCACATAGTAGGTGCTCCACAAGTTTTTGTTGAAAGCATGTGTGTCTCTCATGATCTGTTTATGATCTATTTTCTTGACAAAGGCCTCACTGGGGTTGGTACCATATCTGATTCACCTGGAACACATAGGCCCAAGACAGGGCTGCCACAGAGCAGAGATGAACATGCTTATTAGATGACTAAATGAGCAAAGGATAGAAAGGCTAGTGCTCTGCTGGACTCTGGGGTCTGCGTCCCTCTCCTGTGGGGTAGCTACAGCCACTGTGGGCTCGGGGGGCCTCTGATGAGGCAGTGTCTCCAGGCCTGAGGCCATCATCTCCTGCCCCTCTTCCATGGAGGCGAGGGGTTACAAGTAGAGAGACAGGCGGGCCTAACACTGGGCTTAAGCTTCTGTGGGACTGCCTCTTAGCCACTAGCATCCTCAAACTCATTCTCCCAAGAAGGTTGTATGGATCGGACCTTGCCTGCTGGTAAAGCAAGTGGCTAAAATCTCTTCCTGGATCTGTTCTCTGCACCATGGCGTGGGGAAGCTGGGCCCTGACCTGTCAGAGGAGGAGTCTTCTCATTCCTGCAGAGGTTATAGGGGTGGACACACATCCTGGCGTGTGTCCCCTATGTACGGGCAGGGACATCACATCACTTCTGTGGGTCTCCACATACCCCACCCTTCTCAGTCACAGGGATTATCTTGCAGTCGCTGTGGGTCCCTCGATTGTCTTTCCCTCCGCCTGGCCCCACGAGCGTGCTGGGTGAGGATGAATGAAGTCTGTGTGCCAGGCCCAAGCCACCTGCCTCATATTCTTGCCATGGTCACGTGCACAGAACTACTTGGGCATATTAACCAGCTACACAATGGCATAATATGTGTTGTGATATTATACTATGTGTTCACTGTGTGAAGGAGGGGTTCAGAGGTCCCGTTCTACCCCCTCAGCCTCCACTTGATTACGCGCATCCTGGTACTCAGCCCCCTGGCCGCCACGATCCCCGCTCCTCTGCACACCGCGTGGTACCTTGCACCTGGGAACACCCCCGCCTTTCCGCCCAGGCTCACTCCTAGGTATCCCTCAGCCTCCCGCCGGGCTGTCGCCTCCTCCGGGCAGTCTGTGCCGCTTCCCCAGGTGCGCCTGCCACCTCCTGCTACCGCCTCGCCCACCCCGCGTCCGCAGAGCCCGGCAGGCAGGTGTTCTCAGGACAGGGACACGGAGGCCCCGCCGAGGCGGCCGCGGGCTGAGGGCATTTGGGACTAGCGGGAGGTGGCGGCGGGAGGAGCTTGGGGCGGAGGCGACAGCGGGAGGGGCGCGCGCGCCGGCGGCGGCCGCCCAGGGCCGGGGCCGCGCGCTCAGGCTGAGCCCGCCCCGCCGCCGAGCGTCACGGAACCTGCTTGAAATGCAGCCGAAGAGCCGGGGCGGGCGGCAGCGGCGGCGGCGGCAGCGTCGTGGGCAGCGGCAGCCCCGGCGCCGCGGCCAGGGCTTGGCGGATTGAGGCGCGGCGGCGGCACGGGGCGCGCGGGGCGCGGCGGCCGGAGCCGGGGGCCCGCCATGGGCCGCCCCGAGCGGGGCGCGCTCCGGCCGCTGGCGCTGCTGCTGCTTCTGCTGTGGCTGCAGCATCTCGCGGCGGCGGCGGAGCCCCTGCGCGGCGGCCAAGGTGCGTGCGGCGGGCTCGGCCCGGCTCTGCGCGCGAGTCGCCAACAAAGCGCAGCGGGGGGGGGGCCGGGCGGCGGCGCAGCCCCGAGTCCGGGCCAGGCGGGGACGCCCGAGGGAGAAGCCCCTGGGCGTCCAGCGCGCTCTCGGTGTGCCCGCGACCCGCGGCCCCCGGGTGGTGGGCTGCGCTCTCCGGCACCTGCTCTCGGGGGGCGGGGGGATGGGCGCAGCGGGGGGCCGGCGCGGCCGGGAACTTTGCGGGGAGGGGGTCGGCACTGATGGTTGTTGGTGACAGGGAGACTCCCGCCGTTGGGGTTATTTGACACGCGCGCCCCGCGGAGGCGGCGGGGCGGCCCCGGCTGTTACCCGCCTGACAATGCGTTTCCGGGGACCCCTGCGCGCCGCCGAGAAAGGGGAGCCGCGCGGTCGCGGGATGCGGCCGCGGCGCCCGGGGCGCGCGTCTCGGCGTGTTCGGGGCGCCCGCGGCCTCTCCGCGCCGGGCTCCGGCCGGGCCCGCGCGCTGCTGTTCGCGAGTGGGGGGCGCACCTGCGCCGCGACGCCGCGTGTGCGCCCGGCCCCACCGCGCCCGGAGCCCCTGCCCGCCCGCCCGCGTTCCGGATCGCGTGTGCCGAGGCCCCTGCTCGGGGGTTCCACCCACCGCGCCCCCTCGCCCCCATCCCGGCAGCCCCTCCCCGCGGCGCGCCGCCCCGGCTCACGCCCCCTCTCCCCGCGCAGGGCCCGCCAAGGAGTGCGAGGAGGACCAGTTCCGGTGCCGGAACGCGCGCTGCATCCCCTCGGTGTGGAGATGCGACGAGGACGACGACTGCTCGGACAACAGCGACGAGGACGACTGCCGTGAGTGCGCCGGGGGGCGGCGCGGGGCGGCGCGGGGGACGCGCTCGGCGCACACGTGGCTGCAGCTGCCGCCCGGCCCCCCGCGCGGACCTCGCCGCCGGGGTCTGCCGCCGGGACGCGCACTAGCGCCGCCCCCTCGGGGTGGGGTGGTTCCCAGCCCCGGCGGGAGGCGGCCGGCCGGCGAGCCCGATAGGCCGGGGCGGAGCCGGGGGCTGCGGGGCCGGCGAGCGGGCGCGCCACGCCCGGGTGGCTGGGCTGGGGCTGTGCGCGGGGACGCGGCGGCCCTTGGCCGAGCTAACCTGCGGCGCGCGGCTCTCCAGCACTCCCGCCGCCACGCGCGCGGCTTTCAAAGTTCCACGCGGCTCCGGGCCAGGCCCTCGCTCCTTTTCCTGCTTGGTTTTTTGTGAATGAATGGGCTCCCCAGGGTCCCTGATTGGCTGGGCTAGGAACACCCCATAAGCCCCTGTGGCCGGAGCGGCCAATCCTGTAACTGGCGGGTGTGTAGTTTTCGGGGGCCCTCGGCTCAAGGGCCTAGCTGGGGCCGCGCCTCGGCCGCACCCCCGCGCGCATCCTTAGGGTTGTAGGTGCAGCCGGGGCTGGGACGCTGGCGCCTGCTGCTTTTCTGCCTAGTCATGGTGAAGACCATTTCCTGCCACCCGGCATGGTTTACCGCGCTCTCCCGCCAGCCCGCTCGGGCGTCAGTCATGGGGCAGAAGGCCAGGAGGGAGGGAGTCAGGAGAGTGTGTCCTGGAAGGGGCTTGAGGAACCCGGGACACGCATGAAGCCCCTGGTGCGGGCAGTTGGTGGACTGCCTTTGCAGAGTGTGGTGTTTATCCACCGGGCGCCGACTGCTTTAGAAGTTCTTTCTAGGGGTGTGCATGGTTTCAGATGTCTGTGGGACCTAAAGCAGGTTAGCAGGCACTCTCTGCGGTGGAAGAAGTAGAATTCCAGGAACAGAGAAACTCGACTCCTGGAAACAGAGGCAGGTGATCATGCACCGGTCTCTTGAGGCCCTGCTGTGTGTAGGGCCCTGGGGCACTCAGAAAAATTGGCTGGGGAGCACATGGTCTCCCTGAAAACAGGTGGACAGACCCACAGTCTCTACAGCAGAAGGACTGGTAGAGGGACAGGCACCGTCTGGTGAGCTCTCCAGGCTTTTTATACTGAGTTTGTCATTCATCCTTGGGGGTCCTTGTCTCCAGCCAGTCCCTCCGCTGGCTCTGTCATAGGCACATCTTTCCCTCCTGACTTAGTTTCCTCACCTGACTACATGGGCAATATTTCCTTGCCCTGGTTTTGAAGACCAGTTCTGGTGATGGAGTCGATGTAATGACACCACCATGCTGACAGCTGTGTGCCGAGGACTGTGGTGCGTGCCTATCTTATGTAAATTCTGTTAATCTAAACAACATTCCTATATTTTCGACTACCCAATGGAAACACTTTTAAGATTACATTACTCCCCCACAGCTATTGAAGTTAGTGCTAATGAAGTATGAAAATGGTCAAGCCACAGCAAAATACCACAGCGAGGTCCACACTGGACCTCGTTCTTGTGTGGCACCCTTACTGTGGGAGTGTGGAGGACAGGTGGGAAAATAGGAACTGTGCGTTTCTGGGCTGTTATTGCTTGATCTCCCTAGCTCTTTTTAACAACAGTCTTGAGAAAGTGGCCGTGAAAAGCACAAGTTTTTCTTGTCATTACAGTTTGAAGATAAGGAAGCTGGCTCAGAGAAGTTGAGAGATTTGGCCAAGGTCACACAGCTGAGCACAGAATTTGGTGAGGTGGTCTGCCTGCCTCCTAGCTCGGGGGCCTTGACCCCTGTGGTGAGGAGTGTGGTGCAGAAGGGCCGGAGAGGGTGACCCAGGAGCTGGGGAGCCACACTCTGAATGTTGCATCTCCATGCGAGGTTTTGGGCAAGATGGACAAATGAAGTGGCAGGCACTGGCTGGGTGACCCCAGATGGGAGGCTCTGATGGTCTTTCGGGGATGGATGGTGTGGAGTCATAGACAGTGAGTTAGTGAATAAAAGCAAATGATGTGGGAGGCTTGGGGTGGAAAGGATGGGGCCTTTGCTCTTAGTACCATGTATCTGTTGTGTGTGACTTGACTTAGCTGAGCTTATTTCCTCAGCTACCAGGTAGGGGCTAGCTGTTTCTCCATCACAGGTAATACAGTAGAATGTCTTCACACAGGTACACAGTGCTGGCGGGGAGAAGGGAATGGATGAGTGTTCACACCTCCTAAATCTGTAGAAAGGAAACCTTAGGAGCTACGAAGAGAAATCTTGAACAGGGTGGTGGCTTTGGGAGGCTGCACTGGGTCAGATGTTTGAATGGTCTCTCCTCACATCTTCCTTCCCTATCTGTCCTCGCCACCACTTCCCCACCCCCACCCCCTTCTGGGCCTCCCACCCAAACTGAATTTCTTTTAATTAATTATCTTTCCCTAGAGGCTATTGGCTCCTCTCAGAGTAGCCTCCCTTCCTTTTATCTGACCCTCTACTTAGGCACCCCCATGAGAGGGCCTGAGCTGCCCACCTTTTGCCTTTCTGGGTCTGCAAAAAGGAGATTGTAATTTTTAAGTGGTCTCTGTTGGACAAAATGAGTACAAGGTCCCAAAGGAATCAGAACATAGCCCATAAATATTGAGAAGCTGATAGAGGCTGGAAGGAGGAGTTTTTATGTTGAGGAAACCAAGGAAGGCTTCCTGGAAGAGGAGACAGCTAAGGAAGGTCTTGAAAGATGGTATATAATACTATTCCCGCAGGACTTATCATTTTAAAATAGGTAACATGGTCTCTGTATTATAGAGGAGGAAACTTGGGGCTCGGAGAAGTAAAATAACACCCCCGTCACACAGCTACTCAGAGCTGGAGCCAGAAATCAAACGAAAGCCTCTTGATCCTTTTCCCCAGTGGGTAGGTCTTGGTTCTTTGGAAATTGGAGACACAGAGCTTGCAGGATAGGGAAGGGGAAGACTCATGGGGCTTCAGTTCCCACCTCAAAGAGCCTTCAAAGTGGAGGAAGGGGCTGAAAGCCAGAGGACCAGGCCCAAGGAAACCCAGGGGTGAGGGGTGGTCCAGCCAGGGGAAGTGGGATGGGCTGTTGGCTGTGGACCTGGGTCACGTAGGCCAACTGGCCCCTAGGCCTGTTTCCTGTTGCTTTATAGAGTTTGGGGGCAGAGACAGAAGATTTGGTTTCTGGCCAACCTTTTGCTCCTAGGGTAACATCAACCACACTGGACACTTACTGAGCACTTGTCATAGTCCAGACATTGTGCTGACATTCTACCTGTATCTTCTTATCACCTGCAATCCTCAAAATGGGACAGCTCTATGAAGTACCTGAATTAGACCTTTTTTACAAAGCCACAGAAGGGTTAAATAACTGGCCCAAGGGTGTACGATTTTTAAGTGAGGCTGCTGGGCTGTGAATGCAGGCGCCCAATTCTAGTACTGGCACTGTCTCAAGCACTAGCTGGTGACCTCAGTCAAGTCCTACCCATGCCCCCATGTCCCCGTCTCTACCCAGCTCTGGGAAGAACTCTGTTCTTTGTGCATGTCTTGAGGGAACAGGTGGACCAGTTTCGTGTTCAATTCCTGCATCTTGTTCAGGCTTTAGGCCATCCTGTTCTCCCAGCCCCCATCACCCCCTCGCCGGGTTTAATGAAGAGTGGCCACAGTGAGGTCTCCGTGGTTGGCAGTTCATTAGCTGGACAAGGCCAGGCTGCAGGAGCACTGAGGGCTGCTGGGAAGCAGCCTTGTAAATAATTAAAGCTTGGCCACAGCTCCCAGCTGGGGCTGCAGCCTGCATCTGGCCTTCAGTATGCCTCCTGCCTCGGCCCAGCTCTCACACCCCTGATACTGGACCCCGCTTCATCTCCTTTTCGGATGGAGTCACGTGACAGACAGTGCTATGCCTCTCTGAACTTCAGCTTCCCAAGTACCCACAGATGAAGTTGGCTTTAGCGCTCTGCATTTGATCGTCTGTGGCCAGCTCTTGTTATCCCCTCCTGCCTCTTCCTGTGAGCCTGTAACATCAAACTGTGGCTTATATCACTCTCTGGTCTTCCTATTGTTTCTCACCTCCAGGCCTTCACACAGGCCATTCTGTCTACCTGGAATATTCTGTTTCCTCACCTGGCTACTTCTTTTTGTCATCTTAGAAGATTCAGTGCAGGTTCCTCTTCCAGGAAGCTCTCCCTGCTGCCTTCCACCCCAAAGCTGGATACAGGAGAGAAGGGGGACTTAGGAACTTAACGTTGAAATCACAATTCAGTGGGGTCCTGAGTCAGACTCACCTGATTTTCCATCCCAGCTGTCACATTTGACTGAATGGCCTCAGAGGTGACAATAGTTTCTTCCTCCCAGAGATATGAGGATTAAATGAGATAATGTGCCTGGGAAGCCTGCGGGGTCAGCGGATGGCAGTGGATATGAGTGATCTTGGTGGGAGGAGTTTCACTGAGATCTGAGGTACCCGACTGCCCTGGACCCTGCAGGCCACCCAAAACCCTTCCGGCTTCCCTGCCCCCATCTGCTTAGCCACATGCCTGAAGGCTCCTGCACCTGGGGCTTGCTTCAGTCAGTGCCCAGCCACAGTGGAGAGGGCCCCAAGGCCATTCAGCCCAAGATGAACCTGGAAGTGAAGAAAGGTGCCCGGAGAGGAGCTGAGGGAAGAAATGAGTCAAACACACCTCGTTGGTCTTGGGGACAGAGGGCAGCTTTCCTCAGGCGATGTGCTTCTTTTAAGACTGGTTTCTGGTCTCATGTTCCTTTCCTCCTGGCAGGCCCAGGAAGGGGAGGAATCTGCAGCCTCCACAGCTCTGCCGGGCCAGCTCTACGCTTTCCTCTCCTCTAGACCCAGGTCTGTGCTCCAAGGCTGGCCCAGCGGGCCCCAGGAGTGTGTGCTGAAGGCTTTCCAGTGGCCCTTCCCACAGGTCCCCCGAGACAGAGTTCCTCTCTGTGACTCCCTTGCTTTCTCAGGCCTGCTGGGGGACCAAGTGCAGCAGGCTTCAGGACTGGCTTTCCTCCTGGTTGTCTGCAGGTGACTTTCTTGGGGGAAAAGCAGCAATAGGTGCAGCCAAAGACATGCCACCAGGGAGAGCAAGAACTCAGAGGGCTGATGGAACAGGAATGTGCGGACTTTTGTGACCCCTCAAGGGCTAGAACCAAGTGGACGCTCTCCTGTCTGCTTGGTAGTTGAATCCCCAGGCCAGTGTCACCTCCAGGAAGCCAACTTAGGGTCCATGGAAAGGTATGAGAGCTATGAAATAAGGCCACTGGGCCCCAGTTCTATGTACCACTGGTAACACCTGCCGCACAAATGCCCAGGCATCCAGATCACCCAGGCTGAGAAGGCCTGGTGGAGAGGCCACCTCTTCCCAGGTTGTTTCGCCTTCCCTGACTCCCTGTCCTCCACTCCCACCCCCTCCTGAAGCTCCCATGACTGTCCTTGTTCTTCCCTCAGCCTCACATCCTTCTCTACATTGTCTGCTCAGCTAGTCTTGTGCTTGGCACTAGGGAGTCTACAATAAATCATTCCCTTGAGGGAATGATAACTGATTTTGGCTACTTACCCCTCGTCTGGTGATTTGCATTCATTAGCTTTGCTACTCACAACCCGTGAGGTGACATGACTCACAAGTGGCTGGAGCCAGGATTTGACCCACGTCTGTCTGCTCTTGGGCCCGGACTCTTCCTCACACTCTTTTCCCTCTCCTATCTCTGTCCTGCTGGGACCAGAGGGTATGGAGGAAATGGTGAGTGGCCTCAACATCCAGCAGGGCCACCCTGGCTACTGGCTTGAGGGGTGAGGTTGGGAGGAACTCTTTTTCTGGTGACCCCCAAGAAGCCCTAACTTAAGAACCCCCCTTTCCAGCTTCCCACAAGTATGACTTCCACCATTTCTGGAAACATGAAGCAGTGGTCTCTTAGTCACTGCCTTTAAATTGGTGATGATTCTTCCAACTGTATACACAGGGAGACTGGGGATCCAGTGACATGGGTGCAGGCGGCCTCAAGGAATGTGAGCCTCAGTTGTCCTCTAAGAGTGTCATACCCCATTTATCATTCTCCCTCCAGAAAAATCCAAGGGTCCTTCATCAAGACTTACCAAAGTGTGGTTTGATCCCCTCTGATCCCCACCCCCCACCCCATGCAGTTCCCTGACTTGACACATGATTTTCCCTCTGCCTTGGATTGTCCTTCTCTGATTCCTACCCATCTTTCAAAACCCAGCCCAATGCCACCTCCATGAAGCCTTCCTCATCGACCTGGTGGGCCTGATGTACCCAGGGCTTTGTGCGCCCTGTCACAGTCCACCATACGAGCTCCAGCTGCTTGGAAGTGTCTGTGAGCCGTTTGAAGAGGGGACCACATGACCACGGAGCTGGGAGAGAGGCATTTGGGGGACGGTGTGAGAGAAAGCCATAAGGGCCCTTGAGGTTACAGAAGGAAGCTGGGTGTCCTTCAGGAACCATAGTCAGGCTCCCCTTGTGATCTAGGTTACCTGAAGCCCAGAGCACTCATGACTTGGGGGCGGTGGGCTGGATCCTCACACGTCAGCTTCTCCGCATTCACCCTGCAAGCTTGGAACTTTTCTAGCCCCAGGCATGAGAAGGGAAAAACAAGGTCCTGGAGAACAAAAATTGACTCCAAGTAGCCACATGGACCTATTATAGGAACTAGGGTGTCCTCAGTTCCTGGAGGGACTCAAATCCCTATGCTGCCGCCTCCCAACCTCTGCCATTCTCAATGGCCACCCTTGCCCTCGCTTTCCTGCTGGATATGGGAATGAGGTATTCTTAGGCAGAGGGCCAGGCACAGGCCTCTTGCATGCAGAAAAGACATTGGTCTCCCACTCTGGGGCATGCCAGCCCTTGGCTGGGCCCTGCCTGCTGGCCCCTGAATCCCTGGGGAGCTCATCTAAAATAACCGTGTTGATTGCGGTGTGAGTTAATGAGCGCACTCACTGCTGAGGGCTTTCTCCTGCAAAACCCCTTCAGCCAGTGTCTTGAGTAGCACCAGTGCACTCACTGAAGCCAGAGCCAACCTCTAAAAGGTGAGGCCTTTTCAACGTGGCCAGCAGGGGCCGGACTGGGCCATGCTTGTCGGGCTAGAGTACGACGCGAGGGAAAGGAGGAGATACACACCCCACATCCCACTCACAACAATGTCAGCGGGTGCAGGGTGTGCCAGGCCTACTTTCCTTTCTACCCTCGGCCGCTGCCAGGAGGTGTACTGGCACCTTCCTGAGCAGTTCTGGCACCTGAGTGTCCTCTGGCGTGAACTGAGCCCCGGGCAGCTGTTTCAATTATCAGCCGTGTTTACCCAGCTCTTCTTACAAGCTGCTGCATGTCACAGACCCTGACCCTCAGGAATAGCCTCTTGGCCACAGCAGCTCAGGAGGGGCCCCGACTATGAGCTCCCTGCCCTCTGCATCTGGTCTGACCTCTGTGTCCCTGGCAGGACCCAGCCCAGCCACTTTGGGGGTGCAGAACCCAGCATACTGTCAGGCCCCCCAAATACCCTCTGGTGACGGGGAGAGCCATCCAGTGAGCCAGGGCCATGGGGACCCCAGGCCTAATGCAGTTCCCGTGGCCCCTCAGTGCCTGCACATACATGCCTCTTGGAACTGGGGGTGGGGAGCAGGACAGAGCTCAAAGCTTCTCTGAGGACTGCCTGTCCCGGAGACCATGGGCGTGATCCTGTGCTCACTGTCCTCTGCTGGCCACTGGCCTTGAGGTGCCACAAAGGCCTTTATTTCGGCCGTGCTGGAGACTCTTCAGTGTTCAGCCTGATGGAAACATAGAACAGTCTTTTTCAGTTAAACCTCACCGCCATGCGGGGAGGCAGGCAGTGCAGCAGTTAGTTAAACTCCCATTACCTGATGAGGAAGTTGAGGCTCAGGGAGGGCCGGGGGCTCACCTAGAGCTGCGCAGCTAGTTAGTGGTTGTGCTGCAACTGTCCCACTTTACTTATTTTTTAATCAAAGTAACCTTTCCTAATTATATTAAAGTAATTTCACACTTGTAATAAGACAACACAGACAACACTGAGGAGCAAAAACGGGAAGGTCAGAGCCCCCTTAAGTCACCACCATGTAAGCGGCATATGCCCACACGTGTGCTGGAGAACTGGTGTGCGTGAGCGCGGGTTTTTGATTTTTTTTTTGTGTGTGTGTGTTTTTTTTTTTTTTTTTTTTTAACAAAAAGGAGGGTGTGTTATACCAGTTGTTTCTCCCCACAGCATACATGTGTTCCGTGTCCAGATTCGCATTGCTTTGAAGGGCTAGATAGTAGCCCATTGTGTGAATCATCCATAATTTAGTAACACATTGCTCTTATTGACAGACGTATGTTTAGCTGTTTCCATTTTCCCCCCTCTTCTACAGAACCGTGCTGGGATGCACATCCTGTCCGATTTCTTTGTGCATGTGTATGATTCTTTCCTTTACAGTGCTTTCTTAGGAAAGGGGTTGCTGAGCATGTGCATTTTCCTCCTCACTGCATAGCTCTCTCCAGGAGCTGTTTTTCCTTCACCCCACCCCACCGCTGAACGGGACTCCCCACTTGACCCTCTTGACAGGTGGGCGGCCCATAGGACCTCCCTCTTCCTTGAGCACTGGGCCACCTGTCCTAGCCCTGGAATTGGGTTCAGGACTGGAGCTGGACAGTCCTGGCCTAGGGCTGGGGGACCTGTGGCCCCTGAGCTCCTTTCTGTCTGGGGAGGGTTGATGGGGAGAGGTGACTGGGTGGGTAGATTCTGGGCAGGTAGATGGAGGGGAGCTGGACTGCCTGAGGTCCACTTCCAACTCAGCTCTGAGGCCCACTTGGGCTTCTTGTTCTTCTGGTTGGGTTGGATGCAGTGGAGTGCTAGAGAAAAATGGAGTCAGACTCACCAGCCCATGACCCACTAGCCCTGGGACTCTGGCATGGGTCTCTATTCTGAGCATTAGCTTCTCTGACTGTGAAACGGGGATAAGGAGCCCGCCTCCTGGGGGTGCACAGGTTGCTATAAACTGTTGTGCCCAGAATCTGACTGACCCTGAAAATGAGCATTCCCTTCCGTTTCCCCAGCCTCTGACCCCTGCACAGGGAGACAGAAGGGACTGTCAGCAGCTTTCCTCCTCCTCCTACAAGGACACAAGAGGGCAGCTGCTGAAATAGCAGTAGGAGGAGATGTAGGTCAACTGGCCAGTCGGGAGGACTTGGCTGCTGGGGGAACAGCAGCTTCTCGAGTTGGGAGGGCCTGGGAGGAATCATCTCCTCCCACTCTCCCATCTGCATGGGGGAGCCCACATAGCTGCCACCCAGATGCCTCGTGGGGAGCTGGTGAGGCAGAGGGAGCCAAGGGGAGCTGGTTAACCAGCTAGGCTTGGCGTGGTTAGTTATCCAGGAGGGGCCTTGGTTCACCAGTGGGTCCAGGTTCACATCAGAGAGTTGGCAGCAGATGAGAGGCAGGAAAAACCCATCAAGCCCAGGTTGAGCTGCCTGCGTGAATAGATGGAGGCCTAGGGTGGGCTTTCCTGGCATACAGAATCCAGGATGCTCAGGCCAGTGCCCCTCCTCCCTCCTCCCCTCCCTCCATCCCTCTCTACTTCCTGGACCCTGAGCTGCCATCTGCTGCCCCGTCCCTCTCAGAGCTCTCAGCCGTGTGCACCAGCACATGTGTGTGCATGGGATGTGCGCTGAAGGAGGGGTTGTGCACCAGGTGGGAGGGGCTTGTTCTGGACTTAGAGGCTGCGGGGCCGAGGTGACACTCTTCCTCTCACACCCACCTGCCAGAGGAGCCCAGCCAAAGCTGAAGTCCCCCGCTGGGCTGTTTGTGACAGGGAATTATTTGTAGCTGGAGAAGTGCCAGCATTCTCTGTTCCCAGCCTGCCCCCCACCATGGCAATGGCAGCCTCTCCTCTGCAGTCTGCTTCTGGCGCCCACCCCCCCACCCAGAGGGCCCAGGCTGATATCTGTGGTGTGGCCCCAGAGGACAGGCCCTACTCAGCCCCCATTCTCTGGAATTCTTTTGTTTTCCTCTGTGAGCCTCATGCTCACAGTCCTTATAGTCCACCACACTCAGGCGCAGGTGTGGGGTTCCAAAAAGCTGCTCCTAATCCCTGAGGACCAGAGCAGGGAGCAGGGGCTGTGAAATCCAGCCCCAGGGGACCAGCTGGGTGCCTGCCCCTGTTTCTTACAGGATGCGGCCTAAACCATACACACCAAACTGGAATCAACTCTTGATTAGCAGAACTTACATCCACTTGGGGTTTTTTTCCTGCCTATATAATTTTTTGGTGAGTGTGACCAGGCTGGATATTTTTTGTTTCTCTGTTTTTGTTTTAATAGCTGTGAGCCAGCCAGAGTGGACTTCATATTAGCTATATATATGACCTCTCTTGTCTCCCTCATCCCTTTGCCCGTGCTGCGTGGGGTACAGGGAGAAGCCTGGCCTCCCAGTGTCAGCCAGACCTGAGTTTCCACAGCAGTGCCTCCACTTTTGGCTTGGGGGGTCTCGGAGCAAGCCCCTTGAAGCTGAACCCAGACTCCTGCTCTGTGCAGGGGGGTCAGAAGTCATTTCCGGCCTGTGTGAAGTACCTGGTAGCTCAGTGTTCTGGGCCCCATGGAGTGAGTTGGTTCTCCCTACTCCAGGAATTGATCCACACCAGACCAGCCTGTGCACCAGTCCGGTCTCTCTGCTACCTCCTCTCCCAGACCCCCAGTCCTCCCTCTTCCTGACCTTTGGCATCTCCCACCTTTGCAGATTCTGTGCTGAGTTTGCCCTCCAGGAGCCCTTGTCCCTATTGGTTGAATGAACCTGACTGCTAGTTGCCTCCACCCGCCTCCCCCCACTGCTCCTGCTCTCACCCTCACCACACCAAGGAATCAGGTAGCCTTACCATGTCACCAACTGCTGAGGGACTTGGACAAGTCCCTGCCCCTCCCTGCCCCACCTTGGGCCTCAGTCTCCCCTCCTGTACTAGGAAGAAGTTAGAATCAGATTAGGAGTTTCAGTCACTCAGATTCCTTGGCCCTTGTCCTGGCCTGACTCCAAGCCTCTGCCCTGAAGCCAAGTGGAGCCACAGACATGAAGACCTTGACCCCCGTCCTCTGACTGCTCCTGCATGGGCCCTGGTCTGTGAGAGGCTCCACCATGACGCAGATAACAGCGGGTGCCTCTGGAGAGCTGGGGTCAGGTCCAGACTTAACCATTTCCTAACTGTGGGGTCCTGGGCAAGTCACCTCACGTTTCTGAGCCCTTGCCTCATCTGTAAAATGGAGCCACCAATACCCAGTTGTCAAGGTGTATGGAGGATTATGTGAATTTATGAAAAGCACGAAGAGCAATGCCTGGCCCATGATCCATGCTCAGTTCAATATTAGTTAGGCATATTTTTCCCTCTTCTGAACCTCTGTCTCCCGTCTGTCCTTCAGGAATCCCATCCTGTGCCTGGCTACTGCAATGTTCCCTGTTACTTGTGGCTTCTGCTGCCCACAAGAGAACTCACAAAAAAATAGGAAAAAGCTATTTCTCCCTATGTTGGGGTCTCCAGGAGAAATGGAGCCCCTTGGTAGGTCTGGGAGAGCTGGGACTGAGCGCCCTGGCTGGGGGGCTCATGTGGAGGATGGCTCCAAGGCCTGTACCTTGTTCAGATTATGCCCTAACAGCTGTGTGACGCTTCTCTGGGCCTCAGTTTCCCCAGCTCCCCCTGCTCACCTCACGTTCCCGCAGTGAGGACCATCACCTCAGTCACTGCCTGCTGCTATTCAACTTCTTCGTGGCACTTTTTTGGTCTGTTCACGTCCCATTCTGGCCTCACTTCTCCCAAGAGGAGGCAGCGCTGGGGTCTTTATTCTGCATTGAGTAGGAAGAAGCCCCGATATCAGCCACTGACCTTGCACAGACACTGGTGATGTTCGGAGCCTTCTCTACGTGTTGCCTCTGTGCTCCCGGTATCCCCTGGGGGATGTGCCTGGCAGGCTTTGCCAGACCAGTTGTACAGATGGGGACACTGGGCCCATGGTCCCACAGCAGTCAGCTCCTTACTGGATGGGGAGACAAATGGGTAGCCGTGCTAAGTGGGGGTCACTGGCTGGCTGTCTCTCTTTTCCCCACTCCCACTTTGTTGATGAATCATCAGTAGGAAAAGAGGGAGACAGACGAAGGGAGAGGAAGACACAGAGAGGAGGGGGAGAGAGAGGCCGTGGTGGGGGTGATGGGGAGACGGGGAGGGGGAGGGGTCCAAGCAGCGTTGCTACTTCCTCTAGTGGTTCTCACAGTCTGTCTGCACCGATTCCTGACAGATGGAGGGAAGGGGAGAGCTGGTGCCAAGAGGCTGTCACCGCAGGCGGGCAGAGTTGGGGGGAGGGTGCTTTGTGGCCACTTTTTGTATGGGGAGGGGGCAGCAGCTGGTGGTCTGGCTGCTGGGCCTCCTCAGAGCCTGCTCCCCAGGAGTGGTGGTTGAGGGGAGTGTGGATACTGTAGGGCAGGAAAGTGGCTGAGGATGAACCTGCCGCCTGCCGTGCCCTTGCCCCCGTCCAGGCAGAGACAGCCACCCCGCCCTCCCGCATTCTCTGTCACCAGTAGGGCCCTCCCACCAAGGACGCCTCCTTCCTGGGTGTCAAGGCTGGGCAGGGGCTCTGGGAGGAGGCACGGAGCTGTGGTGAAAGGGGACCAGGGTAGGGAGAACCTGGATCTAGGAAGCCCCTAAGACCATGGAGCTGTGCGGGGCCTCAGGGCAGGATGGGGCTCAGCCCCTCCCTCATTGAGCTGTTCCAGGTTTTTCCTGTGTTTCTTCACCGCAAAGGGGCTCTAGCTTTTTCTGCAGGCTCTGACACATCTACAGGAGGTAGGAGGGCTGACCTGGGGCGGGTTTGGCATCATCAGCATCTTTGTCTTTTTAGAGTGTGGAATTGGGTCTCATGTTCTCATGCTCTCCCCTCCCGTCTCAGCAGGGAGGAGGGGTCCTGTGAATGCTTGAATGAATGAATGAATCCCCTAATTTGCCCACCTTGTGGGACAGAGTCCTCACTTCTTTATAAGACACTTCTTCCTGTTTTCAGAAACAAACTCTTTTAATTCTGTCTGGCGAGGCCCCATGGGCACCAGATCTGTCACAGGTGCCTATGGAGCCCCAGGTCTTGTGGCTTTAGAGCAGCTGCCTATATAGACTGGACACACCCCTACGTGCACCTCACTCCTCAATGGGGCTTGACAGGACTGGGTCTCCACTGCGCTGATCTCTGAGTTGTCAGTAACCACAGCTGTCATTTACCAAGCCCTCACTCAGTGCCAGGAAGAACACCATTCAGTTCTCACATAGCCCCATAGGGTAGGTACTGCCTTTACTCCTATCTTACAGAAAAGAGAAAAGAGGGAAGGTAATGAGTGACTACCCAAGGTCAAGTGGCTAAGGTCTGAGTGGGGGCCTACCCAGGCCTCCTGGAGCAGAGCCTTGGGCAGGGCTTGTGGGTCTTGACAGGGTCACAGTGAGGACCTGTGACCACAGTGAGGACCTGTGACCTCTTGAGGTCCATCTTTCCCTGTCCCAGCTCCTCCCCTTCCCCACATTGTTCTTGGCAGATCCTTGACCCCCAACACTCCAGCTGTGTAGTCCCCACACCTGGAGACCAGGGTGCAGGGGTGTTCCATGTGGAGCCCAGGGACCTACCTGTCCTATTTGGTGACCTTCAGTGCTATAGAATGAGGGTTGAGGGTCGGGGGGTGGGAGCTGGATCTCCTGCTGCTGCTTAACATAGGTTCTAGTCAGAGGTGTCCTCCACTCGCATGCATCGTGGCCATCATTAATAAATGACGGCGTGTCCACCCCCTGCCTGGACTGGGCTGGGTGCTCTGGGGGAAGCCCTAAGCAGGAAAAGCACCCATCCTGAGAGCAGAGGATGCATCTTCCACGGCATTTATCCCCCAGGGCCTGACCTAGGCTCTGTGCTCAGGAGCAGAGCAATAAATTCCTCCTGGCTGAAAACCAGGAACCTGGGCCTCTCTAATAGGTCAGCACTGCCAAAGGGCATGCTTCTCCCCTGCATCATTCACAGGTTGATTTCACGAGCCTTACCACCAAGACCTTTCCCCTTACCTGGCTCTTCCGATGCTTCCAGGGACTCTCCAGTAAATGTAGTGGGTGGCCGTGGTCCCTTTAGCCCTCTTGACCGTGACTCTGTGTGACCTTGGGCAGAAGCACTCCCCTCTCAATATCTTGGTTTCCTCATCTGTGCAGTGGGTTATAGTAAATCCTACCTGAAAGAATATTAGGAGGTTACATGAGCACAGCGCATAGTAATCTCTCCGTAGTGTTCTTCTGCCTTTGGGGGGTAGAGGAAATGAGCCCCACTGTTCTCCATGCATGACTTCTGACAGTCCTGGCAGGGGGTTTGCTCCTGTCCCTAGGCTGATGGGTTTGGTGAGACCCAGGAGCGGTGCCACAAGGTCCCTCGCCTGTGAGTGGCAGATTCAAACCCTGGTCCCTGGGACCCTGTGTGCATTCGCCACAGCACCAGGCAGGGAGGAAGGACTTAACCTGAAACACCACTGAAACTGTAGTTGCAGAGGCTCCTGTTTCCTGTGCTGATCTCCTGCAAGCCTCCAGCCAGCAGATCCCAAATCCCTCCTAATCCCAGGAAAGAGGCAGCTCCTGGTCACGTCTGTCAGCATTTCTGAGAGTCCTTCCTGGGCCTCTCACCTCCCACATGAGCAGGGAAGCGGCAGGCAAAGGCCTGGGCTGTGAGGATGGGGGATTTCCCGACTCCGGTTGAGATCTGTCACAACATTAATGTTAATTAAGCCTCGTTAATTCAGCCCTCTGCTTACGCAGAGCTCCTGACAGCAAATTACTCATAAGTGAGGCGGTAAATTTATTGCTGCGTTTTCCCAAACACTCAGCTACAAAGAACGCGCCCCCTGGAAAGGCAGGGGAAAGGCCTGGAGGGTGAGGCTGAACCGTGGGGTGGGGCTTGGTGGCCCAGGAACCTGAGAGCACTGGGTGCCTATGGGCTCTAGTCAGAGCAGGCTGCCTGGAGATGCAGGGAGCTCCCCACTGGGAGGCACGTGAGCAGGAGGGCTGGAGCGCTGCCAGCCCCCTGGACTGGCCCAAGGTCTTTCTGGCTCATCCATCTCACAGGGCAGGCATGGTGGCTGTGCTGTTTCCTCCCACAGTGCCTTGAGCGCACATGGTGGGGCCCATAGAGTGCGAGTTTGGATCAGGAGGTGAGCCCCACAGCTCACCTTGGGGTCCTCTGCAGTGTCTCCGCCAAGAGCATGGACAGAACTTCATGTCTGCTGAGGTGTGTGGGCAAGGCCAGCAAACCTGCCAGGGACCCTGTCCTGGGTCATGGGGTGCTCCTGGGTCATATTTGGGGGCCCTCTTGCTAGGCTAGGTATCAACCCTTGGATGAGGGCACAGCCTCTCTCCTCACAGCCCCTCCCCTTGAGTCCTGCTTCCCTCCTTGGCCTCAGGCTGAGCCAATCCTGGATGTTTGGAACAAACCCAGGCTCTGGGTACCTAGATTTTTTTTTTAATTAATTAGAGCATTAAATGGTCGCCCTCTGGGAGAATCCCACCATCTGGCTATCACGGGAGAGGCAGGAAAATCTATGCATATTTGTCAATAGTATGTGAGCATCGTGTGAAGCCACCTGTGCATGTGGGGGTGTGGTCCATGTGCTGCAACGTGTGCACTGTGTGACCTGTGTGCCTGAGTGTGTTCACCATATGCACATCTGAGTGTGTGCCTCTGTAGGTGTGCATGCCCATCTGCATATATGTGTGCAGTGAGTGGTGGGGCAATAGTCTGCATGTCTGCCTGAACACACTTCTGTGCACAGACTAGCTTTCTGGTGCTGAGAGGCAGGCCAGACTGTGTACAGAAAGAGTGGGGCCTCTTCCCATCCTGGCTCAGGGAAACAGCTGGGACCAGAACCCAGGCCTCCTGGCTCCCACTCTGGTCTCCTGTTGCTGCACTGATGTGTCTTTGAAAAGGACTAAGGGGGGCTCAAGAGGCAGTTCAAATCTGGGGAGGTGAATGCTGGGATACCAACCAACTGGAGAAAACTGGGAATTGCTGAAACCCCAGATCACTGTGCATGAATGAAGGATTTTTAGAAAAAAATGTTTTAATGATTATTGTTTTTACTATGCATGCAAATACTGAATGGTAAATGAGATTTGTATCATGAGGTTTGTATCATGGGCTGTACATTCTGTACAGATGGGAAGACCCAGGCCCCAGCATTGCCTGCATTTGTTCATTCAGTCATCACACAATCCTTAAGTGTTTCTCCCTCCCGCCCCCACCCCCCCAAACTTGTAGGAAAAGATTGTTGGGTGACAGCAATACAAGGTGATGAGGCTGTGGCCATGACCCTATGTGGATCCCATGTGGGATCATGAAAGATCTCCCAACAGAATTGGGGGAGCAGGTCCTCCACTCCTAACTCCCAAAGGCTGAGGTGTACTCAGCAGAGGCCACGCCTCTTGATATCATTTAAAAATTATAACAAAATCTTGAGGACTTACTAGATATATAGCCTGCAGGTGGAGGAGCAATTGAGAAAAGTGGGAGAAACTTCCACGCTGCGTGTTTCTAAGGGCTCGGCCCAGGCGCTGATGAATCACATCTTAAGACCAGCTGTGCTGCAGGACAGGCTTCATCGCCACAGTTTTTGATGGGAACTCGGGCTCTGAAAGGACAAATAACTTCCCTGAGGTCACACAGCTAATAAGGGGCAAAGCCAGGATTTGAGCCCTGGTTCCTAAATCAGCTGTTGGTGGGAGGAGGTTCTACAATAGGCAACAGACTGGAATCTTCCAAACCTCTGTGCCAAGAGAAAACGTCCCCTTAAAGAAAAAGACCAAGTGGGTGGGATTGTCATGGAGCCGCAGACATGCTCAGGGGACAGCCTGTTTCAGAAGGGGCTTCCCTTTCATCCAAGCAGTGGTAGGACCTATCTTGTTGGGCGACCCAGGATGACACGGGGGCCCAGAGATTGGGACCATGTCTAAGGGGTACTGCAAGTGGCATGGTGGCCAAGGTCTGGGCCAGGATGCCAGTGAGATGTGAGGAGCTGCTGGGCACGACCCCAGTCACTCCCTCTGCTCACCTCCTGCAGCCATGTGCATCTCCTTCTGCCCAGCTTTGGCCCAGAGGCCTTATAGCTGCCCTGCTGGGTCCCTGGCTGGAAGCACTAGTCTGTGGCCTGTGGCCATCAACTCTGCCCCTGTTGCCTGCCCCATGGCTGGCCACAGAGAGGTGGGTGGTCTCAGCCAGACCTCTGAGTCCCAGCCCACAGGACCAACACGCTGAGACACGAAAGTCTTACTTAACTGCAGGGCTTGCCAGCACATAGCAGGACACCTGGCATGCTGGAGGCCTCCTACTTGATTCTTTTGGCTTTTGGCAGCAGAGAACTGAGACTTTATAGTTAGAACTGGGGTCATCAGAAGCTGGCCCTTCCAGAACAGAGGGCGAAGGGTGTGCACGGGAGAGGGCTGGGCAAAGGCAGGTGTAATGGCCCTTGCACCGAGCTCTCCTTGAAGTGAGTCTGGGCAGCCCCTCTGCCCCGAGCACTTGCCAGGCAGTCCAGTGGCAACGCGTGGGTCAGCCTTTCCTCCCCCACTCTGGCCTAGCTGTCTCCCAGGAAACGGGGAATTTTCCCTCATTCCCATCATTAGGGTGCCAGGGCAAACAAACAGCCTAATCCAGATGAGCCCTGGGCCATAGTCACATTCTCTTTGGGGGTTTTCTCTTTATTTCTAGCAATTTTGAGAAGCCTGAAGTAATTGGTATTCCACACAGGTTGATAGAACTGCTGCCTCCTCAGTATTATGCCTTAATTTCCTTTATCGCATAGCAAGTTGGAATTAATCGCCCCTCTCCTTCCCTTTTCCCACCGAAACCCATTACCAGCCTGTCTGCTGGTTAAAGTCATTTTGTGGCAGCTCTTGGCTCCTTTCCACTTCCCTAGGAATCTTTCCGACCAGAGCCAAAGAACAAGGAGGGGTGAAAAATCCATTTGTACAAAGTGGGGATCTCCTGTTGAGAACTTATTTCCCTCCCTGTTCAAGAGGAAGGAACGTGTCCAGCCTCCAGCCGGCACAGCTGACCGAGCCCCCCGTCGCTGAGAGCATTCAAGGAGGCGGAATGACCATATGTCAGCGGTGGGAACAGAGGATGCTGGCGTGGGGTGGGGGAAGGGCAGGCCTTTGGCAACCCCGGCACCAGGGTTAGGTTCTGTGATTCGAAGCTCCGGGGTTCTATTCTGCATCTGTGGATTTAAGGTGCTCACCATGAAGAGATTCTGCGAATCCATCGTCCTAACATCAGACCATTTGGGTCTAAGTACTTTTAAATTGTGTTGTAAGATGCTAAGATCCTCTCCTGGGGCTTAGCGATTCAGTTCTGTAATTCTCAGGCTACTTTGCAAGTCGCTTACCCTGCGGTTCCACTCCAGGATCCGGTGCTGGGAGAGGGAGTGTGATTGCTCGGTGGAGACTGCCTTGGGAAGCTGTTCCTGGCCTTCTCTGGCTTCAGTTTCCTCATTTATGAAATATGAGGGTTGGACAAGATGGCTCTAGGGCCTGACCGCCAGGAGTGTTCTAGAAGCCTGATGCCTCTGTGGCTCCTTCTCAAACCACCACCCCTCCTCCCCAGGGCCCGGTCTGCCCTGGCTACCCTCTAGCACCTCAGGGGACCCAGAAATGTTCCCCATCTGAACTAAGCCGGGCTCCTTGTCCACTTGCCTCCAGCCCTCTCCCATGCTAACAGGCAGGCAACCCAGCTCTCCTCCAAAGTTCCAGCAGGAAAGTCGGAGTGGGCGATGGTAAGAAATACACCCCATCATCACCAAGAACTCTGTCGCCTTGCGGGCTGCACAGTTCACCTTGTATTTTCAACATCTATAATCTCTGAGGGGTATAGCTATTATCAGCCCCATGTCATAGGGGAGGAAACTGAGACTCTGAGAAACGAAGTGACTCACCACTAAATCATACTGGAGGTCCCAGAATCCGAGCTGCTTGTTGTTGGCACAGCTGCAGGCTGTCGGGGCTGGTCAGTGTGATGAAGGAGAGCTGGTGGGGAGGGGCAAGGCACTGGGGTAGTTTCTCCCGAGAAAGTTATGCTCACACCTCCTGCTGGAACCAACCTGTGGGATATTAAAGGGCTTCAGAGAATGGACTCCTTTTCCTTCCCAGTGCGCCAAGATGCCAAGAGACCACTTTTCCATCTGCATTAGAAACTGCCTTTTCCTTCTGAATCAAACAAGATTTCTCAGGGTTTCTGTATACGCCACCCCTCTACTTAACTCCTCCCCACCCGCTGCAGACCAAAAGCACCTCATTTTTTGAGGTCCTACCTAATGACTCCCCAGCTCTACCCCCCTTCGGTAGCCCTCACTTGCAGAGAGGGGAGACACTGGTGAGGGCTTGGACACCCCAAGTTCAGGGTCTTTCTTTTCAGCTGGGGGACTGAAACCCAGAGAGAGGGGAAAAAAATCTCAGTTCTCTCTCTCTCTCTCTCTCTCTCTCTCTCTCACACACACACACACACACACACACACACACAACCTCTCTGCCTTTGATTCTAATCAGGACTATTTTATCCTATTCTGGGTCGTGGCCATAATATCTGTAATCTTTGTCACCTCAGCTCAGCTATAAACCGTCAGGGAAGTCCCATCCTCATTTTCTTCTTTCCTCATAGAGCATAAGATATCTGGGTTTTGGTCCTGCCTCCAGCTCTGTGACCTTGGGATGGCCCACTGCCTTTTAAAAGAGCATTGCTTCCTCATCCCTCAGAGTGATACCTGCCCCCCGCTTCTGGCCCACCTCATAGAGCTGCTGTGAAGAGCAAGACCGAGGGGCTGGGGCCAGAGTCTTGAGCATGTCACTCAGTGCCATGTCTATTCAGGACATGGGCCCTGTTCTGCCAGATTTAACTTTGGGCTTTGCTGAGTTTCCCAGTCAGTTTTATTGTCCCTCCACAGCCCGAGGCCCACCACCTCTGAGCTGCTGCTTCTCTGTGGCCCCTGCTTCCCTCTCTCCAGGGAACACGTAAGTGCTCTATGGTCCTCTTCACTGGCAGCACACCTGCCGCCCCTCCTGGCAGCCAGTGCTCATGACATCCGCTCTCAGCTGCTGCTCACCTGGGCCAGCCCCCAGGAGATGGATATCCCAATAACGGGGTGTCGCTGCCCATTTATCACCAGAGTGGCCCAGTGGGGCTCCTCTCTTCTCTTCTCCTACCAGCCTAATTGGTGAAAGCATTTGCATTTTCTGCTTAGCGCAGGCTGCTTCCCAGGGTGTTCAGCTGCTGCCAGCAGGGGAGGGTGCTGCATGAACATTAGTGCAGAGCCCAGGGCCCTGACTGCCTGTGGGTAGGGCCATCACTCTGTCCTTCACTGCCTCGTGCCACCTGGCTGCTGGGCAGGAGTGACTGACTACCAGTCTCTTTGCCCTTAGTAAACCCACTGTTCACTAAGACTGTTGACTAAGGCGGTGTGGCCCTCTGGCCTGGCCTCCTTGCTGATGACTGCAGAATTCTGCCCTGGGAGCCAGCAGAGGTGGAGGAAGCAGAGCCCAGAGAGGCCTGTCCAGTGTCACCCAGCGTGTTGGTTGCGGAGCAGGGCTGGCATGAGGGCTGGAGCCTCATCCTTCACTGCAGAAGCAGAAGAGCTGCTCCTCCTCACATTGGGGCTGGTGGCAGACAAACAGGGCCTGAAAGGTTCTGGATTCCTTGGCAGGTTCTGAGGTCTGTTTGAGGGTGGCAGAGCCATTGATCCCAGAGCTCATGTGGCCTGGCTATGGTTGGACAGGCAAGCCCCCTGGTCAGAGGAGGCTGAGTCCCAGTGGGGGCAGCTAGGTATTCCCCGGTGGAGTAGAAGGGCAGCATGAGGCTGGGAGCCAGGCAGGACTCTGTCTGGACACTGAGGAGGGTTTTCCGGTCAGGCCTCTTGCCCTCTGGAGGTTTTTACTGTGAGGACCATGCGTTTCCCCACTGCTGTTTCCTCTGCCAAGTCCAGAGTTGGACTGGCCTGAGCTTGGGGAACGGGCAGGGCTCTATGCTGCTTGCCTGCTACCCTAAGCAGCACCCCCTGTCCTTCAGTTTGCAGGCATCAACTGGAGACCCTCTCTGCTGACCCACCCTCCTCCCCCCCACACCCATCTTCCCAATAGCCGTCTCTGGCTCAATACCGCCAATGTCCACAAATCACTATGACAGGAAGACCCCTTTGTCGTCTGTCCCTCGGAGACTCCATCTTCCTGGTGGCGACACGGAGTCCCACATACCCCAGCGAGGGCTTGGACCTCCCTTGGTGACAGTGGGGCCAGGGTCAGAGCAGCTGGGATGTGCTGGGCCTTGGGGAGGGACTTGGCTGTGGGAAGCCCCAGGTGATCCTTTTGGTGGGGCCCACAGCAGCACCAAGGACTGCACAGTCCATCTGTGTCTTAGTCACAGACCCAGAGGTCAGCTGCAGGGAGTCCGTGAAGTCTTGTCCACATGAGGAAACTGAGGCCCAGCATGGGAAGAGGCTACACAGCCTGGTAGAGCTGTGGGGCTCAGGATCAGACCCTGTGTGAGGCGGGGTGAGGAGCACACTGAGATGAAGTGACAGGAAGGCTCGTGTGGTGTCTGGGCTGCAGGCACTAAAGAAAGAGGCCTGGACCAGGGGAGAGAGGCCTGGCTTCCAGTCTGGCTGTGACCCTGCTGGCCAAGAAGTCTCCCTCAAGTCCTCATCTGTTGTGTCCAGCATGCCAGACTGGGCAGATTCATTGTTGATTCAGGCATATGGATAAAGGAATCCTGGGGGCTCGACAGATTTGGCCAATTTTAATGCTGAAGCAGGCAACAGGTACACAGGCAGGCAGGCAGCTGCGGAGGCACTGAGAGCCTCAGAGCTTCCCAGCTCCCACCCCCTGATCTCCGAACTTTCTTTGCTTATCTCTGGCCTCCTCTCTCCGATCTCCCAATAATAATCTCTCTTGGGCATCCATACTTACAGCATGCACGCCCGTGCTCTCTGGCTTCTTGGCCCAGAGTGTCCATAATCACAGGGATGCGTGCCCTGTGCTCATACTCCCAAGCACTTTTTGTCCCAACTCGCTATCACACGTGGGCAGTGAAACCTCGGAGGCAAGCAAGGCCACAGGTGCAAGCCATTGCCGCTGGCAGTGGGAGGTGAAAAAGAGCCTGAATCACTCCCTTTTCCCCCCAGGTCCCCAGCAGAGGGCAGCTTGGAGACCCTTCATTTGGAGTAAAGTGGTGTGGGCAGCTCACGGAGCAACATCTGTGTCCTCTGCCACAGCCAGAGACACCACTGCCACTCCCCATGTTGTCCTTCAACTGCCACTTGGAACACAGCCCCTCCTCCAGCCGGGAAATCTGGGCCACCTCCTCAGGAAGATGGGCTTTGTGGCTGCTCTCATGCAGTCTCCCCTTGGGCCCCCAACCCCTCCAAGCCTCGTTTGCACATCTCATTCTTAAAATGTTTTTGTTTTTTGGCTTAAGCGCTGAACTGGTTAAACATGTGTAGCTCCTTAATAGATTGGGCCGGGGGAGAGAGAAGTTGGAGAATGTTACGGGGAACTGCTCAATTTAAAAGCAAAGATGCAGGCCTTCATCCCCTTCGCCCCTTCCCATGCCTGTCCCTCCCCCAGCACCTGCTGCTCCTTCTGAAATTACCCCTTGCTCCCCAGGTGGGAGGAAGCGGACTTGGATGTCACCTGCTGATGGATGGTGGTGGCCGAGCCCCGGAGCCCGCTGGGCAGCACAAAGCGGAGCTGAGCCCCACCCACCACGCGCCCGGGGTGTCGGCACTGTGGGAACGGTCTGCCTTCCTGGCACCAAGAGCCCTGAGTCTGATTGTCAGCATGTGGGCGCTGGACTCAAACAGTCCCACAGAGATCGGATGGGAACTGGCTCCAGCTTATCTACATGTGACTTCTGTGGTAGCTGTACTGAGTCCTGTCATGGTACCAACGGGGGCAGGTCTGGGTGTGCAGCCATAGAGCCTCAGGCCCTTAGAGAGTTAAAACCTTACACCCACAGAAGCTTTTCTAAATGGTCTATTAGACCCTTGGGATCTTTAAACCAAGAGTTCTTAGGGATTCAGTTTGAACCCAGAGCTGCTGGACCACAGAGCTGCTGGTGATGGGCTGTGAGCCCAGGTTCTCTTGACCCCACCAGGGCTGTTAAAAGGATGCTGGGGAAACAGCTGATGGGGATCCCCCTTGCCCTGGTTCTAGTGGCACAGCTCCATTTCTTTAATCTGTTTTATATGTTGGGGTTTCACTTGGGGAAAGGTCCTCTGCTTAAAAAGGAAGAATAAAGTTTCCAGTCCCTGCGCTATACCGCAGCTCTGTGCCAGGACCCGCTGCAGCCCAAGAGGGTGGCTGTGGCCGGCGGGTGAGCAGGGCCTCTCGGGAGGGGGTGCAGGTTGCTCTGGGCCACTGTCTCCTCCCCTTCTCACTCCTGCTGTGTTGTTGCCGTAGCCAGAGAACACTCTGGGTCTGTCGTCCTGTTGACTGGGGTGACAGTTTAATAGTAGCTTCCTGGGCTGTCATTTAAATCTGCCTGCCAGGTTAGTAGGCCAGGGGCGGGCTGGCACACCCCCTGCCCCCACCCCGGATCTTCATCCCGCTGGCAGCGGTCGTCTTGGCAACGCCAGCCCTGGCGAGCTCTGTAGAAGGGTAACCATGGGGGGAGCAGCCCTTTCATCTCCCGACCCGGCTACAAGTGGCCCAGCTGCCTTAGGGCTGGGCTGCAGGGCCGGAGCCAGGCCACCCGGTGCTGGTCCAAGCCTAAGAGAGGAAGAGGGAACAGATAAGTCCCCTCTCTGTCCTGGGCTCCAAGGTGGGCTTTATTTACATATTTGCTCTCGCATCTCTCAACTAGCAGGGGAAGGAACGTCACATGCCTCAGCAACAGTGTTGAACCAAATCTGCCTTGCACTGGTCTCTGCTCTGCTCTCAAATAATTTTCCTTGGGCCCTATCACCTGTTTGCAGAAACTGGAGGGCACGGTCCTTGACATCTCTGCATCCTTGACATCTCTCTCAGCTGCTGTTCCATGTGACCTAGTATCAACCCCATCCCAGGTTCTCTTCTGGGTGACTCTGCTCTGAAGACTGGGGAATGCCCTCAGCTTCACTCTGGGCCAGTGCTCATAAACATGTATTTTTCATGAGTTGGTGGAGCCAGCCCAGAACGGAAGGCTGGGTGCCAGCCTCTGCTGTGTGACCATAGGCCAGTCCTTCCCTCTTAGCCTTCTTGCAGGATGAAGAGTCACACTACAGCAGTGTTTCCTCATAGAGCTGAACTCCTTGTTTTGTGGTTTGCTGAACTCCTTGTTTCTAAGGAAATTAATAGATGTGGCACTCGATAAAGAAGTTCCTCAGCTACACTAGTTTGGGTAGTGCTAGAGGCAAAAAAAACCAGTCAGGTATCTTTACTGTAGTGCTTCTTAGGGCTTTTAAGTAAGCCAGTGGGTACCGTGCCTCTCCAAGGGGGAATAAAAGGGTCTTATTCCAAATACCTGGGTGAATGGCCACTCCTGTTCCCTGTCCTGTCCTCTGCCTCTTTCTGCCTCTGCTTGGTGCACTGAATCCTCAAGGAAGCCTTGGCAGCTTGGAGCTGTGGGCTTTGCTGGCTGCTAAACAGCAGCTCTGTGCTTAAGAGAGGATGGATGAGTCCAGGGGAGCTCGGGCAGACCCCACGCTGGGCCTCTAAGAGGCTGCTTGGTGCCAGGAGGCTCCTGGGCTAGTCCTGGAGCTTCCAGGTCCTTTGCCACTTGGCTCCTCCCCACCCCAGTGGTCAGTCTGTTGGCTCCTCCACAGGCCGACCCTCTTATCCTTTTCCCTGGAGTGCCCTTCAGTGCCCTCCTCACTCCCACAGCACAGCTCACACCTCTTCCCTCCTCCAGGAAACCTTCCTGGGTGGAATGGGTGGGTGGCCCTCTCCTGTGCCCTGGCCACACCTGGGTTCCAGAGCAGCCACCCCACAGACACGGACTGTGACTTTGAGCATCCACTTCTCTCTGGGCCCCGCTTTCCGACCTAGGGAATGGGAGCACCATACAGGGGACTTGTAGGCTCTGCCATGACGTAGCATTCTGGTTGCCAAAAGGAAGCCACACCAAGCAGCTCCACCAGGTAGCCCTGAGTAATTTTTGTTTTGAAGCCCCCTATTTGCACTGGGGCTGTGGGATGAGAGTGGGTGGGGAACAGTGGCGTGAAGGATGCATATTGTCTTAGAGAAGGATGCCTCTGGGGGTGGAGAAGCTGGGAGGTGCTGAGTGATCATAATAATTTCACAAGATCATAGACTCTGGGTGCTGGTGGGGGGCTTGAGATTCAGTCAGCACCACACCTCCACTTCCAGCGTGGAGGCAGGCCAGTGTCACGCACACAGCAGCTGAGGCTGCTCATTTCACATCCCCAAACCTGCCCCTTTATGCTTTCTAGTTTATATAGCCCATTTGCTCCTCACAACAACCCTGTGTATTTGGCGCAGCAGGGCTATTACTCCTGACTGCAGATGAAGCAAGTGAGGCTCAGAGAAGTTGTGTACCTTCCAAAAGGTCACACAGCCCACAAGTAGCGGAGCAGATTTTGAACAACTGTGGATGCTTTCCTTGGCCTGTGTTCTTATAAACAGCAACGCCTGCTTTCTTTGTCCCGGATTTCCCATTCTCTCCCAATCTGTCCTGGGGTTGGCCCCGTACCACCATCCTCTGGAATTCCAAATCCTTTGTGGCAGCCATCTGTTGCCATGGCACCAGATTATGATGTCGCAGACGCTGGATGGCTGTGTATGTTCCTAGGCTTAGTACAGTGACTCACAGAGGTGAGCATTGTCCAGCAGGCAGACTGACATAGAGGGACATAAATCCCTGGAAACAGGGGCCACAGCCTCGAGCCCAGCTGGGGTATCACCCTGGGAGCTGAAGCCAAAGCTGCCAAGGACTGAAGAATGAGGGTCGGGCATGGCTGACTGTGGCAGCCCCATAAGACAGCTCAGCCCTGATCTCTTGGCAGGGCTCATGTAGCCTCTTGATGAGGGGCTGCTGGCCTCATTACACTCAAAGTCCTGACTCTAGGGTGCTCCCTGAGATCCCCCTGCTTGAGCATTTTTGCCTTCTGTCCTTGTGGCACTGTTCTGCATGAAAGCCACAATCCTCCTTTGCCCCAAGAGGAAAGGAACTTGCCCCGGGGTCACACAGAGAGGGTGATGCTGCTGAGTATTTGGGGAGCAGTGATGGAGAAGAGGGGCATATGACTGCAACTCCAAATAGTGGGCCCACTCCCCCCAGATGTGACCTTAGCATGTAACTTAGTGCCTCTGACCCTGGATTTCCTTTTGTGTCAAGAGGAGACATCACTAGTCCTTTGTTGTGGGGTCTCAGGGGTAAGTAACTAGCAAAGAGACTGGAACACCAAAGGGACTCAGAGAATGTTGAAACAGGAAAAAGAAAACACTAGGAGACACGTTTCTTTTGGGGTTGCTGAGCTTCTAATGGAGAGAACACATCAGTGTTCCTATTAGGAAATACCCCACGTGCTGTGGTTCATAACATACTCACTTTTGGGTGATCATGGGCCATGATTTACCAAAGGGCAGGATTTGCTTCTATGACCTACAGTTAGCCCCTCTGGATCAGGGAGGGCCCCTGGAGGCAAGAGAACCAGTTCTGATCCCCGCCTTGCTGTGTTTCCCTTCCCCTCCCTGGACCTTAGGTCCCCCATTTGTGTATAGACTTTAATTCCCTTGTTTTCTCTAGCCCTGCAAAAACAGGTGGTGTTTTAAGGAAAAAAGTGTGAAGAAAACTCCTTTTACAGCGCAGATGTACTGAAAGGATTCTATTGAAAAGAGAGGCAGAAATAAAACAGAGTTAGGAGACCCAGTGTCTGTCCCAAAACCCGGGCTAGGCTGCTCATCCCAGGAGCAGCAGTCACAGCCCAGGGGCAGCTAGAGGGCCCTTGGGAGGGCTTACATAACCCAAGGCTGGCCATGAAGGAGGAGCTTTCTGGGAGAGGGTGAGCCCTGCCTGCAGGTGAGGGAGAAGAGACTGGGCAGTGAGGTGCCTAGTGTGTTCGGGGCCCCCCAGCCAGATCCAGAGGCTGCACTGAATAGTCCCTGCACTGGAGGCGCATCAGCCAGTGGACGGAAGGAAAGCACACCCAGTGCTCTTCCCCAGTCCTGCTACCAACTTTGAGATCTCAGCCTATCATGTGAGTCCCTTGGAGGGCACCAGAAGACCCCATCTCCTTTATTCGAATTAAGACTCAAACCATTAAAACAGCTGTAGCTGTTACATACCTGAATCTGCTGTGTGCCAGGATCTGTTACGTTCTTCACACATTATAGTTTCTTGTTTCTCCTTTCAGAGCCTTTTGTTTTCTTCTCCCTATTACACAGATAAGAAAACAGAGACTCAGACTTTAAGTAGCATCACCAAGAACACACAGATAGAAAGAGGCAGAGCTGGGAGTCAACCCCGCTATGTGAAGGTCAATTTCTCTTATCAGTGTCCTACAGTCTTTCACTTCTTTGGTTATTTAACTTTATTCCTAGGCATTTTATTCTTTTTTATGTGATTATAAATGGGATGGTTTTCTTTCTGATAGTTATCAATGTAAAGAAATGTAACAGGTTTCTGTATTTAATTTGTATCTTACAACTTTACTGAATTTATTGGTTCTTTTTTAGTGGTCTTCAGGGTTTTCTATATAAAATATCTACAAATAGTGACAGTTTTACTTTTTCCTTTCCAATTTGGATGCCTTTTATTTCTTTTTCTTGCCTAATCGCTCTGGTTGGGCCTTTCAATACTATGTTGAATAAAAGCAGTGAGAGTAGGCCCTTGTCTTGTTTCTGATCTTAGAGAGAAAGTTTTCAGTTTTTCACCACTGAGTATGATGTTAGCTATGGGCTTATCACACATGGTCATTATTATGTTAAGGTATGTTTCCTCTACACACTTTAAGAGTTTTTATCGTAAATGGGTATTAACTTGTCAAATGCTTTTTCTGCATCTATTTTATTGATGTTTATCCTTCAGTTTGTTAATGTGGCACATCACACTGATTTGTAGATATTAAACCATCCTTCTATGCCTAGAATGAATCCCACTTGATCATGGTGTATAATCCTTTTAATGTATTGTCATAGCTCATTAATTTTGCCACAAAGTAACCATCTGCTTTTAGAATTCATTATCACCAGCTTCCCGATGACTGCAGAAGGGGCCTTGACTTTGTTGGTTGGGAGGAGCAGGCCAGGCAGTAACGGAGGATTAGTTGAAGAGGCTAAAGCAACTGTTCTAGGTGGTCAAGGGAAGGCTTCCTGGAGCTGGTGACAGTGGAACTGAACTTTGGGGAAGTGAAGGGAATGACAGAGGTCAGACATTCCTTCGGTGGACTTGAGCTCCAGGACTAGGAAGGCAGGGCCAGGTGTTACCTGTCTCTACCTAGTGGTCATTAAACACTTGTGGGATGAATAATACTTTCTTCCCTGTCCCCTCCTTGGTCAGCGAGTTACTCCACAGGCTGTGGGTGGTCATGTGGTCCAGCTTTCTGATGGAGCACATTCTTTGCACTTTGTAGCCACCTGGCTGTGTGTCCTAGGAAAACCTCCTATACCCACCTGGCCCTTCACATTCTTCTCCTTTCTCTGCAGCCAAGAAGACCTGCTCAGAGAGTGACTTCACCTGTGACAATGGCCACTGCATCCCTGAGCGGTGGAAATGTGATGGTGAGGAGGAGTGTCCTGATGGCTCCGATGAATCCAAGGCAACTTGCAGTGAGTTCTTGCCCCTTGAATGGGGAGGGGACCTCCATCTGGGCCTGCCTCCTGTTTCAGATGTCCTGGTTGGAGGATGGAGGCACGAATGAGTGACGTGACAGAGCCCCAGATCCACATTATACCCTGTCTTCAGGGGCTCCTGGCAAATAGTCAGGTGTGTCTAGTTCCTGGTTCCAGTAATCTGTTTCTGGGCTTTCTTCACAGTCCTCTTGCAGGTTGGCCTCTGATCCTAGGGTTCCTGCAATTAGGCTCATCCCTAGCATATCGCCATAGCACATCCTCCAGGCCTCCCTCAGCCTCCCACACTATTTTTCTTGAGGACCTTAATCATGATTCTAGTAATAGTAATGACAGATGGTGCTTATTAAGGTTGTCTGGGTGCCAGGCCCTGTGCTAAGCTCTGTGTATTAATTCATCTTATTCCCACAGCAGCCTCATGAAGCAGGTACCATCAACTTTCTGACTTTTGCAGAGGAGGACACTAAAGCTCAGAGATTGAGTGACTTTCCCAGGGTCACTCAGCTAGGACTTTGAGGCTCCAGCTCTGGCTTCTGCACTGGAGAGGCTGAGCCCAGAAGCCCTGGCCCCTGTGGCAGGCTGGGCAGCCGCAGAGGCAGTGATGGGCGAGGTGGAGGCAGAGTCTTGCCCCAGGCCTGCCTCCCACATGCTGGGCTTTGTATTTCCATGATTTCTTTTCCAGGCCCTAATCCTCAAAGCAAATGTACACCCGGCAGGTCATTCCGTGACATTTGTTAAATTAAAAAGGAGATGAGAAGGGGGCGGGGAGGGACCCAGTGGTCGGAGGCAGCGCTCCAGCAGAGTGAGCCCGAGACAAAAGGCTGAGCGGGAGGGGCTGAGAGGAGCACGTGGAGGATGGCGGGGCTGGTGGGGACCTGTGATGGTGGTCACAGTCCCTGATCCTGTTAGGGGTCACAGTCGCCCCAGAGGGAGAGGCAGGGACAATGGAGGCCAGCGTCCCATCTAGGGCTGAGGCTGGTGATAACTGGGTTTCCTTGTCTCCTAGCAACAGACCTACCAGTCTCCGGGAAAGAAAGAGAGAGAGAGAAAGAGAGAGCCAGAGCAATCCCGCCTGAGACAAGGGGCCCCTCATTTCCTTGCACAGCTGCTCCTGCTTTCCTGGTCATGCTGCAAGCCCTACCCTTTCCTCACCCTACAAGCAACCAAACTCCCTGCTGGCCTAGCGGGGCAGGACTGAGGAGAGCAGCCCAGCCCTTTGTCCTGAGCTTCAGAAGGAACAAAGCCCAGCCACACCCACTTATGACTCTTCCCTCTTGGCAAGCTTGGGATGGAGACGATCCCCCTTTAGAGAGAAGGCAACTGAGGCTGGGTCAGATTCAGACACATGTGGAAGGGGAAAAGCTGTGTGTACCCCAGAGATGTGTTTGGAGTGGGGTGCTGTGATCACAGGGGATTTTTCCACCAGTGCTGTCAGCCGGCTGACTCGGTGCTCCAGACTCCACTCTGGCAGTGACACTGGGAGCAGAAAGGTAGTGGGACCCTCATGGTTACTATGGGATGGTTACTATGGGCGCGTGTCCTATCACCTGAGAGTTGTGCTCCCCCTCCTCCAGTCTCCTTTGCGTTGATGTCTCTTTTTATCTTCCTCTAGTGCTCTCCAGGGCCCAGCCCAGCCCTGCTCCTGGGAGGCCTCCCTTAGCTGCCTGCCTCTCTTCCCCACCCCACCCTGCATTTCCCTGTTTCTCCCTCTGCTCCCAGCACATGTGCCTTTCCGCCCTCTCTGGGACCCTGTGCAGGGACCCTCCTACTTCACCCCTCCTGCCTCCCAGGCTGCCTGGTACCCAGCTGCAGGACGCTGTTAGTTGACAGTTGAGGAACTAGAAGCACATAGGAGTTGAGGGCCTTGTTTCCAGGACACATGGGCTGTCCAGGCCGGCTTGCTTTCTATGACAAAAGGCAGACTCCTGGGAATCTCAGGCTCAGTGCAGGCAGAGCACCCTGAGGGAGCAGCCATGAGGTACTTTGGGAGTTGAGAGGCCTAGCACTCCTCTAGGCTCTCGCAGGGAGTCACTGTGAGGCTCTGCCTACATCACCACTCCTTTCTGCACCCCAGTTTCTAACATTCTAGAATTCTGAAGACCATGACTTCAAGATTCTTGGACTCGGGATTCTAAGACTCGCTCTCTTCTTTGCCTGTACCCAGCTGGGACCCAGGGCCCAGGATCCCACTTTCTGTGCAGCTGGGTTGGTCAGGGGCAGGCAAGGCCTGGGGTTGGGGAGAGCTGCTTGGAGGAGGTCCCAAAGTGGGACCTCAAGGGTCAGGCAGAATTGGGGGCAGCAGGACCTGGTAGCAGGTTTGCTCGTAGCTTCCTGATAGAGTGGGAACCCAGCAGCCAACCCACTGCCCATTTAATTGGTGTTGCCATAGCAACCCATGGCCTACCAGGTTTCTGGGGTCTGTGCCAGCTCTTAGGATAGAGAACCTCCCCACCCTCCAAGAATGATTATAGACAGTAGTAAAGTGTAATGGTTGTGCTGGCTGAAATATTTGGGTTCAGGTCCTCTGACCTATCTCAGGCAGGTTGCCCAATAAGCCTCATCTGTAAAATGGGAGTAGTGGTATACCTACCTTACAGGGATTGTGAGCAGCAAATTTAAAAAAAAAAAAAAGGCACCTACAAAGTGCAAATGCAGGAGTAAATGGCAGGGTTATGTTATTATTAAATTTGACTCCTGGCCTCTCCTCCACATATGCCACGTTAACATGTTAGAATAGTGTAAGTAGGGCGAGTGGGCTTGCAGAGAGAGGGAAGGGGATTTGGGAGCAGGTGCCCATTCTTGCGTTCCCCACTATGTCTGCTGCCTCAAGCTGGCCTGCATTCCTCCCAGCTCTGTTTCCCCCAGGTTCTGAGTTTGGTGTCTGTCAAATGCAGCCAGGAGTCACAGTAGGAAAGCCTGGGACATTTGCCTAATGAAAGTAGCATTTCAGCTCTAATTATAGCTCACTTGATTGAGGACGGCTTCTGACCCACCTTCAGGTGTCTGTTGGGAGGGGTGTGGGGGGGGGGTGGGGAGGAGGTTGGTTCAAGGTGAATGAGTTAACAATTCTGGGTGCTGCTTATTAAAATGGGGTTTTAGGGCCTCCCCGGTGGCGCAGCGGTTGAGCGCTGGGTTGCAAAGCTGCCCGCAGCCTCTGCAGCGCCGGTTCGATTCCCGGCTGCTCCCCGGCCACCAGAAGAGGGTCCCACATGGCGCGCAGACCTCTCCTGCCGCCCGCTGCTCCCCTCAGCAGTGTACTTCGGTCCTTCTGCCTGCTCTGCTCCCCGCTCTGGCTCTGGTGAATTCTCTCACCCTCCCGCGCTTCTGACTGTACCCAGTGCATGTATAAACAAAACAAACGAACAAACAAACAAATAAATAAATAAAACATGCCTCTATAAAAAGAAAATAAATAAATAAATAAATAAATAAATAAAATGGGGTTTTATTCATGCATCTCAGAACCTTTCCACCTGGCGGGTGGGGGCCCTCACAGATTAACTAAGCACATCTCCCTATTACAGATCAGGAGGTGGAGGCCCAAAGATTTTCTGAGATCGCCCGGCGAGTTAGGGACAGACCCAGCTAGTAGTGCTTTGCCTGGCCCTGTGTGACGGGTAACCGACCCGCTACAAGGTGGTATGGGCTTGTGCCGTGCTTCCAGGGGCAGAAGTTGTCTGAGTCTCTGTTCCCCCTGCAGCTGGAAGTCTGCCCCCGAAACCTCACATGACCTGACACTGCAGACGCCTTCACTCATTGAGCAGCCAGCAAGCACTTACGTTCTTTTATTCAACAGACATTTCCCTTTTTATTAACTTGTGAAGTTATGAATTAGAGAAAGTGTCAATGGATTTGAATTTCTGGGACAGGATTCTCTGGGAATTTATAAATGTCTATAGCCACTCCAGGATGCAGTCTCAGGCCCTTGCCGACTTGGGAGGCTTCCTGATATCTGAGAGACAGTGGGGTTCTTCACTTCCACCTCCCAGATTCTGGGGCTACTTGGATAACAGGTCAAAGGAAACCCTCAGGACATCACCTCAGAGGGGGATAGGGAAAAGGAGAGGGAGAAACTAAAAGAGGGGGAGACAGGTGCATTGGGGGTAGGGGCTACATTGTGGAGGGCAGTGGATTCTCAAAGTGCATTCCCAAAGGCTGAGACCAGGAGGGTCCCTTAGCCCTTCGCAGCTGCATTTCATTTAATGAAACAAGGGCCATTGTTTCCTGAGTCCTGAGTTTGTTCTAGATCCTGAGTGTTGAGATTTCCATGTTTCCCCATTTAAACCACCCACCAACTCTAGGAGATTATGTAACCCCATTTTCAGAAGAAGGGAAGTGGGGTACAGAGAGATAAAATGACTCTGATAATAAAAGAGATTTCAACCCAAGTCTGTCATTCTCCAAAGCCCTTGCTCTTTCTCCTGCATACTGCTACCAGGGGCCCTTGGCTTCTGTTACCCTGGAAATGGACATCAGACGGCCATCTTGGTGACCCTCCCTGAGCACAGGTAGTGAAGGAAGTGAGCCTTCTTCCTCCTGTCACCCTTCTCTAGCTCCGAGAGGCTGGCGAGTCTGGCAGGGCCTACTCCTCTCATGCACTGGATAAGTGCAGTAAGTGAAGCTGTGCATTTGGCGTTGAGAGAGACCTGAGCTGGAGGGCCAGCTCCACTCCTCACCACAAGACTTAGAGCAAATGGCTTACCTTCTCTGGGCTTTGCGCTCATCTGTAAAATGGAAGTAATAACAATACCTATCTCTAAGGAGATATGTCAACACCCACCCCAGTCTCCCAGAGTTAGGCAATGAGAGGCCTGACTCAGGAGCCTGGAGAGTGAGGTTGGCATGCTGGCTTTGGGGAAGCGCTGCATCACAAGGGACGCAGTGAGGTGCCAGGAAGACCAGCATCCAGTAGTGGGTCCCTTCCCCTCTCCTGTCACTCCAGTGCGTGTGCCTTGACATGACCTCCCCGGCCTCTGGTGTCCTGACATTTCAGGACAGTGCCTTGCCTCTTTGAGGGTGGGAGGACCAGTGTCAGGCACTGCTGCAGCCTTGAGAACCATAATTAGAGCTGTCTATTTAGGAACACAGCAACTGTCTTATTAATTATAAAGAAAGGAAGCAGACGGATTGTTTAATCATTGTCCTTGCTGAAAGGTTATGCAATTAACTGTATAAATATTCATTAAAAATTCAGGCGCTGCCTGCTGCCTTGGGGTCTGCAGAACCAGGCCCCCAGAGTGATGTGGACAGTGAAGGGCCATTTCTGTCAGCTGGGCATTTGGGCCAAGAGTTTGGGGCTGGTTCTAAGCCACTTCTCTGCTTGCAGGGTGGTCTGCAGCTTATTGGAAAGGGCAGGGCTCCAGTCAGAGGAACCAGGACTGCCTCTCACTGCTGGGCATCTGTGGGCTGTTACTTGGTCTCTCTGAGCCTTGGTTTCCTCACCTGTAAAGTGGAGAGCTTACCTGCAGGACAGCTGCCCTGCTGTGCTCCAGGTGTGCTGCTGATGTGCTGATCTTTGTGAATGGTGTCCCTGGAATTTGCACTTGGAAGCATTTCAGCTCTAATTATAGCTCACTTAATTGGGGCTGGCTCGTGCTAAACTGAATCCTACTTCTAGGGCCCAGCCCAGGGATTTATGTTTAGTAACTCCTTCCTCCTCCCCCACCACCCCATGAGTCACATGGAACCCCATTTGAGAACCCCTGGTCAATATTCTGCAAGTCTAAAAAATATAAGAGATTTCATCTTTTTAAAATTCACTCCCATGAAAGTGGTAGAGGTGTTTTACATGTCTGCAAGCCCCTGAGAGAGGACTGGGGGTGGGGGTGGTTGGCATGAGCAGGGGCCCAAGAAGCCGTACTTCTAACAGCCCCATACCCACCCCTTAGTGGAAGGGACCATCTCTGGACTCCCAGGCCGCTGTATCACCCTACATGATAGCCAAGAGTGGCATTTAGAAAATATCTTTTCATGTCACTGCTTTCCAGGACTCTACCTGAGTTATCTGCAGAGGAAAATTTCTGTAAGATGAATCCTGTATTCCCAGTAGATGGCCTTATATTTCATGAAGTGTATTCGCAGGGGTAACTTTGGGGTCTAAGGTCCCACTCCCATGGCATTATTGGGTCCAGGGACCTTTATTCAGAATCCTACCCCCCACCCCCATCTTGTCTATGCCCTTTTCTCCATCCTTTGTGGCTTCTCATAGCAGGTATGGAAGTAAAAAAGAGGGGAACTGGTCTGAGATCAGAGGGTGAGGTCCTGGTAATCCACTGCTTCTGGGCTATGACAGACTCCGGGCTATGCTCAATCTCAGGGCATCAGACACAACTGACTCTGCAACGCTGACCACAAGTCACCAGTACATGTTGGTGCTCAACAGATACTGAGTGAATAGACAAGCCTGAAGTCCTCATCCGTTATGTTTAAAGAATAATAGTGGTTATCTCTTAGTAAGTGATACCCAGTGGTTGGGCGTTCTTCTGAGTGCTTCACAGACATTAACTCAGCTGTCACAACGATCCAATGACCTGGAATAGTATTATCCCCACCTTACTGGCACAGAGATAAGGGTTGTTTGCCAAGGTCGCATAGCCAGTAAATGACCAAGCTAAGATTGGCCAGGCAGCCAGTCTCCAGAGCCCATGCCCTTGACTTCCATGTTGGAGGCCATGACCTATTTTCACCCTGCTGAGTTAGAATTAAACAGGTGGAGATTAAATATAAGAGTCTAGCACTGTACCTGGCATATCCTAGAAACCGCCTCCTGTATATACCCCAGAGGGAGCCAGCCATGCAGTTGGTCTCAGCTGGGTCTGTCACGTGGGTCATCCTGGGAAACTCAGAATGAGAGCCACCCCCAGCCCTGATCAGGGTTCTCATTCTTTTTTCCAAATTGAGAATCAACCCTGGGGCTTCAGGCCCCTGATTGAGTCGCCTCCGATTGTGGCTGCAGTAATTATTAGCTATGTGGTCCCACTGGGCCCTGCCACACAGTGGCTGCTCTCAGCAGCAGGCTCAGCACTGTCTTGGGAGGGAAGAGGTTTGGAAAGGGTGGTCATACCGAGGGAGCTGTCAGGAGCTTGGTGAGCCCCTCCAAGTCTACAGGTTCAGATCATGGAGTCACTGATCCGGAAAGCACACTGAGACCCAGTCAGGGCATGTCTGCACACAAGGGCGCAGAGATGGGAAATGGCAGCAATGTGGCAGCTCTGTGTTAACTGGAGCTTAAAGGGGAGCCTTGAAAGGGTGAGAGGTGAGGTCCATAAAGTAGGCAGGGTCAGCCAGAACCAGGGTGTGATGAAAGGATGGTAGCAGGGCAGTGTGGGATCAGATGTGCAATTTGGAGAGCCTTGGGGCAGAAGGAGGCTTTTTACTCAGATGAAGAGATGGGGCAGGAAGGCCTGATGGACTGCCAGGACCTGGGCTATAGGCTTATTCCCACCTTGGCTAAGCCCTGCATGTGTGCTTGTCTCCACAGCCAAGCAGGTGTGTCCTGCAGAGAAGCTGAGCTGTGGACCCACCAGCCACAAGTGTGTGCCTGCCTCGTGGCGCTGTGACGGGGAGAAGGACTGCGAGAGTGGAGCGGATGAGGCCGGCTGTGCCACCTGTGAGTCTGGGGTCAGGTCCCCAGGGTCTGCCAAGCATAGCCAGGCCGCCACTCAGGGAGTGGCAGCCACTTTTGGGTAGGGGGCCTGGTTCTGGGGGACAGGAGGAAGTGGAAGGGGTTGATAGGTGGAGAGGAAAGACTAATGATCAGGACACTAGTAATGGCCAGGCACTGTGGAGACATTTTCTTCTTTCATCTTCACAACCACCTCACAAGCACCATTATCATCCCCATTTTGGGTGAGGAAACTGAGGCTCAGACAAGTGAGGAAAAGTGCCCAAGACTGAGTGATAGAACTGAGATTCAAATTCAGGTCTGGATAGCAAAGCCCATGAGCTTTTTACCATGTCAGACATCTGCTCATCCATTCCACAAGTCTCCGCTGATCTCCGCAGGGAGACCAGGGCTGGGCCACAGGGCTGACTGGTGGTGGCCTGCGCCAGTGCACTGGCAGTGTCGGGGAAAGGGAGGGAGGGAGGGAAGGATGGGGTGGAGAGGAACAGACAGATTCCTGAGGTATGAAGGATGACTGTTGCTAAAATCTCAGATTTGAGCACAAATGTTACAGGTTGGGAAGACATTCCCAACAGCCTCAGCAGGGACAGATGGACGTGGTCACTAGGACAGTTCCACATCACTGAGCTTCAAACACAGGATTATCTCCTTCCCAGGGGGTGGGTCAGCAGGTCTGGACCAGTAGGGAGCAGACCTGGGCCTCTTGTTTTAATTCAGTGGACACCTATTGTGTGCCAGGCCTATAGCCAGGCTCTGGAAGGGACGATGAGGTAGAGCCCACACATCCTTCCTCCGGGAACTCATGATTACGAGAGACAAGTAACTAGGCTGGAAGCTGGGCTAAGATATGGGTGATCACTCAGGGGGGATTTTGCTAGGTACTTACCCACCACTGCCTCTCTGGTTCCTCCCTCCACCAGCCTCTATATTTGTATCCTTCCTGGCCCAAGGGAAATGCCATCTCCTCAGGAGGTTTCTGAGTCATAGCATTCTAGGTTCTAAGTCTGGAGTTTGGATATGTCTGAAGCTGAGGGATCTGGGTATGGGAGAGAACCTGGCTGGAACCAGCAGTTTCAAAGCCCCAATGCTGGCAGTGGCTCATTCTTTCAGCAATGATGATTTTTTTAGGGTCTCAGTGGCCATGAGAATCCTCTCCCTCCTTACACCCCCATAATCAGATGTTTCCTCAGTCAAAAAAACCAACAACCACTGTTGCAGGGTGTGGGAATAGTTCTAACTAGGATATGTGTGGCAGGAATGTTCCCTGTTAATTATAGGATAGGGTGTTAGGTGTTCTGCTGGGATTCTCTGCTATAGCTCCCAGCCCAGCCACCTGGACAGAGGAAAGAGTCCCCCTTCTCTTGTCTGTCAGAGCTTCTTCCATTTGTGAGTGCTGGGAGTGGGGTCTCAGGGTATGGGCCTGAGAAGGGGAAACCTGAAGTTACTGTCAGCTTTGAAAGCTTGGAGGAACTCAGTGCAAAGTACTTCCTCCCCGAACTCCAAATGTAGTGAGTCCTCCCTCTCTGGGAAGGAATGAGGGGAACTAAAATAGAAATCAGCATAATCTTGAGGGGTACACCTCACAGGGTATTATGTGCTTTTCCCACCAATGCCCCAACATCCTAAAAACCCAGAAGGGGAGAAAAATGCAAATGTCAGAAACTTGACAGAGCTGTCAGCAACACATGACATGAACTGCCTACATTGTGAAGCTGAAGTCATCATTCTATTTTATGTTCAATGACTATGAAAAATGATGTTTTTTCCATCAGAAAATAAAAACACAGACTCTGGGCGCCCTCACATGGAGAGATCTGGTACTGCCACCACAACATTACCTGTTGCCACAACCATGCCCCTACCTGGGCCACTAGGCCCAGATGTTCTTAGCCTGCGTGTAAGGAGTGAAAGAGGCTATAAGATCGCTGCCTTATAAAGAGCTTACACTCCAGGAAGGGAGGGGGCAACCAGAAAGCCGAGAGGAAGATTATAGATAGAAAGGAAGAGCCCCAAACCTGAGTTCTGATTCCCTTGTCACCAGGGAGAACTGGTGCAACCCTGGGCAGGCTGTTCCTCTCTCTGGGCTTGTTTTTGCAGCTGTTAACTAGAAGTCGGGCTGGTGGTCTCCAAGGCCTTTCCATCCTGTGTACTCAGAGCAGCCCACCAGAGAGAGGAAGCCCAGTGCTCCAGGCAGGGCCCATGACTTGAGCCCTTAACCAGTGCACATCCCCGAATTAGTCCTCACAGCTGGGCTGGTCCAGCATCCATCCATGCCACACCCGCCCACTGCAGGAGACTCTGTACCAGGCCCTCAGGACCAAGACGGGTCAACTCAGACACATTCCCATGCAGTGTGTGGTCATGGAGCAGATGGAAAACACATGAGACCCAGACACCTGAGCAAGCTGTGAAGGAGAGCGAAGGGGGAGGGACACTTCCCAAGCAGTGGAGCATGAAGGGTATTATGAAACAGGTGGCCCGTGGGCCCTTGAAGGATGAAAATTCACAACTGTGAAATGTGGAGACAGTGATGGGCAAGAGGTGGGTACCCAACAGATGGAACAGCTTGAGCAAAGGCCTGGAGGTGGGCACGTGTGCATCTGGCCTAGTGCGGCTGAGGCCAGAGTATGTGCGGGAGTGAGGATGTGTGCGGGAGGAGGAAAGGGGGCAGAGCAGTGGCCGCGCCAGTGGACTTAGATGCCAGGCCAGGGAACGTGGACAGGACAGTGCAGGTCAGCGGGTGAGGAGGGGCCTGAGCTATGCGTGAGGAAGCAGCTCGGACCTCACTCCCTGGAAAGGCCAGAGTCATGTTACGTTATCATTTCCTAGGAAGACCACAGGCTTTCTGAGACAGGCTGCCCTCTGCAGCTTTAGAGTCTCCCGGGACCACCGTCCAGTGGGCAGCAGGACAGGCCCTCACTCCCAGAAAGGCTGGGGAGGCTCATTCTGTTGCCCCAAGTCACCCAGCACGACCCTGACCCCATTTCTAGGACTCGGCCCGCGCAGGGCCCCTCCTGCCTGTAGGTGAGGGTCTGGGCCCAGGCGCGGGACCCGCGGCCCGGGGGCCCGGGGCAGGAGCCGACCGGCTCTCTGTCCCGCGCAGTGTGCGCCCCGCACGAGTTCCAGTGCAGCAACCGCTCCTGCCTGGCCGCCGTGTTCGTGTGCGACGGCGACGACGACTGCGGCGACGGCAGCGACGAGCGCGGCTGCGCCCACCCGGCCTGCGGGCCCCGCGAGTTCCGCTGCGCCGGCGACGGCGGCGCCTGCATCCCCGAGCGCTGGGTCTGTGACCGCCAGTTCGACTGCGAGGACCGCTCGGACGAGGCGGCCGAGCTCTGCGGCCGCGCCGGCCCGGGGCCCACGGCCGCGCCCGCCGCCTGCGCCGCCCCCGCCCAGTTCGCCTGCCGCAGCGGCGAGTGCGTGCACCTGGGCTGGCGCTGCGACGGCGACCGCGACTGCAAGGACAAGTCGGACGAGGCCGACTGCCGTAAGCCCCCGCCCCGGCCACAGGGCCCAGCCCGCTGCTCTGCTGCTCGCCAACCAGGGGCGGCGGCGCCCCTGCCCGAGCGTCTGTCCCCCAGGCGCCGCTGCCTTTCCCAGCCCACTCACCTGTCACCCTGTTTTACTGCGGAGGAGCCTGAGCTTGGGAGCGTGAAGACGTGTTTGAGGTCACGTGGCTGCGAAGTCGCGGCGCTCGGGTCTAACCTGAGGTCAAGGGTTTTTCTCTGGTACCGGTGTCCCCCAACAGCCCCGGTGCCGGTGCTCAGTCCTTAGTAATTCAGGAACATCCGTGCCCTCAAGTCCTGCTGGGCCTGCTCATCCCTCAGGGCCTCACCCAGATTCCTGACCACCCCAGCTGGGCTGGGTCTCTCCCCTGGGCTACCACATGTCCCCAGGCCTTCGCATCTTACAGCACATGCCACCCTGTGATGTCTTCACCCCAGTCCCCAACCCCCAGATCCCCTCAGGACCCTGGAGGATGGGAAGCCTCCTAGTAGTCTCTGGTTTCCCCACCCTGGGCATAGCGCCCAGCACACAGTAGGGACATAGGAAGGGTTTGCTGAAAGAAAGAAATCATTTAGTAATGAGCACTGAGATTCAGAAAGAAAGTCATGCATCTGCTCTGGAGGAACGTGGCCCTGGGGAGCTGGTGGATGGGAAAATAGGACACCTGAGTTTTAGTCCTAGCACTGCCCCTGGGTGAGGCGATCCCCCTCTCTGAGCTTCAGTCTCCCCATCTGTACACTGGAAGTGCCTTGGCCAGGTGTCCTCTGGGAACTCCCAATCTCAGCCACTGGTTTTGTTGTGGGAGGGGGGTGGAGGGAAGAGAGCTGTCCCAAGACCATGTTGGCCCTGACCATCTCTCCCTTTGCCCTCTTCTGGTAGCACTGGGAACCTGCCGTGGGGACGAGTTCCAGTGTGGGGATGGGACTTGTGTCCCTGCAATCAAGCGCTGCAACCAGGAACAGGACTGTCCAGATGGGAGTGATGAAGCTGGCTGCCTGCAGGGTGCGTGTGGTCAGAAGCAAAGGGCAGTGTCCTTGTGAGGAAAGCCCTGAGCTCTCCCCTGGCACAGGAGAGAGCAGAGTTGAAAGAGGTCTCCCTTCGGCCCCTGATGAGCATCTTCTTCCAGAGCATCACGTGCCCCTAAACCACCCAGATCCCCTCCAAAGGGTCCTCATGACATTGAAACTGGATTTTTAAGGGCCCAGGGCAAAGGTCCCTTCAGATCGTGGGTCCAGCCCACAGGGTGTCTATAGACTTGCTGCTTTTCCCTCCCAGGCCTTCAGTACCATCAGATCACACCCAGACCCTCTAGCCCTGCCCTGCTTGATGATGCTTGGGCACCCTGATCATCCCTGGGATCCTGTCCTTCTGTGACCAGAACACCCATCAATCTTATATCCAGCCCACCAGTGGGGGCTGGGACTGGAGCTGCCCACCTCCTGTGGGCCCCACTCAACACAGCCTAGCCCAGCCCTACTGTCCACGTTCTTACAGGCCCTGTGTACTCTCTTGTCCAACAGAATCAACATGTGAGGGTCCCCGCAGATTTCAGTGTAAGAGTGGCGAGTGCGTGGACGGCGGGAAAGTGTGTGATGCTCAGAGGGACTGCCGGGACTGGTCGGATGAGCCTCTGAAAGAGTGTGGTACAGTACCTGTCCACTTCTGGCAGCTGGACTAAACCCTCCCTGCCATGCCCCCACCTGGCCCCCAGGCTGGGGCCGCACCTGCCCCTCTGCTCACCTCTGCTCTGACCCTCTCTCTGCACTTATGTGCTGTCCTAGGGCCTCAGATGGGGCTCTCTACCTCTGTATCTCTCCAAATCTAAGGTCCTTTCCTTTCCAGTCCAAATGCTCAAAAATTATGCTTTCTCTCACAAACCCAGCCTCTCCTCCTCACTCCTACCATTCAGGCCTCTGAGTGTGTGCTAACTCTGGAACTTTCTCTCCTCCTCAGTTTCCGCCCTATTGACCTTGCCAGGGCCCTGGCCTCTGAAGCCTTCATGCCCCCTGCAGGAGTCCCTGTAGAGGGAGAGGTATAGAACAGCGGGCAGGTGGCCAAAGAGGCACATCCCAAGGCCTGGTGGCTCAGGCCAGGCCTGGGTGAGGGTAGGGCAGACCCAGAAGTAGGAGGTAGCTCTGTCCTGAGCCCTGAGGAGGTAGGGGCTTTCTGAGCAAGCAGATTTACAAGTTAGTTGTGAGTAATGAGGGGAGTGAGATGGCTGTCCTGACGACTAGCGCTGCTGGGCGTTCCGGGAGCTGCCGGAACATGCTAGGAGCCCAGTGTAGGCTCAGGAAGGCTCATTTCTGAGGTCAGAGGTTTGGACAGAGAATTCCTGGGAAGACAAACCCTAGGCCAGAGACTCCCTCCCCACCTTCTTGGTAGACCCATTTTTCATCCTTGTGGCTACTCAAAGGAGCTTCGTTCTCTGGAGTGCCCCAGGAATATATTTCCACCCCTGTTGAAGATTTCAAGATTGATTTTGAAAGGGAGGGTAGTGGAATGAGGCCACTCAGCCTCCCCCTGAACTTATAGGAGATAGACTCTGCCTTCCCTGCTCCTTGCCTGCAGTGATCTTGCCCAAAGAAGTCTCCATGATTAGGACAGAAGTAGAAACAACTGAGCCTAGCCTCCACCTACCCCCCCCCTTCCAGGTTATAAGTTAGCCAGGGAATACTAACCTACTAAACACTTTCTCTCTTCTCTCTCTCTCTCTCTCTCTCTCTTTCTCTCTCATCTTTTGCATGACATGCCAAAGAGAAGTATGTTTGCATGTGTTTGTGTCTCTGGGCTGGTGACAGACCAGTGTCTGTATCCATGGCTCCTCTGAGCAAGGCAAGAGCATTGTATCATGCGTCTCTGTGTGTGTTCCACATCTGTTTGAGTGTGTCCGGGAAATCCACGGTCCATCTGTGCCTCTGCACGTAAGCTGTGTGTGAGCATGCAGGTGTGTGCATGTGCTGGGGAAGGTAACACTACCCGTTCCCCCCATGGTGGGCCTCAAATGCTGTGCTACTCAGGCCTCTCTGCACCACCTGCCCAGACCCCCTGCAGAGTCACTTCCTGACCAGAGAGAACTAGGAAGGCCCAGAGAATCCCTTTCAGCCTCAGCCTTGGTGCTGGCCTTCCAGGGCAGGGTTGATAGAGACAGAAAGGTCAGGACCACGACCCATTCTCTCGCCCCTACCCACCTTAGCCCCGGAGGACTCTGCCTTCCACTTTCAAAGAAGCCTGAGTCATTTAAGTGCCCCCCTTTTCCCTTTCAGAGCCGTCTGACACATGCCCCTCCATCAAGTGCTCAGTAAATACAGTCATTAGTTGCTGTTGCCTGCAAAAGGAGAGGGAGGGAGTGGTGCATGAGTGAGGCAGCGAGTGAGCAGGTGAATGAACGAATGATGGTGCTGAGGGGATGAAATAGTGTGGGGCAGGCAGAAAGGGCTTCAAGGGACAGAAAGACTCCCGGGGTGGTACACATAGACATTACCCAAAGCTTTTATACATGGCTCAGCCCACCCTAAAGGGCTCAGGGTTTCCCAGGGCAGGGTCTGGCTGAGTCACCCCCAGGCCTCCCAGTCATGGGGTTGCTATGGTTTTGTTCTTTCAGTTCTGTCAACGTCCCAGGGAAAGAGGAGGAGGCCCAGGGGTAAAAGGGAACATTCTTTAAGCATGGCTCAGGTTGGAGGTGGGGTGCCCACCGCTGTGCATGGCCTGGGGTGGGCAGCTGACACCAACTGCGCATGGCCACACCACGCTGGTTTAGCTCAGCTCTGCTTGGCTTGGCTGAAGTGCAGTGCATGAGCCTGGTGGGCAGAGGGGTGGCTCGGCACCTCCCCTTGGCTTGCAGAATTGACCTTCTGTAATTGTAAAGCTGAGAAGATGCTGTGAGAGCCTGGCAAGCCTTGGTCCTGGCCTCCCTGACCTTCCCTAGGATCCTGCCAGAGATGGGCAGTGGAGGACCGGGGAACCAGACGACCTCCAGACATCCCTTCATCTCTTGTAGCATTGGTAATCCTGGGACCAGGCCCGACTTCAGTGTAGTAATAGGGATAGGTGCTAAGAGGAGAGAAGGTGAAAAATCTGTTGTAGTTCATGGGAGGAGAGACTCGACTTAGCAACAACTCTGAAGAAAAAGGCCTGGGAGCCTTAGGTAACCAGACTCAGTAGGGGACAGCCTCTGCTATTCAGACTCAGACAGGTGGCAGACCAGGTCTGGACCCTGCCTGGAGAAGGACATGGCCAGATAATGTCTACCCAGAGGAAGGCACCAAAATGGCAGGTGGCCAGAAATCTGCACATTAAAAGAGAGGGAGGGAGATACTGGACTCTGCTCAGCCCCACCCAACAAGCTGGGGGCAGGAGCAAAAGCTGCAGGAGCAGACCCTGTGAGGAAGAGCTTTATAACAGGCAGTGCAGTTCCAGGAGAAGCCTGCTGCCTCGGGGGGGTGGCGGGGGAGTGGGCTTCCTGAACCTGGAGGTGCTTGAACAAAGGCATTCTTGGGGTGTCCTGAGGGTTGGACATGCACTCATTCAACTCTGAGGTCACGAGGAAGGAGATGCTGGAAGAAATGTGTTTGTGAAAGGAAAGATCTTAGGCAACTAGCTGCCTCCAGCCTGGTGGTGGACAAAGCCCTGACCTGGGACGCAAAGGACCTGAGTTCTGGTTCCACTCTCCCTGTCTGTATGTCTGGCCTGGAGCAAAGAACTGCCCCTCTCTGAACCTCCCCTTGCCCAGTCACCTGGTTAATGAGGCTGAGGTTCAATGAGGCTGCAGAGCATCCTGGCTCTGTGGGAGCCCTGCCATCCCCCAGTCTCTGCTTCAGCTCTCGGCCCTACCACTGTCCTGCCCACACCCTAGTCTGGGCTTCTGGACCCTCAGCCCGCGTCCCTCCCCAGGGCTGAACGAGTGCCTGCATAACAATGGTGGCTGCTCCCACATCTGCACGGACCTCAAGATCGGCTTTGAGTGCACGTGCCCAGCAGGTTACCGGCTCCTGGACCAGAAGACCTGTGGGGGTAAGACCCTCCCTTGATCCCACCTCCCCGAGCAGAGGCAGAGCCTCTGACTTGTTCTGACCTCTGTTCCTCCCCGCAGACATTGATGAGTGTGAGGACCCAGACGCCTGCAGCCAGATCTGTGTCAACTACAAGGGCTACTTTAAGTGCGAGTGCCACCCTGGCTATGAGATGGACACACTGACCAAGAACTGCAAGGCCGTTGGTATGGACACCCCAAAGTGGGGGCAGGGGGCCAGCTCTGAGGGGTCACAGAAAGCGACATGCTCCCACATATGAGGAGTGGATATGCACGGCATGCACGCGCACACACTTGTGCACACCAGTGCTCGGACTGTAGGTATCTATCACACACCATGCCCTGTACGTGAACACCCACATGTAGAGCCCAGAGACAGCACTCACACAACACACCGTGTGTAGATGCCAACGGCACTACAGCTACACACAGCGTGATATGTGCAGACCTACACAGTGATCAGCTCAGCCCACTGCATTCATTTCATTCGGTTCTTTGTAATGAACACCTAATGTTGTAGGCACTGGGGATCTAGCAGCAAGCAAAACACACATAAACCCCTGTCTTCCCTACAGGACAGCAACGTCTAGGTCTCTGATGATCTTCCTAAAATTGAATCCGAAATCTAAAAAAGGGTTTTGTATATACATAGACATGTGTGTCGTTGCCTGTGCACACATCTAAGTGGTGTCATATATTACACACACCTCACCCCAACTATTGGCTCAGAATAAAGTGCAAACTGTTCACCCAGTTCATAGGGCCCTTTGTGATCTGGTCCCTGCCAGTCTTTGCAGCTTCATCTCTTGCCATAGCCCCAGAAATGCTCTACACAAATTAAAGACTCAAAAGACCTCGAATCTCCTCCGTGGAGTCTCCCCCGAGCCTAGAGTCTGTCCTCCAAACTTCAGCTTCAGTTATCTTTCTAAAATACTTAATGCTCCCTGTTTCACTCCTTGAACACTGCAGTAGTGCCCAGAGAAGAGAAGTGATAGCTGCGGAGAAATGCATTCTAGGTAGAGGGGCCGCCTTGAGCAAAGGCCCTGGGCAGCAGAGTGCTGCTGTGGCTAGGTAAGGATAGGCGGTTTGGTGGCTGGAGTCAAGGTGTGTCAGGGGGTGAGTGATGAGGCTGGATAGGGAACTTGGGGTATGCAAGCCTAAGAGGGAGGTGGGGAATCAAAAAATTTGGAGGGAGTTTTTATAAAACTCACAAAAAGAATATGGTGCTTTCCAGCTTACCCAGTATTGTACCCAGTATTTCATCTACTCCTCTAACCTTTGAGATAGGAATTGTCACTCCTATTTTTCAGGAAAATGAGGTATCACCCAACAAACCAGTGGCAGAGCCTTGTTCTCCAGATTCCCCAACTCTTGCACTGATCTTTCCCCCTCAATCTCCCTGCATGGCAGCTGGCAGAAGCCCATCCCTAATCTTCACCAACCGGCACGAGGTGCGGAGGATTGACCTGGTGAAGCGGGACTACTCACGCCTCATCCCCATGCTCAAGAACGTCGTGGCCCTGGATGTTGAAGTTGCCACCAATCGCATTTACTGGTGTGACCTCTCCTACCGCAAGATCTACAGGTGAACAGTGGCAGGTGTTCTGCAACCAGACCTAGCTGGGGGCAGGAGCTGTCAGAGGAGAGGAAGAGTGGCCTCTGCACTCCTTCTGCCTCTAGGATTCCCCAGGATGGAGCTGGGACTTGGGAAGGGAGACACAACCATTGGAGCTGCCAGGACTCCACCCCCTGGACAGGCCTGGGCTGAAGGGTCTCTTGGGAGAGCAGCTTTGAGCCCCATATACCCAGGCTTTGACTGACCTCTGGCGGCCTTGTAGGGCAGTGCAAGACACAGTAAGTGTCCAGCCAGAGCAGAAAGGAAGAAATCCCTTGCCTTGATGACTTTCATAGCAGCTCACATATCCATGTTAGCTCCTAGGGACTTGCACACCTGGTCCTGCCTAGAAGATCCCACTCATAACATAGTGACATCCCCTGTGATGCTCCTAAGGGAAAAGTGTAGAGGAGGCCTCTGACCCTGTCTAGGAGTCAGGGGATCTTCCTGAATGGCATTGCCCCCAACCCAGCCCTTCACTGTCTGTGACACGAAAGTCAGAGGACTTTTGTGCTTGAGACAGTTTCTTTACACACGAGGAGGAGCTTTCCTAGGTCTTTCTCAGATGCCACAAGCCTGCTGCCTGCATGTCCTGCCCCCTCCCCCAGCCCACCCCTTTTCATAGTCATGGCTTTTCTTTGTCCTGAGATCCACTTGGTGGGGCTACCAATGACCAGGCACTGGGTAGGTGAGTGAATGGATGGGTGGGTGGGTGAGTGAATGGAAACAAATATACTTCACTGACAACTCAATGCCTATTACACCCCCTCAAAACAAAGACACACAGAGAGAGAGACAGACAGGGGCTGTTTCATTTCATTACAAAGCCTCCTCCAACCCTTCAGGATGATGTATTCACCATTTTTCTATTGCTGTAGCCTGTGATCACACTGTATTGTAATTGTTTGGCTAGAAATTTCTGTCCCCTACTAAACCTAGCTCCTCCAGGCCAGACACTATGACTGATTCAAGCCAGTACTCTTACCCCATGGCCCAGGGAATGTGTTGAATGGAAAATAGCCAAGTTCCTCTAAAATGTGCTGAGGCTCTCAGAGAAGAAATGGGGGGAGGGTCCATAGGCAGCTCCAGATGGAGCCCATGGCCAGCTCTGGTTGCCCCTAGTGCCTACATGGACAAGGCCAGCGATCCAGCAGAGCAGGAGGTCCTTATTGACGAGCAGCTGCACTCTCCAGAGGGCCTGGCGGTGGACTGGGTCCACAAGCACCTCTACTGGACCGACTCGGGCAATAAAACCATCTCAGTGGCCACAGCTGATGGTGGCCGCCGGTGCACTCTCTTCAGCCATGACCTCAGTGAACCCCGGGCCATTGCTGTCGACCCCCTGCGAGGGTGAGTGTCCCTAACCTGAACTTTCCATTCTCCCACTGCAGGTGCTCAGTCCTCATGTATTTGTCACAAGAACCACCTTGAGGGCTTTGGAAGGCCCTGGGATCCTCCAACCCATGAGGAAGAAAGTCTGCATGAGCCCCTCTGCCTGTTAACACTGAGCAAGGGTTCTTTGGGCATTGATTGTCAGCATCTTCTGGGATACTGCTGCTCACTCATCATATCATAGAAGCAGAGCATCTGAATGCAGAGCAGGGCTCTCAAGATTGCAAAGGCAGGAAGTCTTTCCTCAGGCTGCTGTGTGCTGTGGGTGGGCATTTGCTGGCTGCTCACAGACTTCCGGAGATAGGAGTGCATTACTTCCCAGAAAGCTTGTCATTTGGGAGCAGCTGTGCCCATTAGAAAGTGTTTTGTTTTTTCCCAAATCCCCAAATATGCCTTCCTCTGACTTCCTTCATTCTGCCTCTGGAGTTACATCAAAAATATCTACTCCTTACCCGAGGGCAGCATAGGACAGCCTGCAAAGTCTGGGGACCAACATCCCTGGGTCTGCTTCGCTCCAGGTTGCCCACTGCCATCCCCCCCTGTTTCCTGTGTGCTCTCATGTAGATCTGAGGCTGCACCTGCCATACCCATCTCCCAAACCATATAGTGACAACCAGCCCATCCCTGGTCCACTGTGGATCTGTCAGGGTCCCAGCAGGAAACCCTACTGCACATTTAAGTTAACTTGAGGGGGCTTAATGAAGGGACTATTTACGAGTGGGTAAGCTCTAAAGCACTATCCTGGACTAGTGACAGCAGCATATTACCAGGTAGGCCTGGGTGGCAGGAGTGAGCAAGGTTACCCCAAGGGGAGAGCGGGGTAGAGAGTGTCACCTTTAGACCATTAGCAGAAGGCAATGCTGCAGGGGAGGCAGGGAACAAATGTCCTGAACTCAATATCTCTGCTTTCCCCCTCCAGTATTTTGCTGAACACAACCGGGAGCCGGGAGGCTAGGCAGTTGTGGTTCCCACATGGATCAAACTTTCAGTACACAGAGCGGAATGGAGACAGATAGAGAGTGAATCCAAAGTGGCAAAGGGCAGGGATCCTGGACAGTCACTCAGCCCCCAGCCCAAAGACAGTCTTGACTTGATACCAGGTAACAGTGAGGCAGATTTGAGAAGTTTAAGCACATAGGCTTAACTGGTTCAGTTTGAATATAAATTTAAATTTGAAGCCTGGATCCATTACTTACTGACAATGTCATTTTAGGAAAGTCAACCCCTCTGAGCTACAATTTACTCATCTGCAAAATGGAATTAAAACTTAAACCCTCATGGGACTGTTGTGAGGTAAAATTAAAACATTATTCCACAAATATTAAGTAAGACCTATTATATGCCACCCATGAGTTACCCTCCAGGTATAACATGACCAACAGGCAAGGAGCCCGCAATGGGGCTTACTGCAGTGAGGAAACAGACAGTAGTAAGCAAGCACACCACAGAACCTGAGTACAGATGCCCAAACAGCTGTGGAAGCAAAGAACATGTGCTTTAAGAAGAGAGTAACAAGGAAGGGATCCGAGAATGAGTCTCCACTGAAAAGATGTTTAAATGGAGAACTAACCAGAGAGAGAGTGGGGGACAGAGGCTTTGCAAAGACAGGCTTGGTACCCTGGGGAGTCAGAAACAGGCCCTGCAGGGCATACGTGAGGTTAGTGAGGGAGGTGTGTGTAAGGGGTGGGAGGGCAGGAGAGACAGTCAGAGGTAGGCAGGGGCCTGCTCATGCAGAACGCCGCTAGCTATGGTAAGGATTTGGGATTTTATTTTAACGGCAATAGGAGAAGCCACTGTAAAATTTAAAAACAGGAGAGTGACAACTTTCCATTTTTAAAACCTCACTTGTGCTTGCTTTGTTAAAAGAGGCAGGATTATTACATTTGTAAGCACATGAGGGGAAACCACTCAGCCCAGTACCTGGCACATAATAAGTACTCAACAGATAGGAGACACCTTGACCGAGCCCTGGCTGTGTGACATGGGGCTGGTCATTTACTCTGCAGATCACTTACACTGCAGACCAGGAGAATGAGAGAGGGCTGCTAGAGCCTTTCCCTCTCTGGCATGCTGCCAGACATGGAGAGATGGCTCACAGGTTGTCCACCCAAGGCAAGTGGACTCTCAGGGAATAAAGCCTCTCCAATTGCTTAGACGAGGTAAAGGCTAACGCACCTACTAACTCCAAGCTTTCATGGTTTTAATGGATTTCTAAGGTCTTCCCGGTCCCTACTAAGCATACCCTTCAAGGGGTTAAGGAGCCCATGTGACCTAGACCACCCCAGTCATGTCCCTCGACAAGAAGCCACATTGGGTTCTTCTCTCTTACAGGTTCATGTATTGGTCTGACTGGGGGTACCAGGCCAAGATCGAGAAGTCAGGACTCAACGGCGTCGACCGGCAAACATTGGTGTCAGACAATATTGAATGGCCCAATGGAATCACCCTGGGTGAGCCCTGCCTTCCCCGGGTCAGGAGCCTGTTCTGACACCTGATCCTCACCACTGCCTGGAGCTCCTCTCTTGTTTCTGCAGCCCCTTGTAGTGCCACTGCTTTTGCTGCCTATGGTTGTCCCAGGGTGACCTCTGTCTGAGGCCTGGAAATATGGGCAGGGAGGGGGCCCGAAGGAGCAGAGATCCATCCAGGCAGCTGTCCCAGGCTCATAACCTGCACCCCCACCCCCGCCCCGTTTCCTTCCCAAGATTTGCTGAACCAGCGCCTGTACTGGGTAGACTCCAAGCTGCACCAGCTGTCCAGCATTGACTTTAGCGGAGGCAACAGGAAGATGCTGATCTCCTCCCCTGACTTCCTGAGCCACCCTTTTGGGGTAGCTGTGTTTGAGGTGAGCCCCAGGGTGGGGACATATGGCTCCATCAGGAAGCTAAAGCCTCATAAAGGCTTATTCAAGTAGGACGGTTTTCTGAGACTTGTCCAAATGGAAACAAAAGGACAGGCAGTCATCTGACTTGTTTGTGTACAATCTGTGAACTACTGACATACGAGGCTTTGCAGCCCTTTGCCCACCTGGCTCCCTTCCCAAGATCCCTCCCTCAGAGTGCTTCCAGGTAAGTTGCTGGATCATGTGTTTCATCGGCACCCAGTAGACCCACATATACAGAAGGCATATAAAGGGGGGAGGGAGAAATAATAGACATTTCCTTAAAATCATTTATTGTTGGACATGGACCGAGAGACTGTTAAATCCAGTACAATTTTACTGACCTTTGCTGGACTCTGGGGTCATAAAAGTGAATCAGACATCATCCTAGTTCTCAAGAAGCTCCCAGGAATGTAAAGAGTCAGCACCCTCCTGTGTTTTGACTCTTAACCTTTCTTCTCGGAGAATAAGGAAGCAAGAACTAATCAAGGTCTCGCACACTGACCTCTTCCCCCAAACTGACACCAAGGGGAGGGAAAGCGGGGGGCAGTGGTCTGTGGTGGGCAATGGCAATATTTGCTTGGCGCAACATCACCCAGATCTACTCTGAAATTGTGGGCAAAGCCCCACCTCCAAATCCAGCGCCTGCTTCAAAATACAGGTGTGTTCAGACATATGCATATGTGCTTCTGGATCTGTATGGCATGTGTATGTGAAGTATAGGTATGTGCTGTGTATTCATAAATGTAAAGCGTGCATTCCTGTTGTGCTGGTGCTTGTGACTGTAAATTCCACACCACTACTTAGACCAGTGCTTAGTGAGGTACCAGTGTGCCTCTGTGTAGAGGGAAGCATGCGGGCATGTGTCTCGATCTGTGCATGAAGATGCATGGGTGTACCTGTAAGTGTGGATTTGTCATGTAGGTTTGTGTGAATCAACCACAGGATGCACATGTGTGTATCCCCAGAGGCTGTAGGAGGCCCAGGAGGGAACAGTTCTCAGCTGCTCACCCATATCCTCCAGCCCTGGTAATGGTAATAGCTATAGAGACCCAACCTTGGGTTTCTGCTGGGAGGAAGCAGGCTGAGCTCAGCATTAATGACAACCTTCAGGCCAAAAGCACAGGATCATCAAACAACTCTCTGGGACAAAGAGAAAGCAGAGCAGATTCTATAGTGCCACAGCTGAATCCCAGTGAATCTGTGGACAGGAGAGCTCAGGGAAAGTGGCAGGGAGGGCCTTATGACTATGGATTGGGGCCAAGCCCTCAGGTTGAGGTTATGGGTATAGGCTCTAGGCCTCCCATGCCCTGTATCTGTATCCACAGGACAAGGTGTTCTGGACAGACCTGGAGAACGAGGCTATTTTCAGTGCAAATCGACTCAATGGCCTAGAAATCTCCATCCAGGTTGAGGTTATGGGTATAGGCTCTAGGCCTCCCATGCCCTGTATCTGTATCCACAGGACAAGGTGTTCTGGACAGACCTGGAGAACGAGGCTATTTTCAGTGCAAATCGACTCAATGGCCTAGAAATCTCCATCCTAGCTGAGAACCTCAATAACCCACATGACATTGTCATCTTCCATGAGCTGAAGCAACCAAGAGGTGAGCTTTTCCTGGTCCCTAATCCCTGCCCATCTCTCTTCCCTCCACCAATCAGGCTGTGTTCATGTCCATGTCATGTCTCAGCAGCCCCAGGATGAATAGCAGCAATTCCTCACCTTGGTAGAGTGCTTTGCTGCCACATACTCTATCTTATTTTGCCTTAAGCTTTTGGTGAAATAAGGCTGGGTTTAAGTAAATACATGAGTGCTGTTTTTGCCAATCCTACGAAGTATGGGTTTTCCTTTCTCATTTAACACTTGAGGAAACTGTAGCTCAGAGAGGTGAAAAAGAGATAAGGTTGGTGCCTGACTCCAGATCTAGAAATTTAAGTAAGAAATATGGTGTTGGGATGGGAGCAGGGGACAGGGACTCTGGAATCCAACTGATCTCAATTTAAATTCTGTCTCCAAAATTACTAGATGTACAGCAGAGCTGTTAAATTCCATCCCCAAAATTACTAGATGTACAGCAGAGCTGCCATTCCAATTAAATGAAAGGACAGGTCTAGAACACCAGGGATAGTACAGGATGGTGCCCGGTGTGTGGTAGAGAAAGCTTCTTGAGCAAGCCAAGTGGGAGGGACTCACCTTCTGGATGGGAAGGCCTGGCATGGCCTGACTGTGCTCCAGCTCTGTCTCTTTTCATCTCTGCCATTAGCTGCAGATGCCTGTGAGCTGAGCGCCCAGCCCAATGGAGGCTGTGAGTACCTGTGCCTTCCTGCTCCCCAGATCTCCACCCACTCTCCCAAGTACACCTGTGCCTGTCCTGACACAATGTGGCTGGGCCCAGACATGAAGAGGTGCTACCGAGGTAAGCAAACATATCGGGGGTGGCACCTGGCAATGCCAGGCCTTGTCCTGCTCAGGTCCGCCCTTGGCTTCTAAGACACCAGAGCTCCTGGTTTTCCTGTCTTTTCTGGCCACCTGTTGCCTTTGCAGTCTGCTCTTCTTTACCTCCCATGAAGGCTGGTGTCCCCCAGGGTCCTTCCAAAGCTTTCTCTTCTCACTCCCAAGAAAAATGCATGTTTACATACATTTTAAGTTCAGTTTGAGAGGCTTTTTTGGCACCCCTTAAAGACCTCAAATTAAGAACCCTGATTTCCATGGTTTCGGTTACTATTTATATGCAGGTAAGTTTATTTCTCACCTAGAACTTAACACATTAGATAGAAGCCCTTTTGTGATATGGTTGGGACTAATAGTTAAATATAAATTTATATTCATTTCCCAGCCTTAATGCAGGACCAAAGTCTTTTGTTTCACCATGTATCTGCTACAGCATTTATGACTCCCAGTTCAGTTGTTCAAAGTGGAGTGAGACTTAAACCTGAGAGTGTGACAATATGAATATAAAATCTTCCTTGATTTATAAGATCTCCCCTCCTCCCAGTCTTTTACAGTTATCTTGACCACACCTAATTAATTCTACTACATTGTTTTAATCACTCATCTTTATCAAATCAACACGCAGTATAAACATAAAGTGCTTGGAATTCAGCTAAAGAAAAGATTGTAGCCCATTCAGGAGGATTAGGGAAGGCTTCGTAGAAGGGGCATTTGAGCTGAGCCATGACGATGCATTCATATGGATAATTCAGGCAATAATTTAGACACTAGAGCAACAGAATTCTCTGTCCAGTGATCTCCATGGTATTTCCCCTCCAGCACCTCAATCTACCTCAACTACGACGTTAGCCTCTACCACAACGAGGACAGTAGCAAACACCACAGGCACCCCTGGGACCACCGTCCGCAGCCCCACCTACCAGAACCACAGCACAGAGACACCGAGTCTGGCACCTGCAGCCCCAAGCTCATTTAGTGTCCCCAGGGTTCCTGGCATCAACCCATCTACCCCAAGCCCTGCAACCAGCAACCACTCCCAGCACTGTAAGGAAATGAGTTTTGCATTCTTTCATGACATGGAGGGGTTGTGGGGAAGCCACGATGGGAGGGTTCATGGGAAGAAGAAATCGTACCAATGCTGAATATTGGATATCTTAGAGGAGGAAGTGGAAGGAGGTAGAGAGCCAACCTGCAATTTAGGAGTCTTAGGAATCCCTACCTTATAGAGGGTCTTGAGGGAAGCTACTTCGTGTATCTGAGCCTCAGTTTCCTCACCTACAAAGTGGAAATAATAACCCTCCCCCTACCAATTTCACAAAATTGCATGAGACAGGTGACAGTGTGAATGGCTTCTGCCGACTCTGGGCTTGCCTTTAGTTGTAACATGTGAGCGGTGTCCCTCAGGTTTGGAAACTTCAAAAGCTAGTGTCAACTAACCCTTGGTAGGTTCCCCAGATAGTGGTATCTGTAATAATGGTCTGTTTGTGCCGCTTTCCAAACCCTGAAATGAAGACAATTAAGTTCACTGCTTATTAATTATCTGGAGCAGTAACTGTCATGGCTAGAAATGTTCTATCTCATTAATCAGCAAATACCTTTTTAATTGCATTACTTGCCAGGGAGGGTTTATTGAAGACGATAAACTATCTTTTAAATGTTTGCCTATCCACACATGGTCCCCAAGCTGAGCAGCTTGGCAGTACCTCTCTAGCTGAGACTGTCTGGCCAGCAGCTGGATTTCAGAGTTGAACACTTACCCTGAAGTTTAGAAGCAGGCAGAACATGTGTGAATCCCAGTTTCTCTCATCTGGGGCAGAGCCTCTGGCCGGTGCATATATGAGTGGTTTCCCCATGCTCTTGGTTTTAACATCCAGTGCTTGCGGAGTCCTGGAGTGAGAGGACAGGCCCATGTCAGGTTTTTTTCTCCCCTTAATGATTAGGTTCCTTTAGAGCCAATTGGAGAAAGAGGCACATAGAGGATTTGGGCCACTGCCTGGGACAGTCATCTCTCGGGGAGCAAAAGCAGACAAAGGCTCCTTTTCACTCCCCAGAGGGCTGTCATGAGGATACAGGGGGATGCCTTTTAAACCACAAGTGCTATACAGGCATCATAAAGAAGATGGTTATATGAGTGAAAGAGATGGCACAACATATTTTTTTAAAAATACAGCACATTATCTGTGTACTTTTCAGTTTAGAATGTGCTTTTGTATATCCTAGTTAGACCTCACAACAGCCCCTACCACACTTCCTGCTAGACAGGCTGTGCCAAGCACTGTGCAGTGTGTGAATGGAATTTGTGAGCATTTGACATAGATTGCTTCATTTAATCTTCACAATATCCCTAGGAGGTAGGAAATGTAATTATCCTCATCTTAAAGATTAAAAACAAATGTTATTTATTATATATAATACTTGCCTAAGGTCACACAAGTTATAAATAGAACCAGAATTTGATAAGTTTGACCCAGGAGGCTGTGCTCTTCATTTTACTATACTATACTGCATCCCATTTAATTGCTTATTAAAACAATAAAGCAGATCGGAAGATAGTCTGCTAAAAACAGAAGAAACATAGTAGGTGCCGGCTGAAAAAGGCAATTGCCCCAATCAGTCAGCAACACGAAGCTCTAAGTGCTCCTCTGCCCAGCGTAGCCCCCAGCTTCCTACCACTGTGTGTGACTGTGGAAAGCAAATGGGTGTTGGGTCACAAGCCTAAGTTTTGAGTCCCAATTTTGTCACTTACCTGTGAGTCCCCAAAACCCTAGTAAGACTCAATTTCCCCATCTGCGAAATGGAGATAACTCTACTGCCTGCCTCACAGCAGTTTTGATTGGATCTAGAGAGACTGATTATTAAGCATTAGCCAGGGTCATTGTTTTAGAATAAGGGCAAGAAGCAGAAGGTAGTTTTTAGCTTGAGACTGAACAGGACTTGGGCTTTTAGTGATGGAACACTGTTCTACAAATATTTTTGGTTTGCAGATGGGAATGAAGGTGGCAAGATGGGCTCAGCAGTCACTGCTGCTGTCATTGGGATCATCGTGCCCATGGGTGAGTGTGGCCCCAAGTCATAGAGAGAGGAGACCCCTGCCCAGGGCCTGGGAGGAAATCACTAAAAGGATAGTGTGATTAGCACACTGACCTGCCTTGTCAACTTTTTCTTCTCTGGCTGCCTTCCCGCCCACTTCCCAGTCCTGATTTAGTTTGGTGCCTTAGCTTGGCACAAAGGTCCTCCAGGACCAGGCTCCAGGTGATCATTCAGATGCATCGTCCATTACCCCTTCATTCACACTCTGCAGTCCAGCTGTGTGAAGCCAGAGTGTAGGCTCCACGGGGACATGCTGGCCTTACAGCACACCACTATCCCCAGCTTCTAGTAGGAAACAAGCTATTTGTTGAATTTAATTAGTAGAGCTACTTGCTGTTCTTTAAATAGATCATACTATTTGTCCTTCTTTCTCTTTGGTTTTCAGCAAACATTTATCAAGGAGTACTATGTGATAAAGGTGGGGGGTGGTGGTTAAAAATGAGGCAGGCATGGTTCCTGTCATCCAAAAGTTTCTAGTCTTATCAGAGAGACATACATAACAAAGATAATTTGATGATGACATGGTAAATCCTAAAATTGAGCCATATGCAGTTTGGTAGACGTGCTCGGGAAGCACTTAGAACTGGGAGAGAAGGAAAGCAGGCAGGGACAGTTAACTGACATTTGAGCCAAATCAGCCAAGTGAAGACACATCAAGAGCAATCTAACCACTGAAGACAGCATGAGCAATGCCAGGAGTGGAAAATGGCACGGGAGGGTAGGGAGTTCATATGGACAAAATATAACATTTGACTAACCCCTGCAGGGAAACATGGGGGCCAATTCATTCTTTCCTGCCCTGATGTTCACAGGGACAGCCGGTCTCTCACACCAGTCACAGTTCTTGGTAGGATCTTTGATTGCCCATCCATAGATTTCTCTCTCTTACTTGTCCATAATTACCTCAAGGACAAGGACTTGGCCCTTTTATCCATGAAATCTTCATTGTGTTGATGAGTGAGTGAACATTTTACAAACTTCTACACTGCACAGGGGACTGTGCCAAGAATCCAAGCAAGAAAAAGATTAAAGACTTTAAGAGCTTTCAGTCATTCATCACTTAGTCATATAAAAATGATATGAGAGAGGTGTTAATACATGGAATGTGGTCTAATAGAGGTGTGCTCTTTGGAGGAAAGGGAGTAGTATTTGAGAAGATGACATCTGAATTGACCTTGAAAGGCTTCAAGATGATGAGACTATTCTAGGCTTATTTTGTGTGGGGTGAGTAGAAAATACTCTGAGTATCATTTAGTGAAAGAGAAACCCCTTTCCTGCCATCCTTGGCCCTACAGAAAGACATGAGGGAGACTTCACCTTTGAGCTGGACCTGAAGGATGGGTGGTTAATGAAGGAAGAGATGGGAGAAAGGCTTCCAAGCAGCAGAAAAGAACACTTAGAAACAGAACCTGTGGAACAAGGGACAGTGAAACTGGAGAAGGGGCTGCACTGACTAGAGCCTGCTGGAGGTCCAGTGAAACTTGTGTCTTCCTCCAGGGGTAATAGCCTTGCTGTGCATGAGTGGCTACCTGATCTGGAGAAACTGGAAGAGGAAGAACACCAAAAGCATGAATTTCGACAACCCAGTATACAGGAAAACAACGGAAGAAGAGGATGAAGATGAGCTCCACATAGGGAGGACCGCTCAGATTGGCCATGTCTATCCTGCAGTAAGTCTTCCTTGCTGGAAGAACACCTGCTTTCCTTCCTCCTCCCACTCCTTTCTTCCTTGCCTCCCTCATTTTCCTCCTTCCTGTCTGTCTGTCCTTATTCAAACACTTATCCAAAAACCTACCATGTGCCAGGCACTACCTTAGGCCCTGGGGACAGAGAAATGCTATGGCTGGTGGTTGGGACAGAAAGGTATCAGGACCATCTTGTGGCTGGACACTCTTCCTGGCAATAAGGAAGTGTCTTTTTCTCTGCTGAGTAAGCTTTCAAAACTTTTGGCCTAGAAGGGTAACTGTAGCCTAGCCATTTAGTTCAAGTGTTCAACAAACACTATCTGCTGGTTATGTGCTAAGCACCATATTAGCTATCAAGTGTTCAACATTAAGGAAGGCATGTACTTGCTCCCAAGGAGCTAGTGGGGGTTAGATAGCCACATACTACTGCACAAGTATGTGCTAAGTGCCATGGTGGATGCACAGGTGTGTGCTTTGCTAGGAAGCTTTCTCTGGCTTGCTTTGTTCTCTCACAGCTTCTCTCCATCACTGCACTATCACACTGTAGTTTACAGCCTTTTTACTTATTGGTCTCCCCACTAGGCCGTGAACTCCTTGAGGGCAGGATTGTCTAATCAGTCTATTTTCCCCAGTGCCTAGCACAACATGGCTCTTAGTACATGCTATGGAAACATCAGTAAGGAGCTGTTAATTCTGTTTGGGAAATCAGGTAGGGGAATGCCTCATAGAAGAGGTCACAGATGAACTGTGTCCTTAAGAGATTAATAGCAGTCTTCTGGGTAGAGGGAGAAAATGGCATTCAAGAAAGAAGCATGTGCAAAAGCTTAGAGACATAGCAGGGCACAGCTTGTTGGGGGAGCAGGGACCACAAAGTGGCTGGAGCAGATGTCCTGGTTGTATAGCAGAGTCAGGGGGCTGAGTGTGACCTCATAGGTCATCCAGTCCATCCCCCTGTCAGGCAATCAGCAGCTTTGATCGCCCACTGTGGGCAGAGCCCTGTCTTGGGGAGACCAGAGAACTGGAAGACCCAGCCCCTGCCCTCAAGGAGCTTTTTGTCTTGCCGGGGGAACCAAGGTCACAGCTGCACCAACTCCCGAAGAACCCTCTTTCCGAGCTGCCTGTCGTCAAGTGCAAGGTAGGGCAGTGCCACTCAGTCTGAGGGGCTGGTGAGTGAGGGCGTAAACCACTCTCAGTCTGAGGGGCTGGTGAGTGAGGGCAGGTGCAGCCAAGCCTAGACGGCTTCTTGTTTCTGGAATTTGGCTGCAAATTGTAAGCTGGGTGCTGGGGCAGAGCAAAGATTTGCTAGTTGCAGACTGAGGGACGGCATGTGGAAGAAATGATTGTGTATGGGGCAGGGCAGACTGAACTGCTGCTGAAGCAGACTGTTCATGAAGGGGAGATGTGGGAAATGAAGTCAAACAAGTGAAGAGGGTTAGCGGATGGCCTGGAGGAGCCTTTACCTCGGCCAATCCAAGCAAACAGTTGCTTAACCAATTTTTAAAGGTCAAAGAGGGCACGGTGGAAGAAGAGTTGAGCTTGGAGTAAGGAGATAATGACTCCCAGTTTTACTATTCCACAGCCCTGTGACCTTAGTCAATTTCTTTCTGCTCACATTTGTTTGTAAAATGGGAATAATAACTCCTGTTCTTTCTGCCAACTAATTTTGTAAAGTTCACATGGTATAGCACATGTGAGAGTACTTTGTAATTTATAAAGCACTCTATACATGTTTTCAGAGAAGAACATAGTGACTCAGAAAGAGCTATTCCTGATGAATCTAAGCTCCTGCTGGTTGCAAAGAAACAGACTAGGAAAGTGAGGAAATTGACATTTAGTGAGAATGTGTCAGACACTACTCAGTCTTTTATATACATTTTCTTGTTTAGTCTTCACAGTAACTATAAAATTGCTATTATTAGACCCATTTTTCGGATGGGAAACTGAGACTCAGAGAAATTAAAATAATTGAATAATTTGTCTAGGGTCACAGCCAGGAAGTGGCAGGATCAGGACTCAATTCCAGTCTGTATGTACACTACACAAAAGCCCATGGGGTGTCTCTTAATGGGGTAAATAGCCTTGAAGCTTTGGAAATCAATATGCTCAACAACCTGTTCTCTCTTCCCTGCCTTTCTCAGGAATCTCCCCCATTACTGCTGGGACTTGTCTTTAGCCTAGAGATCTGTCTTAGAGAGTGGGAGGGTAACCATACTGGAAGAAGGTAGTCTCAAATATCTGTACTAATGGAACAAGGCCATACATTCATGCAAAACTGCAAATAACCCAAATACGAAAGGCAGCAGAGTTACTTTTTATTGTATGTAGACTGTCCAGAAATGGAAAACTTGAGTCTGATTAAACTTTATGCTGGGTAGGTTAATCTAGAATTCTCTGGACCTGTGTGTGTTAGGTACTAGATTCAGCACTCTAAATACATTACTCGTCTGACTCCCCAACCTTATAAGAAAGATCCTATTATTATTCCTATTTGACATGAGATGAAGCTAACACTCAGAGAGATGAGTGCTTACCCCAGATTTCTCATCAGCCCATAGCAATGAGAAATACATAGAAACACTAGGCTCTGCCCAAAGGAGGGTTCCAGGATATGCAGAATGGGAAACAAGATAGTATCAGGAGCAGGTTGGGAAAGGCTGATATGTAGTCTAGAGAAGATGACGCTCAGAAGGGAGGGAAGGGATTTCAGACACCATCCACAAATCTCAAGGGCTGTCTTGTGTAATCTTCTCAGGTCTCAGAGCTAGAATCAGGGACCATCAAGAGATAGAAACATATTTCATGTCAATATAGGAAAGAATTTAAATCCACAACAGAATAGATTCTGGCAGGGATTAGGGCCTCACCATCTAGTGATCAGCCATTTATGGCAGAGGAAGGTCTAGCATAACTTACTAGAAATTGGGGGGTGAGGGGAAGAAGGATTGAATTTAATTGACCTGCACTGTCTTACAATTCTGTATAAGCTTTTGGGAGGGGTTCAGGAGATTACCTTTTTAATTGTGATTAGCATGCTGGAAACAAGTAGCTAATGGTCTGGGATTAAACATTTGCTAAAGCAAACCCTGAAGTCAACTAAACCAACATTCCTACAGGAGGATTAACAAAGTTTAGCTCTCTGCAGTCCTTCTTTACCAAGCAGCAGAACAGAGTATTGGAAAAAGTGATAGCTCTGGATTCACACAGATCTGGGTTCAAATTATAGTTCACCCACTTGCTTTGTGATCCAGGACAAATGTTGTTTAAGAACAATTGAGTCTCAATTTTCTCATCTGTAAAATAATATAGCAAGCCTGTTTCCCAGGGTAGTCTGAAAATTATGTGAGCTAACTCCTATAAAGTAATAGACTGTATGATGCCTTGTTGGTACTTGGTGCACAGCTAATGTGGGTCTAATGAGGATTTCTTTGCTCTCTCTCCCCAGCGAGTGGCATTAAGCCTTGAAGATGATGGACTGCCCTGAGGATGGGACCACTCCCTTCGTGCCTCATGGAATATAGTCCCATGCACTACACTCTGGATGGTGTATGCCTGGATGGAAGGGTTTCTGTATATGGGTCTGTGTGAGTGTGTGTGTGTGATTTTTTTTTTTTTAATTTATGTTGCGGAAAGGTAACCACAAAGTTATGATGAACTGCAAACATCCAAAGGATGTGAGAGTTTTTATATGTATAATGTTTTATACACTTTTTAACTGGTTGCACTACCCATGAGGAATCATGGAATGGCTACTGCTGAGTGACTAACATGATGTACATAACCAAATGGGGCCGAGGGTACAGTAGCTTACTCATCATTTTAAAACTATATTTACAGAGGGTATTTGGTTTGGGGGGGATTTTTTAGGTTTTGGAGGTTTTTTTGGTAAATAAAATGATTATGCTTTGTGGCTATCCATCAACATAAGTAAAAAAAAAGAAAAAAAAAAACATTTCAACTTTCAACTTCCTCCCCCATTTAGATTATTTATTAACATATTTTAAAAATAAGATTAGTTCTATAAATAATTTAGAGACATGAGAGTATTTATTTTTGGTATGATTGGCCCACCATGCAGACTCAGTGCATTTAGTTTATGTGTGTATGTGTGTGAGAGAAAATTCTGTAGAGAAGAGGCGCACCTGTTACTGTTGTTCAAATGCATAAAGAAAAATATATTTTAAAACAGTCCAAAAGAGGGTTATCTGTAGTGTCTGAGAAGCCTTCAGAAATTAGGCTCAGAAAACAGATAACCTGGTTTGTTCAAACACGTAGTGGAAGAGGCCAATCTTTCCCACCTCTGGCTATTCCTGGGATCCAATCAATCAAGAAAAGCCCTTCCACTCACCCATGGCTGCTGTGACTCCCACATGGGCATACTCTTCTGTGCCTAAGGCCAGTGCACAGATTTGACACAGTGCCAGTTTTCATGAACTCAGATGAAGACTATTGCCTGAACCTCAGCTACCCCTTATTTTAAGGTTCAGCTATTTGAATAACTATTTCAATATCCTTTAGGACACTTGGGTTGAATTCAGTTAAGTTTCCTCTAAGGAATGCTAAACATCCTTACTTACAGAGAGCTAAGTGGAGTGGTTCTAGAACAGCCCAAGTTTAATCTAGGGACTGGCTCAGGCACTGAACCTCTGAGATATACTATGGATGAAGATAAGGACAGTGGAATAGGTTTTGTTACATCTCTATTTCTCCCTTCTTCATATTCTCTACCATTTCCTTTAGGTGGGAGAACATTTCAAAGTAATAAATAGGCTTGTTACCATCATGTGTTCATGTAGATGAAACTCATTTTTGGTTTAAGTCAGAAAAAGTGGCCAAACCTAAAGTCATATCTGATGGGGAAAATGGCATACGCAATATTATAGTATATTGACTATATATGTTCACACAGGGATTTGGTTGACTGCTTTGTAAATAAAAGGAAAAACTCTGGGTATATATACAGGTTTTTTTTTTTTTTTCCCCATTATGGACACTGGGCCTTGGGAGACAGGGACAAGTGCCCTTTTCTCTTTGTGGGATCTGCCACTGGAAACCATTGTAATCTTACAGTCCCAGAAAGAATTAGTCCCCACTGGCTCTCTGTGAAGGTGTGGTCTTTCCTTAACTCTGCTGTTCTGTCATTTTACTGCTTCTGGACAAGCAGGGACAAGGTGTGACAGAGAAGTGTTTGACTTAAGTAGGAACAGAAGACACAGCTAACCTTAATCTATCTGAAATTTGACAAATTTATGCAGATTCATCCCCCACTTTCCCACTCTCTGCTGCCCCCTCAATGAAGCGTGGATGACTTACCAGCTTGCTACCCCTTGAGTTTCCAGACAGACATTCTGGTGTTCTCTCACCCTGTTCCTAGGACCTTCCTCTGCATCACTCCTGGTCTCCTTACCTCCAAGAAAACAACTGTATTCTGGAGCCTGGGCACTGTGCTTTATAAAAACAAGCAATTTCTTCATGATAAGCATGTGTTGATAGTCCTGAAACATTCACTAAGAGGGTAAATGCTATTGACCTAGAATGATCAATACCAAACAGAATTTCAAGAACAGATGGCCAACTCCTGTGGAGCTCAATCACTACTATTCTTTCAAGAATGGAAAGTAAAACTATTTTTGGCTGAAGAAAAATGATGAATGTGGAAAATGTTGAAATTTACACGAAACAAGCAAGTTTTTCTGTAACCTGTCTCCAAAGAAATAGAATTTCCTGGGGAAATGAAATGATAACCATGACTAATGCAGTTTCTAAACTTTCAGTCAGATCCTGCTCTTCACCAGAAAAAAACAATGAATGGGGTCAAGATAATTCAGCTGAGATCTCAAAATGATGATGAAACAACTTTCTCAGCAACATCCATGTTTTCTGAATATGCTACAATTGCAGTTTGAAAGAGGCAGCTTTGGAAGAAACCTGCAAAAAAAAAATATGGGATATTCTCGTGTTGGATGAAATCTAAGGCATCAGGTCCATCCTCTCCCTTAGTGTAGGAGGCATTTAAGCCTCATTTGGAGGGGTGGTTGCATTTCTGTCACCTTTCATTCCTGTGCCATCATGTATCCATAACCAGTAACAAATCCAGAGCTACTGGCCTGAAAAGCTGGAAGGAAGTTTAGACAGAGTTCCCGGAGGGCAGAAAGTTCATTTATCAGATTTTTTCCCTCTACATAAAAGTAACTGGCCCCAGTCCTTTTCTTCCCTTTCCTTTACCAAGAGATGACTTTGGGCTGCCTGACCATTGTACCAAACCTGCTACCTATTTTATGGCCTATCTTTCCAGGGGACTTATGAAGGCACTGGCAGAAAGGCCTTTCAGAAACAGGGAAAACTAAAATTTTATTTATTTATTCTTGATAGCATGATTATTTATAAAGCAGATTAAAGTAACTTGTAACCTCAGAATGAGATCGGATTTAAATTTATGGCAATAAATCAATCCCTCCAATTCTCTCTTGGTGACTGCAATATATTATTTCACTGAAACCACTCACTAGGTGCCAGCTTAGTGTCAGGCACTATCGATTAGGCTTTGTTTGTCCTAATGGAGCTCACAGTAGCAGTAGAGGAAAACAGGTGAATACAAAAAAGAAATAGATTTTTTTTAGTGTACTGTTAGGGCACAAAGGTGAAAAGGCTAATTACCCAAGCAGATGAGAGATGTGGTCAAGAAAGACAACACAGAAGTGACCTTAAAAATCAAGTAGGGGTACCCAGGCTGCTTCAGGCAGAGGAGACCATGAGTTCACACAGAGGCATGAAACAACATGGAGACTTTAAAGAACTGCGTGCAATTCATTATAACAAACAGAAAGTACAAGAGGGACTAGCAAGAAATAAGGCTGCATGAAAAGACAGGTTCAGTGTAAGCACTTTATAGATTACTTCTTTTTAATTTCTGGTTCAATTACGCAAATATTTCTTCTGTACAGGCACCAAGTGCATCATGAAAAATTCATCAAAATGCCAGCACTTTGCAAATGTGCCAGTCTTCAGCCTTAAGTTTTCCAGTGGCCAAAGGGAAATAGTGACTGCTTTTCATGTATTTGAATTTTAAGTTTCTTGATATGATCAATGAAAGCAGATATAAGTACAACAGGATTTTCAGAGAAGCATTCCATGTTGTCAAGAGTCTCTTAGGATTTTCTCAACAGTGAGGGCAAAGACTGGAAAGTTCTAAGATATGGAATCTGGAAAAAGAACCCCACGTGCTGTCTAGTCAGGCAATGTTGGGAATGGAGAGAGGGCACAGGAATGTGGGTCATCCCACCCTGCTCCTTGATTCCAGCCTTACATTCATCATGTCATAGAATATAAATGAGTTAGCAGTTAAATATTTCAGAACAAATAATTGCCATTCCTATCAATGCATGAAAATCAGAGTATCAGAGTCTTCTCACAATGTACTTTTAGGGTACTGGGATTTTCCAGGATATACAGAATTTAGGAGGTGGAGGAATGACAGCTTCAAATTTTCAGTTAATATAAAAAATCAGAAAGCTCTGTTCTTTCAAGCTATGCACCATGTGCATAATCAACCATTAAAAACCCTCCGCAGTTGCAAACACTTTGTGCTATAAAAAAGTAATTTTTAAAAAGCCACCTGTATATATATATATATATATATATATATATATACACACACATATATATTTAAAGACAGGAAGGTTTTGATACTTTTTTTACAAAAACTACAAGAGAAAACATATGTACAAACCATATGTTTTAAAATAACATTTTGTTCTATACAAGCTGTTGTTAACTTGGGGTGAAGTTCTGGTTTGCAAACTCCACCACATTGTACCCAAATGAATTTTCCATTTGTCTCCCCTGCCTTACCCCCAAATTACCATATTTGATGTAACAGGCATGTTGGGTCACACTAGCCATTTCTGCTCTTTTTGTCTTCCCATTCTGAGTTCCATTAGTTTTGTACTCTGCCCTCTGCAGTCTGGTTTCTTCCAGAGGCAAAGGGATTGAGGGTGGTATGCTGCATCCCATTACAGTAATGACATCATCTTGGTGAACTAAAAACCAAATGTGAACATTTGTAAAATCAGTGCACTGTTTCTAGAGAGATTAAATTCATTTTTTAAAATCTGAAAGTATGTTTTATTGTGATGCTTTAACAAAGGGAGAGGTGAACGATGTTGATTGAGCCCCTAACGTGTACCAGATACTCTGCTTGAATTATTTGTCTTCAATTACAATTCCATGAAAAAAATACCATCAATATTATTCCTATTTTATAGATGAAGAAATGGGTGAAGTAGTTGCCCAAAGTCATATAGTTATGTTTAGTGTCCCCAAAGTACCTGTAGTACACTTGGCCTAGATTTCCCTTCTCTGCCTCTTCATTCTGCTAAGGCCTGTTTGTCCCTGATTAAGTACTCCATTTAGGAGCACTCCTCCAGAAAGTCTTCTCTCAGACTGGGTTAAATAACTGTGCTTTCAGAAAAAATTTTGCCAACTTGTATCAGACTACCGCCTGCTCTGCCTCTCACTCCCATGCCACCAAGGACCTCCTCTAGTACAGATCCTATCAATACTTTTAGTTCTTAATCTTCCTTGACCATGACATAGTATTTCACGAGTATGTACTGATCCAATCTGCTACATTATAGCCAGAATGATCTTTCTAGAACAAACAGGTCATACTACCAACCCCTTTTTTCTGCTTAAAACACTTCATCTGTTTCCCTTTTTTAAAATCCAAGTACCTTTGGGTTTTAGCCCAAACACCTTACTATGGCTTATTCGGTCCTCGGTTTTTTCCTTCTGCCCCTTTAACCTCACTGCTAGAGTAACAGCCACACAATTCTTGGGCCTGTCTGGAATATTTGCTTCTAGAAGACTCCTCTGAGACCTCTAAACTGGATTAGGAGCCACCCTGTGTGTTTCTATGCTATTCGGTGCTTCCCCTATTTGTAACCTTTATCCCTACATTAAAAATGGTTGCATGCAGGCACGTCCTGATGCATGCACACCCCATGCTCTTTCAGCACTGCCCTGTTGCCTCATACCCAAAACCTACATCACTTACGGCCTGCTTGTTATTAAGTAGGGTGCCCTTTAAATTTCTCAGCACTTTTGTTATTTGCCACATTTACTGATGCCCTGAGTCACCAGCACAATAAAGTTTTATAAAGTCTCGAAAAATAACCTGATATTTCTTATATTGCATACTTAACACCAATTCACCTCAACATTGTGGTGAGGATTCAAACAAGCACCCTCCTAGGGCTCGGCCTAGGAGGTGATATCAGGTGCTTAATACCCAAAGGTTCCCTTCTCTTTTTTATAAAATTCCCTTGTTGCCAGCCCAGAGGCCTTCGGACAGCTTTCTACCTTAAGCCTAAGGAGAAACGGTGGGGCGAAGCTCTCTGGTCCCCGCCTGCGGCGGAGAACCCACACCGACCCCGCCTCTGGGTGAAGGAGTCATTTCCACCGGAAGAAGCCTCGTCCCCACGCCCGGGAGCGTGAGAGGGGACGCCGCTCCAGGACGTCATCTTGACGTCACTTCCGCGCGCCGCTCATACGTCAGTGTTGGGCGCGTACAACGGTGGTGTGGCTTGATTTTTAAAGTTGGGGCTTAGTGATCTGTTGTGAGCCATGGAGAGTGACTTTTACCTGCGTTACTACGTGGGTCACAAAGGCAAGTTTGGTCACGAGTTCCTGGAATTTGAGTTTCGACCCGACGGTAAGAGCGGCCTCTAGTTCCTCGGATGAGTGCGCTAGATTTGGGGGCGGGTGAGTGGGGAGGCCCGGGGTCCGCAGAGTGCGGGGAACAAGGGGAGAGAGACCTGTGCCAGGCGAATCTGAAAGAAACGCTGCTGTGTCAGCCTCACTGGCTCTTTATATCCATGTGCAGGACTTAACGTTTAGTGGCATTTTTGTCCAGAATGCTTTCATTCAATATACATTGATGAAGGCCCACTTTGTGCCAGGCTGTGTGCCACAATCTGAAATACAGAAGTGAGGCTAGCTTCCTCTCTCACCCAACTTGTATTCTAGGGGTAGGAGATCATTTGAAAGATCTTCCAGGTAGTAATGAATAGTCAGAAAATAAAGCAAAATGATGAAATAATTGTTAGTAGGCTACTTTTAGATAAGGTTACCTTTGGCGAGCTCTCTGGAGAGGGGATATTTGAACAGAACTGAAAAGGAGCCAGCATTATGAAGCCCAGGAGGAAGCGCATTCTAGACAGAGTAACAAGTGCCAACGCCATAGGAGAAGAACGAGGTAGGTAGGTTTCAAGTGCATAGTCTGGCTGGAGAGTAGTGACCTCTGGAAAGACAAGTGAATGATGACAGATAAGAAGGTAGAGTGAGATGATAAGTAGTCACACCATGCAGGTCTATATGGGTTCTTATTGGTAAAGAATTTGGGTCTATTTAAGTGCAAGAGGAAGCAATTAAAGTTTTAAGCAGAGATGTGATCTGTTCTTGAAAAAGTATTCTAATTATGGAGAGTAGAATGGGCAAGAGTAGAGGAAATGGAGCTACTTTTTAGGACACCGTTGCAGTTGTCAAAATAGAAATGAAGTTGGTTGGGACGAGGGTGATAGTTAAAGTGGCAAGGATTTAGGATAGTACTGGAGAAAGAGCCAACAATTTTGCTGATTGGTAGGATTGGAGGAGGAGCATTGTAGTGAATTTAAAAGATGAATCAAAGATGGCAGAAAGTGCCCACTAAATAGGGGCACAGAGATGAATCTGACACACCACAATTGTGAGTGGGACATATTATAATGACAGGACAACGTATTGGGTCTTGAAGTAGAAAGAAATAGAAGGAACTCAGGTAGCAGAAGTACCTAATCTAGCCTGAGGGTCAGAGAAGGCTTCCTGAATAAAAGGACTTGGAGAAAGGGGGCATGAGTCTTCAGTCATGGTTATGCAGATGAGAACCACGAAGGCATTTGGACAGCATCAGTTGCAAAAAAAAAAAAAAAAAAGGCATGGAATATTTCAGGCAAAAACCAAGCAATTTAATTAACTCCAGCCATGTAAGAGGAAAACTGCAGGGTCGTATGATAATATATGCAAAGAGCATTTTACAATTTTGAGCCTTAGGAAATCTTGTGTGTAGGCAAGTTATCAATTACTGAGGACAGAGTTATCAATTACTGAGGACAGTTATCAGCTGAGGACAGAGTTACAAAAGAACCTGTCTGTGTTCTTTTATCACAACTGGGCTTTTGCAGGACCTGTAATTCAGTATCAACTGTATTTTGACTGTCAGGCTATTTAATAGCCTAAAGTGAGGAACCAAAAAAACTAGTATTATTGAAATATCACCAGTGTAAATAGTAAATCTGGTAGGAAGTTTGCAGGGAAAGTTAGGATACATTTTAAGCAACAGCTGACAGTCTTGGTAGGCTAATGATGCTATAATTCATATTTTTATTGTACCTTGAAATTTGTTTTTTGTCCCTCACAGGGAAATTGAGGTATGCCAACAACAGCAATTACAAAAATGACGTCATGATCAGAAAAGAGGTAATGGACCTTCTGAGAACCTTTCATTTACTGCACTTTAGCCATTTGTCCTGTAGTGGTTTTGTTCTTTCTGAGAGTAGTATTAAAAGAATAAGGAAGTATACATATTTATCTGTAGGCAACTTCTAAAGTTTTTCTCAAAGCTATTTTTAGCTTATATTTTCTTTTATAGTGTTCAGTACATTACTGGTAATCATTTGAAGTCTTTCAGGTCTTGGTTTGAACTTGTGAGTTTGGTTAGATTCCCTGGCTGAACTTGATAAGTCTCAGTTTCTTCATATGCAAAAAAGGGAAATAATAACACCCCCCCCCAATCAGTACTGTCATAGAGTTAAATACACTATACTTGGTATATCCCCTGGCACACAGCACTCAGTGGAACTGTCCATTTGTATTTGAATGGGAAAAGGTGCATAGAAAAGCAGTTAACATTATTGAATACGTGTTAACACTATGTTCTTTACATACATTATCTAAATTTGTGTGACTGGTAGTATTACATACCATTTGCAATAAAAAATCAAAGGGCCAGACATTATGAGACCTGTTCAAAATTACCACCGCTAGTAAGAGCTAGAATGGGAATTCAGACTTAATGCCTGCCTCTGTCAAGTCCATGTACTCCATTTTTGACTACACCATTAAGAACGCATCTTTTTCAAATGTGACCACTTTGTCACATTTGAAAATGTTATGACAATCAGTGTATTTTCATACTGTTTTATGTAATTAGTAACCAATTTTATGATTATCACATGTCAGCACCCTCATATTTTCTTACATGGACTAGTATGCAAAATGTATTTTAAAGACATGTGTCTGCTCTTCAGAAGTATGTCATGTAATTCAGAATAACCAGGGTTACTTACAGACCTTTTGGATTCAGTGTGAATTAGGTATGAATGCAAGGAGAAGGTCCATGAGAACAGGATGTGCCAAGAAGCAGAAACAACTAGATGGGGAGCTGGGATCTTTCATTGCAAGTTGAGGCAGAACATTGCCTAACGATACAACTTAAATGCTGTTCAACTTGCTTTCAGGCTTATGTACATAAAAGTGTGATGGAGGAACTGAAGAGAATCATTGATGACAGTGAAATTACAAAAGAAGATGATGCTCTGTGGCCACCTCCTGACAGGGTGGGCCGGCAGGTGAGTGTTTTAGCAACTCTCTGTTAATGCAGAAATCTTACAAATCAGAGGTTTACTTCTCTGCAGACAATAGAATCCAATGTCTGTGTTTGTGAGAGAAATAGATGGATTCCCCAAACAAAGCAGATTACCAGCACCTTGGCCTAGGAAGCATTAATTCCACAGGGAGGAACAGAGAGAGCAAGTGGTTCTGCTGACCACTGAGCTTAGCCCTGAATTCTGTCTTGTGACCCAGCCCACTCTAAGAGTATGAGTTACCGGTAAATTAATTAAATTGGTATTACTTCGTTTCCATTGTTCAACAGAGTTCAGTCCTGAGTGAATTGGTCTTGTTTAAGTGGCCATCTATAGAAGAATTGTGTGATTTGACAGATGTGGGGTCTGTATGGTTGAAGAATCCTGTTTGGCTTGACTTAGTTCTTTTATATGTTTCTAGGAGCTTGAAATTGTCATTGGAGATGAACACATCTCTTTCACAACATCAAAAATTGGTTCCCTTATTGATGTCAATCAATCCAAGTAAGTACATTATCCTTATATTCAGATCTGTCTCTTTTGGAGCATATTGATATGAACCCTTAAACCAAATTGATATCTAGTATTTTTTATCTCTTGTCTTTACATTTTAAAAACATAGGTTTTTTTAAAGCATAAAATATAATTGAGATCAACAATGTTATTTTAGTCAATTTTTTTTATTTAATGTAAACATTTCCCCATTTAAAAAACCCTTAACACTTTAAATTACCTATTTTTATATAGAGGACAGAGGCATTCCTTTTTTTGGACTCTTAATTTCTTCCAAAGTTTTAATTTTGGTAATACTTTTATAAAGAACATCAGTGTGTATATAAATAATCTGGGTTATTTTTGCCAGTTTTTCTCAGCTTTTTAAACATTTTTTTCCCTCTTGCATTTTAGGGATCCAGAAGGCTTACGAGTATTTTATTATCTTGTCCAGGACCTGAAGTGTTTGGTCTTCAGTCTCATTGGATTACACTTCAAGATTAAGCCAATCTAAATTGAATATTGGTGTGGACACAAGGGGTGGGTGGGAGTAGCCGTTTTTCATTGCCATTATCAGGAAATTTTTGTGTATATCAGGGCAATATTTTTTTTATAAACTATAAATGATTATCTTTTAAAAATATGTGAAAAATGCAATTTTTACTATTTTTATAAACACCTGAACTTGTGAGCTCTTAGACCACTTTCTAAAACTTTAGCATCCTATGTGAAGTATTGCACCAAAAAATCTAATCAACTCTGGGTAGAGAATGGAGAAACAAGTTAAAAAATGTAACAGGAATCCAATCAACACTATCCAGAGGAAACGACATAAAATAAAGTAAATGGAGGTGCATCAGTAGATTTAAAGGAGATATAAGAGACACATAATTGATAATGTTTGGACACTATTTGGATCATGATTCAAAAAATGTAAAACTGACATTAATGAATTAATTTATTAGGTATGAAATGATGTGGTTTTCCCCCCCTCAAGCTTTGTTGAGATACAGTTGAGATTGGGTTTGTTTTTTAAAATTATCTTTTATAGATAAACTGGAGCTATTTCAGTATGTGGGGAGATACTTTGGTTTAATACATTTTAAGGCATAAAATGCCTGGTCTCAGAAAAGTTGCCCAATAATCCATTTTAAAATCAGAATACCAACAGCCACTAAGAACTGAGACCTAGTTGGTACAGATAGAGTGGAAATGTGTTCAACAGGTTAGATCTGCAGGAACTTCTTACTGCTGAACTAGGGCAAACTGCTGGTTCAGCAGATGTGGGCACTGAAAGGAACTGGCCCCTGTAAAGCTTCATTAAATGCAGGAGAAGAGATTGGACAAAGCTCACATACCTCAGTAGGCCAGCTTGGAACATGACTTCCAAGTCTTCTGACTCCTAGTTCTGGGGTCCCCCTCATCCCCCCCCAAAACACACTATCCTGCCTGCTTCAAAGATTAAAGGGCATCATGTTAGGTGCAGATCTGGGACCCGAGGTGGCAGGATTCCTGACTTCGTGCACCTTCTGCTACAGAAAGGTACTTGGGAAAATGAGGCAAGTTGGTAAAGAAGGCATCAAAAACCAAATTTTCGATGACAATTAAGACCCGGAAGGCTAAGGGAGCCTCAAGTGGGCTGTTCTTTGTAATAAAGCGCCAGTCTCAGACGTGCCCTGGACAAGAGGACTGATAAAACAAGGTTCGGCATGTATATTAGGATAAACCAGAAGGGAGCCCAGACAAGAGCCGGCTGAAGAGGGGGATCTAGCCGCGAGGCCCACAAGGGTATGTACACGGGCAACCCGCTGGAGGGGGCCTGGAAGCGGGTCTCCTGGGGCCAAAGAAGCACAACTTGAAGAACAAAAAGGAGGCCCAAACGCCCAAACTACTAAGCTGGCCCTGGGCAAGGGGGGCGGACCAGGTCCAAGACACCTCTGACGGCAGGCAGAGTTGTGAAGGAGGAAAGAACTGAGAGGCAGGCGGAAGGCCTCGCCGGGGCTTCGGGCAGAGGCTGCCGAGTTCCTGCGGCACCCTCAGTCAATACCTGGAAATACTGCTTCCTGGAGGCCGGGTCCCGAGCGCCGGCTCCCTGCGGACCCGGGCACGGCCAAGGTTAGACACGTCCAGGCAGGCGGGCGCCGAGGGGGCGGGGGCGCGCGGAAGCCCCGCCCCTAACGTCGCACGCCCGAGCCCCGCACGCAGGGTGCGCAGGCGGGCGCCGTTTACGACGGGCCGGAAAGTAGTGCCGCCGCCAGGGCCGGGCCGCTATGGGGGTGAGGCGTTGCGGGCCGCTGCCGGGGCAGGGGCAGGGGCGGGGAGGCGGCGGGGCCCGGAGGGATCGGGGGTGCGGCGCGCGCCGGGCGGGCGCGGGCGGGGGGACTCGCGTCGGGGGGGCGGGGCCGGGCCAGGGGCGACGGCTGCGCAGGCGTGCTCGGTGCAGTCGCGCGGGCCCTCCCTCTCCGCAGAAGATCGCGCTGCAGCTCAAAGCCTCGCTGGAGAATGTCACCAAGCTCCGGCCTGTGGGCGAGGACTTCCGGTGGTACCTGAAGGTACGGGAGGAGGGGGAGCCGCGGAGACGCTTCCAGGTTGGGGATGGGGGGTGGCCGGATGAAAGCTACTCCGTTCTCATCTCAGAATCGAATAGGCGCTTTCTGTCCATTAGTTTGGGAACTGTTTGACCATGAAATATTTTTTTTTCCTGGGTAGGCTTTTGTTTGTAAAGTTTATTGGTAATTTTAATTGACAGTTTTGAGATTCTTTTTGTAATTTTTCCCTCCGCTAACTATTCCATGGTATGTAAACAGCAGAAGCTGTTTACAAGATCACTTAAGTGATTTTGTGATTATTTAGTATGGAGAATAATTTCACTTGTTTTGATCAGGTTTTATCAATCACCCTAGTGGGGAGTTCTTAAGAGATCTGTCGCCTAGTAGTAGTTTGAGTCCTTTACTCTTCTAGATCTACTCTGCTTTCCTCCTAGCTTAAGTCCCGGCATCCTTCAGTTCCTGGCATAAGCCATATCTCTTTTCTGAGGCCTCTGACCTCCTTTATTTCCAAATAGGTTGAAGTTCCTGTGCCAGGGCTTATTTGAGGAATTGATGTTCTTTGCTTCAAAAAGCACAGAATCTATTGAAGGAGACAAAGAATAACAACAGAATGATAGGTCCTTTTTAGGGACCTAAGGAGCCTGTGAGAACACAGACGAGACTCCTAACCCAGCAGTGGGCATGGGGGGGAGGGAGTTGAGGCCATATTTGTAGGAGCCTTGAATTTCCTGCCAGACTGGGCAATTCTTAGAGGATGGGTTTGCCAGCAGGAGAAACCCTTTCCAGAGATAAATCTGGTTATATCCTTGGCGGGGCTGGTTCTAAGAATGAAGTGAGATCACCAAAAGCAAAGCATGCTAAGAGCCTGCCCCCCTTACACTGTTATAATCCTTCCCTCAGTATCTGGTCAGCTGAGCCAACTACTAATACTCTTTTTTGCCCTCAAGATGAAGTGTGGCAACTGTGGTGAGATCTCAGAGAAGTGGCAATACATTCGACTCATGGTAACCGCACCCCCCCACCACCATACCCACACACATACATCAGGGCAGGGATGTGGTGAACTTACAGCCCTAATCTCTCTGGTCTTTGAACCCTGCCTTTTATGATTTAGGTAGGCAGGCACTAATGTGATCATTGGAGAATAACAGACATCTTTGGGGTCTGAGGCAGAGTTCAACTCTTCAAACCCTTTCCTCAGTCCCAAAAAAGCCTCTCTAGGCTTTCTCTCCCTCTCTAGGTCTGGGTCTCCAACTGGGGATACTAAGTTGTAGGACTGAGTGTCATCAGGACCCTTGCTTCTGATATGTGACTAGAGGGTCTGTTTATTCCTTGCCAGGACAGCGTGGCACTGAAGGGAGGCCGTGGCAGTGCCTCCATGGTCCAGAAGTGCAAGCTGTGTTCGAGGGAAAACTCCATCGGTAGGTGAGGTAATGAATGCTGAGGTCTGTCAGGCAGGCCCACAGCTTCCTGGTACCAGACCAGAAGCAGGCTTGTGTTACCTGTGGGTGGACCCAGACCTGAGGTGCCAAGCTTCTCCAGCAGACTCTTCCCTTTTGTCACATCTGAGCACCTGAGTAGGGCCAGGGTTCAGACTCAAGTCAACTTTGTCTTCTCTTATGTTTCAGAGATATTGAGCAGCACCATCAAATCATACAATGTAAGTTTCCCGCTGTAGTACCAGGCATGGTGGGATTAAATTTAATCTGGGAGCCAGGCGACCTGAGTTCTAGAATTATACCTGCATCAGAGTGACCTACCGTGGAGCAGTCCTTTGTGTACTTGTGCAACCATCCCCTCACTTGGCCCATTCACTCTATCAGTCATTGTTTACCACACTGAGTGCTTGGCAGGAAAATAAACTTGCAATGCCTTCTTCAAAAGTGCTGGTCTTTGAGACCTCAGGGGACCTTTGACCTGACCTAGTCACTCAGTTTCCATCACTGCAAGCACTTGCCTCGTCTCTCTCTTTGGGGACGAGTGACTTCTCTGAAGTCATTGGTGAGACAATTATTTCTCTGTGTAATTGGTGAAGTACATGGTGCATCCCACCCTTGATATTGTCAATTAGATAGTTACACCTTACTGTGTAACAAATTGTCCATGTAGGAAAGAGAGAATGTATGCTTTGGGTCTGTTTGTTTGAAGGGCAGTTACTTGTGTTCATTTATTCCTTATTTGGTATTTTAAAAAAGTGTCTATGATTTGTGCCAAGTCCTCAGCTTCTTCCTGAAGTTAGATAAGTCATGTGAGAACTTACCCTCAAGTAAATCATAATCTAGTGGAAGAGACAGACCAACAAAGAAGCAAACCAGGGCTAACTGTTAGAGCAGTGCTTCATCTGTGCCAGGCACATGGTTGCTGTGCAGGAAATGACTTTAAAGTGAGGGCAGAATGGGAATGGCACGTGCGTGGATGGGACTTAGGTTCTCCCCCCAGAGTGAGGGAGGCATGAATTTCCTGCTACACCACCACCCTCAGAAAGGCCCCCTCCATGTGTAAATCCCATTTCCAAGGCTTTACTTGTCAGCCCCCTGCCTTCACAGCATGGCAGATGGCTAGCAGAAGTCTAGCTAAGTGTACTGGGATTGTTTGGATGTTCTGTTTATGATACTGATAACCTCAGCTACCATTTATTGAGCATAGTTTCAGGTACTGTGCTGGGTACTATCCACATAGTTCAAACTTTCACAATAAACCTGGATATGCCTTTTCCTTAAAGTGTAACTAGCCAAGAAATGGAAGCCACAGTGAGAAAACCACTAGATTTGTAATTTGAAGTCCTCTTATCTTTTTCTACTATTCAATGACTCAGTCATTTGTGATACATATTCATTTGAGAAGCTAATAAAAATATTAGTTCTTTCCCAATGAAAAACAGTAAGTAAATAAATAAGTATATCTGGATATTTCAAATCTTCACTATAAACCTGGAGTATTTCCTCAGCTCCATATAACATTCTGAGGCCCGGAAGGGAAACAAGGCAGAGTTTTGTCTGAGCTCATATCAGGGAGGCTGTTCTGCAGTACCCATGTCCAAGTCTCATGGGGAGCAGGTGCCCAAAACAGGCTTCTTCCAGATGGGGATGAGCTGATGGGAGTGGCTTGTCTCAACATTATTCCTTTCTAGGCTGAAGACAATGAGAAGTTCAAGACAATTGTAGAGTTTGAGTGTCGGGGACTCGAACCAGTTGATTTCCAGCCCCAGGTGCGTGTGTTCCTAGGAACTTTTATCTTTGGGGAGGGCGTGTAGGAAGTGATAGCAGAACTTTACTTCCTACAGGGACCATGGACTACAAATTCTCCTTTGTAACAGTAACAATAATTCTTTATAAAACCCCTCTTATACCTATGATTCAGATGAACAAAGAATTACAGGGATTTTGCAGCTTGCCAGTTAGTAAGCAACGTAGCTATAACTTGAACTCAGGTCTATCTGGCTCCAGAGCTGGTGCTCATCCTACTTTGTGTAGTGTTTTCATCTCACAACATTATCTGTGAGGTACGCAGAGGGGGCAGTATTGTCATCTCATTTCCATATAAGAAAACTAAGGTCCAAGAAGGAAAATGACAATGCCTTGGTCATTCAGAAAGTCAGAGTGTAAGGGTTTATCTCAACCTGCTTTATGGTCCCGGGCTCTAATTTGAAGGAACCACTTTGGTCTGGGGAAGCTGCCAGGCCCTGAAGTTATTCCAGAACAGCCGCCTACACTGCACATCTGTCCTCTCATCCCAGGTATAAAAGAGCTAGTTCCCTATCCAGGTCTCCCATGCATTCTTCCCCCCACACTAACTACTATCTTCCTGTCACCTCAGGCTGGGTTTGCTGCTGAGGGTCTGGAATCCGGTACAGTCTTCAGTGACATTAATCTGCAGGAAAAGGTATGGGACTTGGGGGCCTTGTGGGGTGATGTAGGGCACCTGGTGGGAATTACCTTTTTAGTGAACAAGGATCATCAATGAAAGGCTGACTGTATTTTTGTACTTTCAGTGTTTTAGATGGCCCTGAGTTTGGTACAGAAGTGCCATCTACTTTTGCACATGCAAGACGGCTGGGCTGGGGCTTAGGAAGAAAACACGTTAGATAAGCTTGGTTTAACCCTGGGTTAGAGCACTGTTGGCTGTAACTTCAACCGTAATGGCCAGCAATATTAGTACTAAAAAAGGCTATGTCTTAAAACAAATTAGCTTTAAAAAAAATGTATATCTTAAACATACACAGAACCAGACTATATATTGGTCAGTTAAGAAAATGTGACTAGATGCTAACAAGAACCTAACTCTTATGTTTCCCCTGGTAGCAGTGCTTCTGTCCTTGCTAATGCACTGCGTGAAAAAGTCATGCTACTGCCTTGCAGATAGAGAACCTTGTGGTCAGTTCTCAGGAAAAAACAAAACTTCATTCAGTTTGCATTGCTCCTAATAAAATAGTAATTGGTGTTTCCTGGGCTCGTATATATGCTAACCCGAGGCTAAGTACTTTTATACACATTACCTTGTTTGAGTCTTTCAACATTCGATAGGAAATCTATTATTGTACCTTTCTATAGAGGACTGAAGAACTGGGGCTCTTGGAAGTTAAACAGTTTGCCCAAAATCAAACAGCTGGCAATGCTGGAATTCAAGTCTGAGTACCCTGGCTCTTCTGGGTCATACATATTCATAAATATAGACTTTTAAATCCCAGTTCTCACCCTTCAACACTGTCACAGGCTGCCATGTGAGGCTAACATTGCTATTTTACTTTACAGGACTGGACTGATTATGATGAAAAGACTCAGGAGTCTGTGGGAATCTATGAGGTCACCCACCAGTTTGTGAAGTGCTGAACCGTCTTCCTGCACATCTGTCTCTAGGAACTGAGAAGGAACATGTTCCAAGCAAAAGAGCCCACTGACTTAGGTTCCTACATCCCTTGTCTCTTGGCAACTATCCCAGCCCTCACAACTTGCATGCTGGGCTCTGTCACAGCTTCCCAAGCCCCATCAATAAAGCCCATTTGTGTAGCACTGATGCCTGAAGGCAGTATCAGTGGCCATATCCTCCACAAATAAGAATTCAGGTTTGCTTCCTGGCGTCCTACACTATTAAAAATCTTATGTTTGATCCAATTTGTAAAATATGGAGGAGTCTACAGCTTCTAAGGGCTTTCCAGCTTTGGGGGAGCAGGCAGTCATAAATCCAGAGTTGTCAACCCAAGGTGTCAAGGCCATTGGTGCAAAAGGCAGCTGAGCCTGTGGAATGATGCCACGAGCCTGGTAGTCTTGGGCCAAACACTGCATTGACCAGAGCTTGGCTTTCAAGTAAACTCGGGCATCTCTCTTAGTTGGTGTCACCATATATTCCAGGACTAAAACAGATTTTAAAGGTCAAGCAGTCTGGTTCTGGTGTGAATCTGCTACAGAACTGCCTAATGATCATGAGGATACTGCTCACTTGCTGTGATCAGCACCCTCTCCCACCAGGGGAGTCAATATAAAGTGCTCCAGTTTGCTAGGTTACCTTCTTGGCTCCCTGTAGTAACTCCTGGTCCTGGTTTGTCCCCTGTAGCCACACTTCTTGTGTTCTGCTTCCAAACAGCTCATGGAGACAACAGTCATGGGCCTGGATCCCTAGCCAGAGATGTTCACTGCACAGTTAGGACATGAGGGCATACGCATGCCTTCACACTGGTGAATCCACCATTTGGAAACCTGTTACAAGATTTTCTGTAATGTTCTGCTGAATCTGGAATTGTTTGGAAGTAAAAATATCTTCACTTTCTGAGTGGTCCACTAGAAAAGGATCTTCCTAGTGGCTGGTTGCAGGGCATTAGAAAGGGGAACCTCAGATTTTGGGGAAAGCTGGCATGACTAAGCGTGGTGAAGTACCTACCTTGTCACCTCTACAGTCTGACGGCCACATTGTACTTCCTCTATGTCCCCCATGTTCCTGGCCCCTGCACCTGTCAGAGCACAGCTTCTTTTGCCCTCCCTCAGCCAGCACATCTACCAGCCACCCCATACTGGGTCCAGTCCACACTCCAGCCTGGAAGGAAATAAGTAGAAACAGGCTGGTTAAGCAACCTTTCTGGTTTTTTTTAGTTTCTATATCAACCAGTGTGTGTTAAGCTTATAAAGACAAACACTAAAAGGATCTTAGGGTTTTCTTTATAGTTTAAATTATTTTCTCATCTGTCAGCAGGTAGAGGAATTCAAATAATCATTAACAGATTAAAGGAGAAATAGAGCATATTAATAGATGGAGAAAAAGTATTCAGTGAAGTTCAATACTCATTCAACAAAAACAAACCATAGAAACAACAAACTAGGAGTAGAAAGGACCTACCCTCCCCTCACAAAACTATCTACAGAAAATCCCAAACAAATGCTGTTTTTCATAAATGATGAAATGTTTGAGGTATTCCACTTATGATCAGAGGAGATGAGACACCCTCAGTCACTGCTATTCATTGTACTGGAGGTCCCACCTAGTGTGGTAAGACAAAAAGGTGAAAGAAGTAGAAAAAGGAAGATACGATGAATTTTTTTTGTGGTTTTTCCACTTAGAAAATCCAAAAGCATTAACAGATGCTGGATTTAGGATCGATACACAGAAATGAAATATAGACAGGCAACATGCAAAATTTAAAAGGGGTACCATTTATAATGGCAACAAAAATGTACCCACAAAAGTAACTAGAAATTAAAGCTATTAAAGCTATCAAGGTGTTAAGTAAATGGAGACCCTTACTATTATTGCTGGATAGGAGTATCTGACACAGAGATCAAGTGTATTGTCAAGTGTATTGAGTTAGATTCTTGTTGAAATCTTACTCCTGGGGCCTCCCTGGTGGCGCAAGGGGTTAAGCATCACACTATGAAGCAATCTGCAGCCTCTGCAGCACGAGTTCGATCTCCAGCCAGGGAGATGACCCACATGGCACAGCAGACCTCTCCTGTCCCGCCCGCTGCTCCCCTCAGCAGTGTATTTCAGTCAGTCTGCCTGTTCTGCTCCCCACTCTGTCTCTGGTGAATCCTCTGAATCCTCTCACCCCCCGCATCTCTGGCCTGTACCCCTGCTCTTGTGTGCATAAATAAATCTTTAAAAAAAAAAAAGAACTCTCACTCCTTAGAAAAATGAAGAGGGTTTTGAAAGAGAGGATGTCCCGGGAGAGAGAGACACTTTTATGGGGAGGATGAAAGAGTTTCTCACCATTACCTGAAGAGCTGGAAGCCAATGAGAACTTTTACCTGAATAAATGAATTTACTGATGGCAAGTTCCTTGTGGGGACTTAGGAATTTAGATTTAAAAACTAAGAGGAACCATCTCCAAATAAATTTTATTTCTGCTTCAAAAATAAATAAAACTGAGTTCTCCAATCCTACCTCATCAAATGAAATAAAACTGAAATCACGTAATCTTTAGTTGTGATCTAGTCTCATAGAAAAATCAAATGTTTAAAGACATGATTTAAAACCTTACAGCACTGGCTGCTCAGACCCCTCATTATTAGTTTCATTAATCACAGAATAGCACCTATTGGCTACAGATAGTGCATTTTCACGTTGATAAAGCAATGGAGGGTTTTCACCCACCCAGAAGCTAAGATCTGATGGATTTGCCTTCTAAGGCATCAAACATGTCTTCTAAGGACTTTTCCACACATTGGAGAAACTCTCGAGCATTGCGGCCTGGGTAGGAGGAGACATTGCAGCCTATCCAGGTGTCATGAACAGCATACCCAACACCAAAGCCATCAGGCACCACAGGGGCAAAGCCGCCAAGGTTTACTGCTGGGCTGCTCAGCGTGCTTGTGGACAGGATATTGTGGTTTATCTGCCCGTATGCTGGGTCCAGGTACAGCTCAGGCAGGGCAGTCCCTTTGGCTGCTGCCAAGTACCGCAGAGCAAACAAGTGTCGGTCAAAGCCCTGGCCTGTCAGAGACAAAATGGAAAACTGGACTTAGAATCTCAGAACTGAAAGGAACCTTAAGACCTCCCATGCATGGTAGAAATCCCCTCACATCATCCTTGACAGTAGAGGGTCTGTCTACAGACCCTAGAAGAGGGTCTGTCTCTCTCTCTCTGCTTAACTCTGTCTCACTAACCCCTGAAGCATTTCACTCTGGAAAATTTCCTTTAAAAAAAACTGTCAGTAGCTAAAAATGAAAGCATGATTTTAAAAAATATGAAATTGCATCATTTCAAGCCAAATAGTCAAGGAAAGTACATATAGAGAAGTATGGATTAAAAAATTAAGTAAAATCCGAACTTCAAGTCAAATGCAAAAGACAAGATTGAGTCAGTCAAACTGGAAAAGCTATCCGACCAGGGTTATAATCACAGCCCTACAGCTAACTTGCTGTGTAATAACCCAATGGTCTCCTATAAAATGGGGAAGAAGACCCTAATATCTTTGTGGTCCCTTTTAGTTCCTGGACTTCTGAGTACATGAAAGGATTAAAATATATGATCCTCCAAATCTTGAATTTTACCAAAGAGGCAAAGGATGCTAGTTAGATTTAGGAAGAACCTCTGTAATGGCCTATTTATAGGAAACCAACACCCTACAACTGAGGTGAAGTACGAGAGCCAATGGATTTAGCAATCCTAAATTGTCAAAAGTTGAATCTGATGACTAGTAAGTACTAGAAAGACAATCATGTCACAGCTAAAATTGACTGTATATGAGGATGGAGATGCATTTCTCCATCTCTGCTTAGGAGAATAGAATATCTTGATCCCTGTTGGCTAGTTGGGCTATTCAGATTACTAGGGCAGAAAAACAGAATCATTCTGGGAGTTGGGAGGTGATTTAAACCTAGTAAGGGGTGGAAACCAGATGAGAGACACAATATTGCTGATACTGACCCCAGTGCTGAGAGCAATGAGACCCAAGGGTGTGTTCCCCACCCCATCTCACCCATTGCTGCTTCTTTGGTCAGCGTGTTGTGGTATTTGGAGCACTCGGCCATCAGCTGCTGAAGCTCCCCAGCACTGTGCTTGGAGGGCGCCCTTACAAAGGCCTCAGAGCACCTCTTTGTGAACATGGAAGCTGGGCGGATGGTCTCCGTGCGGCCGTGCTTGAATGCTGCAGTGCTGCAAGACTCATAGGTGGCCACTGTCTGTCCATACTGCCGCAGGAAGGCCATCTGGAAGGCCAGCTGGGCCACTGAGTCAGGGCTCAGCTTCTGCTTCTTCAAGAATTCTTTGCCTCCTCTCTGAAACTGGATACAGTCAATGGTGAGGGTTTTCATGGTGGCATCAAACTTTTCTTTAGCAGAGCGGATGCCAGTTTTTAAGGCATCAGTCAGCTTGAAGTTGAGTTTCTGCACAGCGACAGAAGAGTCAGTGCTGGCGGGCTGGCTCTGTGGAGTGATGGCAGGAGTATGAACGCTGTCTTTAAACACTTCATTAAAAAACCTGAGCACTGCAACACCATCACCCCAAGCATGCTCAAAGTGGACAGCAGAAGTGCCATCCTTGGCTATAATGAGGTTAAAGGACTTATCATACCAGCGGTTTGTGCCATCACCATGCAGCATGTTGTGGGACAAGTGGACAAGGTCCTTAATGGGGAAGTCATCTAGGCAGAGACAGAACACAGCAGTGTCCACTTTCCTCAGAGTCTCCTCATTGCCACTACTCAGTAGCTTCTGCCGGAGGTCTGCCCAGACATCCCGGTTCTCACTGGGCAGATATGCCAGTGGAAACTCAGGGACAGGGCTGTTATCTGAGAGAATGTATTTCAGATGAGCCTGGATTTCAGAGGCACTCACAATATTCCCATCTCTATCCAGGACATCAAAGACATAGAAATTTCCTTTTCTTAGGACCAGAAGGTGTCTAGCCTTGTCATCAGTTAAGAGTTCATCACGAATGGATTTGGGTAAACGAGTTGAACTGAAAAGTCGAAAATACTGAGACATATCCAGGGGATAGGCATTGACTAAGTAGGCACCATACCAGGACAGAGAGGAAGGCACAAAGCGTATAAGCCTCTTGAAGGTCTCAGTGTCACTCTTGGCAGGATTCAAGTGGAACACTTCTGGCTCCAAAAGGCCAGCCCGGAGTGTCTTCATAAACCGAACGGCAGAAACAGTCATGTTGGTTGCCCGGGTAAGCTGATCATTATACCCAGACTTTGGGTCAGGGTTGAATGCAATAAATGGATTAAAGTTCAGCACAATGGACTCTCGAGCAGTTAAGTACATATCAAACCAGGGGCCTAAAAAAAAAAAATATATATATATATATATATAAAAAGTAATGCAATCCCTAAAAATAAAATTTGAGGAAAAAAAATAAAGCATATGCAGATGGCATCAACCGCTAGAGGTAGGAACTTCCTGATTGTTATTCATGACATAAACAGGATACTACAATATGTAGTCTTTTGCATGTAGTTTCCATCATTTATAATAATGTTTTTGCAACACCATGTGGTAATGTGTGTGTGGAGTTCTTCAATTCTTTTTATCGCTGAATAATGTCCCATTATTGAAACATGGAATGGAACAGTTTATGGATACATTAACTTGCTTATCCATTCATCATATGATGGACATCTGGGTTGTTTTCACATTTGGGTTATTATGAATAATGCTGGTATGTACAAGATTTTATGTGGCTATAGGTTTGTAATTCTCTTGGAGATATAGCCAGGAATGCAACTCCTAGGGCATGTGGTGAGTATGTGACCTTTTGAGGAACTGCCAGGGTGTCTTCCAAAGCACCTGCACCATTACCACCAGCAGAATGTGAGGGTTTCAATTTCTCACGTCCTCAGCATTATTTGTTGTTATTGTCTTATCTTTTTGATTGGAGTCATTCTGATGGGTGTATCACTGTGATATTCATCTGCATTACCCTAATGTTCATCAATTGCTTTTTCTTCCTCATCCTGTTTCCTTTCTTGGTTCTTTTTTTTTTTTTTTTAAGTTTATTGTATAATTAGCAAATGTTTTTATATACTTTTTTTTTAAAGATTTTTTTATATTTATATAAGAGCTGGGATACAGGCCAGAGGCGTGGGAGGGTGAGAGGATTCACCAGAGAAAGCAGGGAGCAGAACAGGCAGACAGACCAAAGACACTGCTGAGGGGAGCAGTGGGACGAGGCAGACGAGGTCTGCTGCACCATGTGGGGTTCTCCCTGGCCGGCTGGGAATTGAACCTGTGCTGCAGAGGCTGAGGACAGCTTTACAGCACGGTGCTCAACCCACTGTGCCACTGGGGAGGCCCCTTTCTTGGTTCTTAAAGGAGTAAAATACAGTTACACCTCACTTGCATTCATGCTAGAACAGAACATTTCATTTCCACTCCATTTCCTTATGTTACCTCACCTCATCTCCTGTCAGGGACAACACTCACTTGACTGTCTCCCGACTGTGGGGGAAAGTCTTCACCATCAGTCTGTGTCCTATGTGCATTTGTGTATACCCTCTTTTAGAAAATACTTGAAAGGCAATTAGAAATAACTATTAGTCATGTGTGAATCACTCAACCTAGCCCTCGGTGTTCTTGTGAATATTCTGCTTGCAAAAATTGCAGAAGCAATGTTTTATCAAAAAATGTGTTTTCAAGGGAGGTTCCCGCCAGGATTAGCAAACATGGGTAAGCTCTACAATTAAGGAACATCTTCCTTCCACTCATAATTTGAAGGAAACAGTTTTTACATGTAAAGGACTGGAAAATGGACACAAATTTATCTATTATTCATTTGTTCATCCATTCATCCCTTGAGAATCATTGTCAGGCCCTAGTCCAGGGTATATAGAAAGGAAAAGGACATGGAATTTGATTCAGAAAAACGCCAGTAAAGGAGACCAGCAGAATTAAAACAAAATTAAAATTAAAACCAAAATGGTAGGAGAAAAGAAGTATGGGCAAGAGGGAAGACAGATTTGATGAAAGAAGACATGATTTATGCCTCTGATCCATTTAGTAATTGGATTTTTTTTAAGTCATAGGCAATAAAATAAAGAGAATGAGAGGGAAGAAAAGAGCAACTACTGGAAGTTGGAAAGCATTCAGACAACTGGTGGTGACTAAAGCAGAGTCAAGAAAGCCAACCATAAGCTAGCAGCAGAGAAAGCCCAGAAATAACATCATTTATACAGCAGAACCCCCAAAGCGACCAGTACTTGGCATCTTTGATATAGCTGATTGAAAGACTATGGAATTAGACTCCTACCCTCACTTACCAGATTCCCCAAGCCCCCAGTAGAAGTTTAGGTTCTATTTTCTGGAGAAAGTACATTTGGGGGCTAAGTCACAGTTGCGATCTCAAGCAGTCTTCCCTCACCTCACTCCTACAACACCAGCAACCAGAAAATACCTTTTGTCAGTTTACTAGAAATGTCTTCCCTTACTAACTTCAGCGGCATCTCAAGGAAATGGTTACAGATCACATTACAATGAAGCCTATAACTGACAAGCCCCACCCTCACCCAAAGAGCTATTTAATATCTCATTCAGCTCTAAGACAATAGAGAAGGGTTAGAAGCAGCTAAAGAAATGAGGGCAAAACAAACAGGAAAAAAGTTTTAGACTATGAAGGAAGATGAAAATTTAAAAATAAGTCCAAGATAAATTATTAAATACATAGAAAACTAAACACAGTATTACTAACTTCATAGAAAACGAAAGTTTTGGGTAGGAAAGGAAAAATAATGCCAATGTACTTGCTACGTGACTGAGCCAACACCAGTAATTATATGGTCATAATAACAAACACTACACATGACCTAACCAAAATTATAAATAACTAAACTACAATAATGGGATAGGAAATATGTATGTGCTCACAGATGTGAAGCAGATATAAGAGACTGCTAAATTCTAATCTATAGTGAGATGTCAATAGATAATGCCTAAAACTAAAAAGTTAAGATGCAGGATATAAGCATGTAATTTAGAGAATGGGCATATGTACCAGAAGAATGAGAAAGCAACTTAAAGTGAGAAGTGAAAAATTAGGGAAGAGTCAGCAAGTGCCTGTGTTTTCCTAACAGGCCTTATAAAACTATTTCATTCTTTAAACCATGTGCATGTATAACCTTAATAAAAATATAAATTCAAGATTAAGGGGCGGAGCAACATGGCGGCGAGGAGACGCTGCGAGTAAGATCTCCCATTAAAAAAAGTGAATAGGGAGGAAAAGCGGCAGGTCCCAGTGAGAACTGGGACACGGAAGATAAACGGGTGACGCCAGCGAACTACCCGAAGAAGAAAGTGGCCATAAAAGAGGACTAGAAGGGAGGGAAGCGCAGAACCCTGCTCCCCTCCCCCGCCCACAGAGGCGGCACTCTCCGACCGGCAGAGAGGAGGGAAACAACAAACTAAAACGGCCCACAAGAACAAACGACGCAGCAAGCGGGACTGTGAGTGGAAAGGAACTATTGCAGCCACCACACCCCGTGAACGGGAGCTGAGGCGAACCCTGCAGGATCCGCCGCGGCGGTGAGCGAACGGCTCCGGGCGCCATTAGAGAAGAACAAAGACCCCGGGAGACGCCCACACAGCCCGGGCTGCCCGTAAGCTGGCGCGGGAAAGCGGCGCTCGGCGCGCTTGAAAAGCAAGTGCAGACCGGGATTGCGGCTGCCCAGGTCCCCGCGCCTGCGACCTAGGCTTGCGGGGAGACGACCTAGGCTTGCGGGGAGACGCACGGAGGTCCTCACTGAGGTGAAGGTCCCTCCCTGAGTGAGCAGGAACCAGGCACCCGGGCACGGGAGCGGTGCAAAAGGCGCCATTCCCGCGCCACTGAACTGGGCTACAGCCCGCATCCTGGAACTGAGGGCTTTGAACTGAGACCCGGGGCACGAAAATTCGGGGCGTGGTTTCTCCACGACGGTGGGGCACAAGGCAGACACAGCACCCCAAAGCTGTTGAGGTGTACCCTACCATTCCCGCTCTGTTCTCTGTCCCACGGGGTGGGGGGAGGCGAAAAACAGCCCCCCAAGGACAATAGGAGAGATCTCTGGCGCCACCTAGCGACCAGGAAAAAAAAAAAGTCACTAACACCCTATAAAACAGGACATTTCTTAAGACTGCTTGAAAAGGGCAGAAGGTTTCTGGAGGACCCAGTGGCCAGCCGGGAAGTTATTCCACGCCAGGCCCCTTCCGACCAGCAGTCTGAGCCCACAGAGGGAGCAGGCACCCACGTCCGGGGCAGACCGGGTGCGCAGAAGAGTGTGCCTGAAACCGGAGGCGCAGGGACTGCATCCCGCTTTGCCATTTGAGAACAGGGACATTTCTTCAGTAAAAACTGCCTAAAACCAGCAGAAAGCTCCCCCAGAAGACAGAGATGGCTCCTGGAAGAGCCAGAGGGGAGCGGAGAAGTTCACCCAAGATGTCAGTCAGTCCGAGCAACACAGTGTCCCAACGCATACGACAAATTAGAAAACAGACAGTAGGGAGTAGAAGAACCACACGCAACCTGAAAACTTCTCAGGAAAGAAGCACACCACAAAAAGAAAACCACTCCCCAGAATGCAACGACAGCAACTTGGAAGAACTTCTGAGCCTTCCAGAAAGAGAATTTAAAATTGCCATGATTAAAAAAGTGATAGATCAGAAGAAGGAAATTGAGTCCCTAAAGAGGGAAGTAAGAGAAATGCAGGAGATCAAAGAATTAATGGAGGAACTAAAGAACTCTGGGAAAAGCAATGAAAGCAGAATAGATGAAATGGAAGAACGAATAAGTAATCTTGAAGACACAGAAATAAAAAGAACCAAAACAGAAAAGGAAAGAGAAGTACGAAGGAAAAAGAATGAAGAAAGACTTCGGGAACTATCTGACTCCATGAGGAAAGGAAATATAAGAGTTATAGGAATTCCAGAAGGAGAGGAGAGAGATGTAGGAACAGAGAAAATATTCATGGATATAATTGAAGAGAACTTCCCAAATGAGAAGAAGGAGCTGAAAATTGATATACAAGAAGCAAGAAGAACACCAAACTTCCACGACGAAAGGAAAAACACAGCAAGACACATAATAGTAAAGCTCCCAAGAATCCAGGACAAGGAAAAAATAATGAAGCTGACAAGAGGGAAGAAACAGATAACATTCAAAGGAAAACCAATCAGGCTGACATCAGACTTCTCTGAAGAAACACTACGGGCAAGGAGAGAGTGGAGGGACATAGTCAACAGACTCCAAGAAAACAGATGCCAACCAAGAATACTCTATCCCGCAAAGCTCTCTTTCCTCCATGAAGAAAGAATATGGACCTTCCCAGACAAAGAGAAACTCCGGAATTTCATTGCGACTAAACCCCCACTCCAAAAAATACTACAAGGAATCCTAAAGCCAGAACCTCAGAGGGACGAATAACAACGAAAGAAGACCAAAAAAAAAAAAAAAGTTATTAAAAGAATAAATAAATAAAATCAAAGGAAAGACAAACATAATGGCAAATACAGATGCTAACATATCAATATTAACTCTAAATGTAAATGGACTAAACTCTTCAATAAAAAGACACAGAGTTGCAGCCTGGATTAAGAAACAAAACCCAACCTTTTGCTGTCTCCAGGAAACACATTTAGCTACAAAAGATAAAAATAGGCTCAAAGTCAAAGGATGGAAAACAATCCAACAAGCAAATGGGCCAAAAAAGAAAGCAGGAACAGCTATACTTATATCAGATAAAACAGACTTCAAACTCAAAAAAATAAAAAGAGACCCCAGTGGTCACTACATTATGATTAAGGGGACAATACTTCAAGAAGAAATAACACTCATTAACATATACTCACCAAACGAAAGAGCACCAAAATATATCAGACAACTGTTGTCCTCTCTGAAAACAGACATCAGAGAAAACACATATGTAGTGGGAGACTTCAACACACCACTATCAACAATGGATAGATCAACAAGACAAAAAATAAGTAAAGAAACTAAAGCTCTAAATAAGGACCTAGAGCATTTGGGCTTAACAGACATCTATAGAACACTGAACCCAAAAAAAACGGAGTACACATTTTTCTCAAGCGCACACGGATCATTCTCCAGGATCGATCACATACTGGGGCACAAGACAAACATCAACAGATACACCAAGACTGAAATCATACCAACCATCTTTTCTGACCATGAAGGCATCAAACTAGAAATAAACCATAAAAAGAAGGCAAGGAACTTTCCTACCTCATGGAGATTAAAAACCACACTACTGGAAGACCACTGGACTAATGAGGAGATCAAAGAAGAAATTAAAAAATTCTTTGAATTGAACGACAAGGAGGACACCAATATCCTAAATGTATGGGATGCAGCAAAAGCAGTAATAAGAGGAAAATATATAGCAATAGAAGCTCACATCAAGAAACAAGAAAGAACTCAAAGAAACAACCTAATCTCGAAGCTCAAAGATCTAGAAAAAGAACAACAAAAAAACCCCAAAACCAGTAGAAGAAAAGAAATAATAAAAACAAAAGCAGAAATAAATGAAATTGAAACTAAAAAAACAATCCAAAAGATCAATGAAACCAAGAGCTGGTTCTTTGAAAAATAAATAAAATAGACAAACCCCTAGCCAGGCTCACAAAGGAAAAAAGGGAGAAAGCACAAATACACAGAATCATAAATGAAAGAGGAGAAATCACAACGGACACAACAGAAATCAAAAGAATAATCAGTAACTACTATGAACAGTTATATGGAAACAAGTTCAACAATCTAGAGGAGATGGACAAATTCCTACAACTCTACAATCACCCAAAGCTAGATAAAGAAGAAATAGAACACCTAAACAGACCAATTACAAGCAGCGAAATTGAAATGGTAATTAAAAACCTCCCCAAAAACAAAAGCCCAGGACCTGATGGATTTACAAATGAATTCTACCAAACATTCAGAGACGAATTAGTGCCTATCCTTCACAAACTCTTCCAAAAAATTGAGAAGGAAGGGACAATACCAAACACGTTCTATGAAGCCAATATTACACTAATACCAAAACCGAATAAGGACAACACAAAAAAGGAAAACTATAGGCCAATCTCCCTAATGAACACTGATGCAAAAATCCTCAATAAAATTTTAGCTATCAGAATCCAACAATGTATCCATAAGATAATTCACCACGACCAAGTTGGATTCATTCCAGGGGCACAAGGATGGTTTAACATCCGAAAATCAATCAACGTTATCCAACACATCAACAAAAAGAAATATAAAAACCATATGATAATATCAATAGATGCTGAGAAAGCTTTCGACAAAGTGCAACACCCATTCATGATAAAAGCCCTTGAAATTCTTGGGATACAAGGAACATACCTCAACATCATTAAGGCCATCTATGACAAGCCAACAGCCAGTATCATTCTCAATGGTGAAAAGCTGAAAGCAATTCCATTAAGATCTGGAACAAGACAAGGATGTCCACTCTCACCACTGCTTTTCAATATAATACTGGAAGTCCTAGCCAGAGCAATAAGACAAGAGAAAGACATCCAAGGAATCCAAATAGGAAAAGAAGAAGTCAAACTATCACTATTTGCAGATGATATGATAATATACATAGAGAACCCCAAAATCTCCACAGAAAAACTAATTCAACTCATCAGTCAGTTCAGTAAAGTGGCAGGATACAAAATCAACACGCAAAAGTCAGTAGCCTTCCTATACACAAACAATAAATCTGAAGAAGAAGAAATCAAAAAAACCACCCCTTTTATTATCGAAACAAAAAAAATCAAGTATTTGGGAATAAATCTAACAAAAGAGGTAAAGGACCTATACAAAGAAAACTATAAAACACTGTTAAAAGAAATAGAAGAAGACACAAAGAAATGGAAAGACATCCCCTGCTCATGGATTGGAAGAATAAACATTATTAAAATGGCCATCCTACCAAAAGCAATATACAGATTCAATGCTATTCCAATCAAAATCTCAATGGCATTCTTCAAAGAAATAGAACAATTATTGATGAAATTCATATGGAATCACCAAAAACCCCGAATAGCCAAAGCTCTACTGAAAAAAAAAGAAGGAAATGGAGGCATCACACTCCCAGACTTCAAACTATACTACAAAGCCATAATCATCAAAACTGCATGGTATTGGAACAAGAACAGACATACAGACCAATGGAATCGAATAGAAAATCCAGAAATAAACCCACAGATTTATGGTCAACTAATCTTTGACAAAGGAGCAAAGACTATGCATTGGAGCAAAGAAAGTTTGTTCAATAAATGGTGCTGGGAAAACTGGGTCGCTACATGCAAAAGAATGAAGCTTGACCACTACCTCACACCATACACAAAAATCAACTCAAAATGGATTAAAGAACTAGACATAAGACCTGAAACCATAAAATACATAGAAGGAAATATAGGCGAAACACTACGGGATTTGCACATCAAAGACATCTTTACAGACACATCACCCAAAGCAGTGATAGTGAAGAGAAAGATAAACAGCTGGGACTACATCAAATTAAAGAGCTTCTGCACAGCAAAAGAGACAATAACAAAAACAAGAGAAACCCCACCAACTGGGAGAACATTTTTGCACCCAACACTAATGATAAAGGACTGATCACAAAAATCTGCAAAGAGCTGATGAGACTCAGCAACAACAAAGAAAATAATCCAGTCAAAAAATGGGCAGAAGAGCTAAAAAGAAACTTCTCTGAAGAGGAAATGCAAATGGCCAACAGACATATGAAAAAATGTTCAACATCACTTGTAATCAGGGAAATGCAAATCAAAACTACCATGAGATACCATCTCACACCAGTGAGATTGGCACATATTAAAAAAACTAGCAACAACAAATGTTGGCGAGGATGTGGAGAAAAAGGAACTCTTGTGCACTGTTGATGGGAGTGCAAACTGGTCCAACCACTATGGAGAGCTGTGTGGAGATTTCTGGACCTACTAAACATAGAGCTTCCATATGATCCAGCAATTCCACTCCTAGGTATTTACCCAAAGGACACAGAAACATCAATTCCAAAGAGCACCTGCACTCCTATGTTTATAGCAGCACTGTTTACAATAGCTAAGCTTTGGAAACAACCCAAATGCCCAAAATAGATGACTGGATCAAGAAGATGTGGTACATATATACCATGGAATATTACTCAGCATTCAAAAAAGATAAACACATGCAATTTGCAGCAACATGGATGGCACTGGAAGGGATCATGCTCAGCGAAATAAGCCAAAAAGAAAAAGAAAAATACCGGATGGTCTCACTCATAGCAGGAATCTAGAAAACTTAAATAAGGGACCAGGAAAATGAGTAACTATAAGAAAGTGAAAATCAAAATCAACAAAAAACTATGAACCAGAGACACTTTTTGGGGGTGGGGGGCGGGAGGGGAAGGATTGGGGTCAGAATGGGGCGTTTGCAATTGTATGGGGGAATATAAAAATAAAATTTAATATTTAAAAAAAAAAAAAAATATAAATTCAAAAAAGTACTGAGGGGACCAAGGTGGAAGCAAACAGGAATAACCGAAAGGTTTCACAGAAAAACATCCTATCTGGGGCTTAAAAAGAAAGAACTGGCCAGATAAAATGGTAGTGGGGACAATGAAAGACAAATGGGCTGAGAGGAAAATGAGGTCTTTAGTATTACTGAGTATGAACGGTGTCAGGGGCAGTAGTAAGAGATGAGGCTGGGCAGGGCAGTTAGGCCAGGACACAGGATTTAATCATACTGCCACTGATTAGGCTCTGTCTTCATCTTATCTACACAGAAGTCGAGCCACTGCTCTTGAGCACAACTTATGGTCAATGCCTTAGTGGAGGAGGAACTCAGCCTTAAAGGTTACTTCAGAAAGAGGATGAGACATTACATCAATGCTGGTCTCATCAGAAATATTTTTGAGTACAAAACAGGAGAGAAAATGCTGTGCTCTCTGTTATAAAAGGTTCTGAGAAAAATCACCCCACGGCCTAGACTACCTACCTGAAATGTAGCTTGTCTGTTTATTCTGCTTGTCCTGAGCAACCAGTTGCTCATGTAATTCTTTTCCAATCCCATTTTCAAAACTCTTGCAAAATTGTTCTGTTTTCCTGAAATTAAAAGACAGAATCAAAACATACCAAGAAATATATGATTTTTAGATTCATGGCCAAGAACTCATACATAGAGCTTTGAGTGCCCAGTTGATTATCCATGAACCTGGAGACTGAGATCAGAGGGACCTCTGATCAGAAGAACAGGAATCAATCTGAAACAGATAAATCTAGAATATCTTCTTAAAATGATTAATCAGGAAGATCAAACAACATCTCATACAACAATCCATAATCTAGGAGACATGTTGGCATGGAGAAAAAAGATACATACTTTGGAGCTAAGTTTGAATTCTAGCTTTGTCAGTTTCAAGCTGTGTGGATTGGATAAGTTACTTGATCTCTCTGGTCTCATTATCTTCGTGTGTAAAATAATAATATACCACCTTCCAAGATTAAAAAAATGCAAATGGGTTACTGGCATGGGTTTGGGGGAGGGTGAGTGGAATGTGTACATATGTGGAAGAACAAAATGTAACCCCCAAATTAAATTTTTTTTAATTTGAAAAACTGAGGATTTAGAATAGATTGAAACATAACACTTAATAAATGGTAGCTATTAAAGCATTACCATGTCAAGAGAAGTTACAAATGACTAATAAGGAATATTTAAAATCAGAAGACTAGTTTACGAAGTCTCTACCTCCATTACCATATGGCTGTCTCTGTGTCTCTTCTCTTCTAATCAGGAAAACAGTACTCCACTATGACCTCATCTTAACTAATTGGATCTGCTACAACCCCATTTCCAAATAAGATCACATACTGAGGTGCCAAGAGAGCATGAATTTTTGGGGGCACAATATCTAATCCAGTACACATGCTCACCAAGAAAAATTCTGGTACGTCATATGCTCTCCTCAAAGAACCTCCCTACAGAGAATACATGCTCTCTGCAAAAGACCAGACCAGCTAGCCTCCCAGGTACACTACCAAGATACAGTACAAATCTGGCATTCACTTGTTGAGTCTAGTTAGAGAGACTCACCTTGGAGCTTGATCAGTCCTTTAGGAGTGAAAATATGTTTCCTGAACTTGCTAGTCCCTCCCCGATAACCCCTGATGCTTGGTTCAGCATTGCTTGCCAGCATCTCTCAACCACCCAACCATTCATTCAAGGTCCTCAGCATGTACCTGAACTGGCTGTCATCCAAGAGAGGTTTCTGTGCACTGAGGTATCTCCTAATGGTGTCTTCAAGTTTAGGGATAGGCAGCCTGGGGAGAAAGTAAGGGCAGTGAAAGTTAATGATATGTGGAAGAGGCTAATTAGCTTCACAATCAAAACTAATAAACTTATGACTGAATAATTAATTTCCTTAATTATTTAGGCCCCCAAACCAAGAAAGTCACTGAAAAATTGAAGTACTAACGTATCAATGGTAACTCTTACTTCTACTTTTAAGTAAATATAGTAACTTTAATGCATTTATGATGACTTTCACAAACTAAAAAGTTCTACCTTTTCATTTTCTTGTGTATTTTACAACACAGAATCATACAAAAATGAAGTCTGTCCATTGGCCAGACAAATCTAGGATAGACCAGTGAGTAGTGCCTGGGAGTCGTAAGAGGAAGAAACAGATCTTCCTATGTGTGTTTTTACTTGTCATTCTCAACCAGTGAATTCCCAGTGACAGCTATGGTGAGGAAGTTACTGGCTCATAGTGAAATGAAAATACATGGACAGTACAGTGAAGTGGACTTTCTTTTTGGTTTCAACAATTTTATTGAGTTATATCCCTTAGTACCAAAGCTCGGCCAGAGTTTGTTATAGTTACCTCTTCCAACTGCCAAAAATTAACTATACTTAAAATATCTAAATATAACAGCCATTGGTAAAACTGAAAAGTTATCCATAAAACATAGTTTAAAACCTTACTATAAGGTATACTGTGGTTCAGTTTATTTTTCAATGTTTATCCAGAATATAATATAAAAAATAAATGTGAATTATAGTTGTATGAACAGATACCCACTCATAATACTTTAACACTGTAGACCCCCTTACAGTCATGGACTGGCACAGGAAATCCCAAACACTACCTGTCACCTTATAATCACAAAGTTACTGACTTATCTTTTCTCAGGACTTTGTTTTGATACAGTGGGGACAATAATGAAAGTACCTTTTTAAACAAAATCCTCAATAACAAGCAATGGACATTTTATAAGAAGAAACCTTATTAAAAAGCTTCTGCAGTGTCACCTCTAGGCTGAACTTATTTTATTGGGTAATGCAAGATTTCAGAGTGATTTAATTTTGAGTCACTAATACAATAGCAACTGAATTTTCTAAATGGAACTAAATTGAGGCAGGATAGATTCTGTATAAAAACTTATCAAGGATACAAAAATCACCTGTTTTCTATAAAAAATATTAAAGATAATGAATATGCCAAGCTTACCAGATTTATATTTTGCCTTAGATAAAATGCCATTAGTGTAATGCTATATAGTATTACAGTTCACATCAATGCATTATCTAATGCCCTGCAAGGCAGAACTGCACAGTAACCTTTCATTCATTCATAGCTGTGTGACTTTGGGAATGCCACCCACCCCTCACCTAATTTTTCTCATCTATAATATGGCATAATATGTACCTCTTAGCATTCTGTGCAGATTGAATGAGGCAATGTATGTCATTGACTGAACTGTGCCTGGCACATAATAAGCAATAAATATAGGTTTTATTATCTACTGGTTCCCTAAGGAACTAGCTCATCATCTCTCCCTCAGCACCTAGCATACCATATCATTACTTCTATTGTTTTGTCTGTCCCCCACCCATCCTTCTGTCTTCCAATAATAGCACCCCTTCCTTTGCAAGTCCCTGTGGTTCAGCTGGATGGAACTCTGCCCTAACACTTCGGGGTAGATTTACAGCTTTCTGCTTCAAGACAATAAGACCCTATTAAGAACCTGTAAGACTTAACTATAGGATTTTTTTTAACTGTTAGCAAAGGGGAATGTCTCATAGATGAGGTCACTAAGAGATTAAGCTCTGCATTATGTGATGGCTGCCACTTTGTCACCATGAGGGAGAGGCTGCTTGAGAATAGTCACAGAAAAGAGTCAAATGAAATGGCAAAACAGAGTCCTGATCCATCTGAGTATTATCCAATCTGGATTTTCAGCTCTGTAACCTCATACATTCTTCTTTATGTAAATCACTTTAATAGGGGTTTCCACAACTTGCTACCACAGAGGTCCCTTACTGTGGCCATTTCCTTTTCAGTGAGTGTTCAAGAAATAATTTCAGTCCACATTTGTTCTCCACTCCTTAGAAATTAAGCTGTGAGGTCATGATCTCTTGGACGACCCTGCCTTCTCCATAATTCCTCTAAGAATACCAAAAGCGGTTTCACATGCACACCTACGCTTCCTCAACTCCCTGCAATGTAATTCACCACGTGCCTTGAAAGAGGTACAGCAAGGGCCTTGAGAGATGCGTGGCAGTCCCATCTTACCTGTGTGGGCTCACCTTCTCCATCCCCTATCTGAGCATTGTTTGCCATAATAAAGATTGAAGAAAGTTACCACTAAGCAGATTTACCTTATTTATTAGCTCCTGTGTAATTTTTCTAAGTGACCAGTTATCACAACCCAGTCTCTAAATTGAAGGCACTTTATTTTTCCTGAAGAACACAGCTTTGGCATTTTTATATCATCTAGTTCTCTTTTGGATGAAGTCAAGCTGGATGCCAAGACAATCTGAAGGACATGCCTTGGGGCGCCCAGAACATTACTATTTCTGTTATTTCAGAAATAGTATTTCACCCATTAAACTCTGGCCTCACCTATCTCCCATCTGAATTCTAAGAACCTGTTTGTTATATCTTGAACAACAGTTATCCTCTAAAGTAATTAGGGATTAAAAGAAAACAAGAGATAATTAACATTTATTGTGACTCAACTACAGGCCTTGTAGTTTCATAGTATAAGATTAACTATTCAATGTATATAAATATAATCCTTAAAATAACACCTGAATTATACAGTCAAAAATAGTAAAAATGATAAATTTATGTTACGTATGTTTTGTCACACTAAATGAGTGATATAAAATGTAACTAGGGCCTTCCTGGTGGCGCAAGGGGTTAAGACACAACCTATGAAGCTGTCTGCAACCACTGCAGCACGAGTTCAATCCCTGGCCAGGGAGCTACCCACATGGCGCGCAGACCTCTCTTGACTTACCTGCTGCTCCCCTCAGCAGTGTATTTCAGTCAGTCTGCCTGTTCTGCTCCCCACTCTGTCTCTGGTGAATCCTCTCACCCCCTACAACCCTGACCTGTACCCCAGTTCTTGTATGTATAAATACATTTTTTTAAAAAAAGTAACTAAAAAATAAGCGAATGATAGTGTAGCAAGTCAAGGCCAAGTGATGTGACAGGAACAGGAAAGTGGGAGATTCAGCTGAAGCACTTTATCATGAGGGACTAGTCCTTCATATGCCAACTAATTAGGATAGCTCCTTATCCTTGGTATCTTTCTCACTCTATCCACACATTAGTACTGTGAACTGTGTGTTTCCATTCCTACTCTACAGGTAAGAACTGTGGCTCAATTAAGTCAACTGAATTGTCTGCAAGTTACACATACAGAGCTTCAGATTTGGAATCTGAAACTAGGCTCTACCAGACTTCAAAGTCAGGGCTTTTCACCAAGTGTTATGTCAAAATAAATGTAAAATGAATGTCAAAGACAAAACATTTTATCTAGAAACTGAGGAATCTTATCTGACCCCAATTTATAGCTGAGATAAAGAATGAAGGAGGGAATCAGTAGTTAAATGTTGTACATGGTGATGAATGTGATTATTTGTAGCTTCAGATTCCTATAGATTTTTGTGCTGTGCATGGGGTTAAAGTAAAAGATCTTGAATACTCTTTCAACTTCCTAATTCTAAATTAGAGGAAATCACTGTGATTTTTAACCTGGGTAGGTAGGCCCAGGCCTGCCTAAAAATCAAAGGCCATCTGCTGCTAGATTTGGCAAGTGAAGACAGGTTGTGTCAGTCTTCACCTTTCCCCTACATACTGGCTTAGCTCACACCCAGGCTGTAAAAGACTCCAGAGGCATGCTCCAGGCGTATTCCACAGGCACAAAGACCCTTCTTCTTTCTCTTGCCCTTTTTCTCTCTGCCTGCCAAATTTAAACAGTGAGATTGGAGCTAAATAATCTCATTGTAGTTTGTGTAGATGTTTGCACACTATTTCACTTTAGATGATTTTCCTAAGAGGCTGGAGGAGGGGGGGCAGTGATGATGGTGGGTTAAATGGTTCCTGAATATGAAGAAACACAGCCAACTTAGTAGTTAGGGGCGATGCCTGTCATATCATCTTTGTTCCATGAAAGAAAAGACAAAACAAGCCTATGGGGTAAGGAGGCTGGCTTCTAGTCCCTGGACTGGGAAATCCCTGATGGAAATTGGGTGACAAAATGAGAAGGGTCTTTAAGACAAATTTTGAACTTGGCACTAGGAATCAATGAGTAAATAAAGACATCAGTTTAAGTTTGATTTTAGAGAGTGAAGGAATTTGGAGAAATTTCTAATAATGGAGGAAATCTGGCAGCTTAGATAAAGGTTGGGCATTCAAAGGCTGGTAAAACTGGAGGCCGAAATTAAGAAAATGGGAGGTGAGGGCAGAGGAATGAATTTTATAAAGGCTGTTTTCTTAAGGGAAGCAGATTATGGTTGACATGTTTTAAAAGGGTGGGTAAGGAAGAACAGATAGAATTTGGGTGGCCCTTGAGTCTGATTTGAATAAGATCGCTTGGGAGAAATATTAAGGGGGTGTTTAGAATTCTGCCGATGGATTTAAGTTTAGTGGGCAATATGGGTTAGGGAGGATATTTTAGGGGGAGGAACTTGGGGGCTAGTGTGGAGGGTGTGGTTGGGGTGAAGTTTCCTGGTGAAGACGCCTTAGATGCTGAAAAGGATTTGTAGGTATATTGAGATGAACAACTGAAGAGTGTACTTGGGGGAACTGAGGGGATGGTAAAAGAGCAGGATACTGCAGTAATAGAAAGTGGGGCTAAGGGTTTTTGTAAAGAAGGTGGAGTGTTTGGAGATGCTAAGGGAGGCTGTTATGTTACAGGGAGGCTGAGCAGAACAAGGGGCAGTCAAGAAAGTACTTCAGGGACATCCTAATTGGTGGCGCCGAAGACAGGGAGGTTGGACATTTTTCAGGGAGAAAGTAAGGGACTCTTACAATAAGAGTTCTGTTAGAGAATTTGAGGTTCTGAGGTTCTGTAACAGTTCTAGGAGATTCTGAAAGTCACAGGGTTTCCAGACTGGGAACGCGGAGGCTTCCCGAGTAGGGTTTGGGGAGGAAGCAGGTTCTGCCTAAGTGTGAATGACTGGAGGGAGGTAGCGGCTGATCCAGGGCAGGCGATGGGCACGGGGACTGGGAGGCTGGGCTCACCTGGGCAGGCTGTCTTGGAAGTGCATGGTGGGCACGATGCTGCGATGCAGGTACTGGCCGGGCCCGGTGTCTGCGCTGAGGGATCGACATGGAACTCCCGGGCCAACAGCAGGAGCCCGAGGCCAAGAGCGTAGCAGCAGGCGGACCACCATTCTCCCGGGAAGCTACGGTAGTGGGAACGCGGGGTAAGGGGGAGCTCTAGTATAGAAAAAGACAAGGCAGCCACCCTCAGAGCTCCGGGACGTAGGGTCAGGAACTCCCGTCCAGTTCTAGGTTGTCCCGATAGTCCCTTCCGGCCTGCACCGCCAGCCCACGGAAGGCGCCTCCCGTAGACGGGTCCGCCCGCAGAAGGGTCCGCCCACAAGGGCCCGCCCACAGGAGGTTCCGCCCAAATGTTCAACCCGCCCCAGGGTCCAGCCCACTGCGGCTCTAGCGGGGCTGCAGCCTCTGTACTGGTCATCCTTCTGCAGCCCAGGCAGAGGGGAAACGGAGCTGCGGAAGCGACTCTTTTCTCTTTTGGAGCGAGTAAGAAACTGTAGATTAAGAAAAAGAGAAGGAGAAACTAGCCAGTGTGATCTGATAAACCTAAATGTGATCCAGGCCCCCTTTCCTGGGAAGCAGTGGGCAAAATTTTAACCCTCCCTTTTCTTGTTCTAAGAAATAAAGGTCATGCTTCATCGTACCTCCCAGGATTCTAGATATGTAATGAGATACGTGGTATGCACCGTGCTTAGCGCTTAATAGGTTTGCAAGTAAATGGTGGTGGTGGTTGGTATTTTGTAACCCGTGATGTTTGTCCAGCAGATCTTTAGATCTGCTCACAGCTGTGCTGTGAGCTCACCGGAACCGGTATTAAAGAAAACATGTGCAGAAGCTGAAAATCTAGTCGCCATCTAGTCACCTCTTCTGTGCAGACAGCCCCTTAAGGGAAGATCCCCATCTGCTTAAACATCCTTTCTCAATTTGAACATTTGGCAGACAAAAAGCTCGGTCAAAAGAAAACTGCCCTCTGTTTCCAGGGAGACTTCCAAACCCAGTCCAGGACATGAAACTCCCTGCCACCACAGATCACCTTTAAGTTTCCTTCCAACACTGACTCTAAGAGTCTGCGATTTGAACATGGATCCCTCATCCACCACAAAAGAACCCCCACCACTCTGCTCCCATTTTGCAAAAGGAAAGGATGCAACAGAAGACATCAGGTCAAGCCATCTGACTTGAGGTACAACACAGAATTCCATTCTGGGAACACTGCCTTTCCTTAGCTCCAGGTCTCACTCATGGGCTGTGGGGTTGAGGTGGCCAAGTACCTTCTGTCTGTCCTATAACTGTGCCAGAAGCTGGAACACACAAAAAGAGCACTAGATTGGGAGTCAGAAGACCTGAGTTTTGGCCTCGGTTCCCTCTAGCAAGGTAACCTCCTGGTTGAACTCACAGATCACTAACCAGCTCTGACACTTAGTGATGACCACAAATCTTTAAGAACTAAACATGAAACTCAAAAATACTGACTACCTAATCTTCCTCCCTTGAGGAGAGGCAAATCCTCAATATCAATGCCATTTCCCTGCAGTAGGGCCAGAGTAAAATATCAAACACTTTCTGAAAAGATTGCTCCACTGAATTCAGACACTTTTCAAAGCCATGAAACTTGAGACAAACATCAGAAGCTGTGTAGGCTAAGGGGATCAGAGGAGCAGGAAGAAGCAGTGTACCCAGTAGAAGAGAAGTGACTCAATTAGAGAGACAGAGGGCCCCATCTAATCAAACTGCTAAAAGAGGCACTTAACCCCTCTGGGAGTTATGGTTAATAGGACCAAATCCAATCTCTTAGGCTGGTGCCCATGGCCTTCTGAATTCTGGCCCCTACCTGCTTTTCTAGTTCCTATCATGTCACCTGACCTATGGTCATAACATTGAACCACTCGTGATTCCTAGAACTTGTCCTTACACCAGGCCTTATTTTTTAGGTTCCCCTACTGTCTGAGATGTTCTTTCCATGCATTTCTGCCTAATAGCCTCGACTTATCCTTCAAACCCCTCCATGAAGTCTTCCTCTAGCCTTATCCTTCCTTTCTATAGCACTTTATGTACTTCTTTGTGTTATGAGAAACATAACTATATTATGATTTATTTAGTTATCATTTCATCTCTCACAATCAACTTTTAGGCCCAGGGATTGTTTTCATTTATATACCCAGATGTCTAGCTTATTGTGAGTAGGTGCTTTCCTTCTTTTTCCTTGGCATGGCCCTGGGGATAGCCATGATCTAGAAGATCAAAATACCATATTTTTCTATGTAAGACTCAAGAAAGTTCCTGTACTTAGAGAAGAATCTTAAAGAATAAGTGGTCTGTATTGAATGAAATAATCCCAGAGATTTGATCTGTTTTAACTATGAAAATGAAGAAACAAAAAAAAAAATGCAGAACAGGTGACCAGGTTAAAGTAATGTTATTATTCAAAATCAAATTTCTTACAAACAATAAACTTTAAATGGATAACAGAAGAGTTCACATTTCAGTGACAAAGAGATCCAGTTGGTTGAGCATGACTCAAGACAATAAATGTGAACACCCCTATACTCCAAGAAATGATAGGAACTGGTTACTGAGAGTAGGTCGAGCACCTCAAGTTCTCAGGTTCTGCCGGATCTCAACTGCACCAAGTACGGCTTGAAATAAAGAAAACTCATAGGCCAGGCTTCACAAAGCACTACCTGATTTCATTTGTTATAGTGAACTCCAAGTCTTTAAAAAGAAATTGAATATGTGAGAAAGTATTTATTTATTTATTTTTAAAGATTTTTTTATTTATTTTTTATTTTTTTATAATAAATTTTATTTTTATATTCCCCATACAATTGCAACCCCCCCATTCTGACCCCAATCCCTCCCCTCCCGCCCCCCACCCCCCAAAAAGTGTCTCTGGTTCATAGTTTTTTGTTGATTTTGATTTTCACTTTCTTATAGTTATTCATTTTCCTGGTCCCTTATTTAAGTTTTCTAGATTCCTGCTATGAGTGAGACCATCCGGTATTTTTCTTTTTCTTTCTGGCTTGTTTCTCTGAGCATGATCCCTTCCAGCGCCATCCATGTTGCTGCAAATTGCATGTGTTTATCTTTTTTGAATGCTGAGTAATATTCCATGGTGTATATGTACCACATCTTCTTGATCCAGTCATCTATTTTTGGGCATTTGGGCTGTGAGAAAGTATTTAAATACAAGAAAAGAAACCAAAGTATAAAAATGTTCTCTCTGCCTCACTGTTTTTTAACTTATGTGTCAATGTGACTGGGCTAGGTATGATCAGATAACTGGTAAAATACTATTTCTGGATGTGTCTGTGAGGGTGTCTCCAGAAGAGATTAGCATTTGAATCAGTAACTGAGTAAAGAAGTTAGTCCTCACCAGGCAGGTGGGCATCATGCAATCTTTTGATGCCCTAAACAGAACAAAAAGATGTCGGAAGCGTAAATTTGCTCTCTGTTTGAACTTTTCCCACCCTCGGACATCATCACTTCAGGTTCTCCAGCCTCCACATTTGACTGGAACCTGCTTTCCTGGGTTTCTAACCTGTAAACACACTTTTCAAGCTCCATAATCTTGTGAGCCAATCCCTTGTAATAAATCTTTTTCTCTATCATACTGGTTATGTTTTCTTGTCTGGAGATCCCTAATGCACCCATAAAAAAAGTTTTTAAACTCACTTGTGGGTACACTTGATATTTAATTAAACCAATCAACGAGGAATTCATGGTGTGTGTGAGAAAAAAAATCTGTTCCTTTTAACCTGATATTTGCATTTTGAAGTACTGTTTCAAAGCACTGTTTGAAGTTATGTTCGAACTATTAGGGGAAAAGAACTAATAGCCAGAGTACCAGAAGCTTACTACATGAGAGTCTACAGGTAGTGGGGAGTACAGTGCACCATTTAAAGGATCCAGATTTAAAGAACCATTTAAAGAACCAGATTGAGGCATTTGGGATGTGGATCCTGACCATCTGAGCTGAATGGCCTCTGGGTCCCTGGTTACAAGGATGCCATGGAGAATGGGACTCTGAAGGAGCCTGAATGGGGGTGAGGAGAAGGTGGAGACTTTACCCAGCTGAGAACATCTTCTGGGGAGGTCCTGGTCCCTCTCTGGACTTTGAGGCAATAGATTCCTGACTGCTGCACTTTTGAATGCACTCAGCACTTCCTAAGTGAGGAGGGCTAACCCCATTCTAGCAGCCTCCATTTGTCACCATTTTCACTTGGGAACTTGGTGAGTAGAGAACCATCACGGTTTGCTCTGGCCTTGGAAATCCTACTTCTAAGACATCGTTCAAGTTGAAGTTAAGTACACAAGGTGTCCCCATGGGCTGGCTTGCTGCTGGGGTAGAGGGAATTAGGTATTGTGTCAGCATCTCATTTGTGAAGCTGAGCAGGCCAAGGCATCACCTCATGGCTGCCCAGAATTGATGCCAGGAACACGTTGACATTGGGTTGAAAGACGCTGAACTAGTGGCCCAGACCTTTGCCATAAAACATGATGACTCAAGTGCTTTGGTTCCTACACACGCATCATTAAGACACAGGCAGAAATGTCTTCAGCCTGCTTTCTTCACTGCCCTTTTCACAAGCCCACGATCTTTGGTTGCCATGACTCACCAGCTTCTCCTTCAACCTTGCCCATACATTTCAGTTTTCCATGGTCAAGAGGGCAGGAGGGGTTCTGGGGTGCACCTGTTGTCTGCACTTAGATTTCTAAGGCTTCACAACAGTCCCACAGTACTGTAAAACATTCCAACTATAAAAATATTCCCTCCTCAGCACACAGGCATATAGATCCTCTCATATGTCTGCAGTTTGTCTTTCTGGCTTGTGTTATTGAAAAAAAGCAAAAACTTCCATGATACATCCTTATGGTAGACTCTAAACATGAAGGCAGTGAGACATGCTAAAACTTTAGGGGTCCATCAAATAAACCCCTTAAAGATCTCAGTGGTGGTCACAGAGGGATAGGGATGCAAGACCTAAGGTTCCAGACAACCACATGTAAAAGACTTCAGCAAGAGAAGGATTGAAATGGTTGAGCTTGTAGCCATTGAGAGCTGGCTGTTGTATTCAACTCTGGGAGCCGAAGGAATGCCTTTACAGAAGAAGTTCCTCACAAGAACAAGATATCTCATAAATGTTAACTGGAAGCTCAAGCTATTTTTTTTTTTAGATTTATTTATTTAGACAAGAGCTGGGGTACAGGTCAGATGTGTGGGAGGGTGAAGGATTCACCAGAGACAGAGTAGGGAACAGAACAGGCAGATAGACGAAATACACTGCAGCGGGC